ACTGAAATTATTAACTGTGGGGAAAATGTGTGAGAAAACGGTGGGATGCCAGGTCATGCCATGCACACCTCATTTATCTTTAAAAGAGACCAATTAGCCTCCTCTGAAAGGATATGGGCAGATAAAAATGCATTATTTATTATTATTACAACAGGTTTATTAGCTTGTTTGTATTTGATGTATCAGGGTCTGTGACTCATTAACTGAAGGGCTTTTAGAACTGGCTTGTAGTTTTATAGACTTAAAGACTTAGCCTATTGCTTATGAAAAATTGGCCAGTGGTTAACCTGGTGAAATGTAAACATTACCCCTTATGTCACGAAAGGAGAAACACACATAATAAACACGCTGTTTATCAGCTTGTTGTAGAGCTGTAAGGGTCAGCCCCGCTGGCCCCAGGTCCATGGAGCCACTGTGACAGCAACACATTATGTGACCTTTTCAGGCAGTAAGTGCACATCCAGCTCTACTGCCCCTCACATCTTTTGAACCCTGGAGCAAACCACTGTTGGCTGGAAGCAGATACCACTCCTCCCCCATCATCACTTCTGATCACATCTTAACCACTTACATCATTATTGCTGCAGGTTAAATGCCATAAGAAATGCACGCAAACTAATCATGATCATAAATGACACAAATACAGTCTCATATGGGCTAAAAAAAAAACACATCTGAAATATTCAACCATGAAATATTGGTAACAAATATCTATAGGTCATAGTCTTTCTCTGGGAAGACTTAGAGCACTGAAGAGTTTGACCTTAGCGTGTTTGTCAGGAAACACACAGCCTGTAGTAGGTCAGGGCCACCCACGGGCCCCCAGGCTCAAAGAACTGCTCCCACTGTGTGATTGAACAATAATTATATCACTAACACCAGAAAAGGGTTACATGCTAGCTGCTACATAAACAAATGCAAAGAGCAGATTCAGTGGCATAGGTTTTAAAGAGCATGAGAGCATTAACTGATTTGTAGGTCTGACTTTAAAATTGAAAATTTATTTTTAAAAGTGATGCCACAAGAAGTCACATTTACCATCACTTTTTCTCCTATTCATTCTTAGAATCTCCCTATCCTCAACATATCCAGCTGTCCCTTCTGACATATAACAGTGCTTATCCACCAACAATATTTTTTCTGTTGTCAAAGAGTTTTACTATCATGTACAGATAAAAGTATCATGTACAAGAAGTAATCATAGTTCAGTTGGTGTGAGAATCCCAATTCCCAATACGCCATGATTACAAAGTGACCGAAAGAGCAGAAGTGTAAAAAACTGTTAAGTGAATGGCTTTGGCTGATTTGAGGACACTAAATTTGAGGAATCTGAATTCAAAGCAGAGATCTTCTCATTCACTTTGATCCATACATTTTCTTCCGTTTATTTGGGGCCAGGTTGTGGGGCAGCAATCTAAGCCGGCACTCCTAGACTTCCCTCACCCTAGACACTTCCTCCAGCTCCTCTGAGCCGAGAGACTAGTCCCTCGAGTCTGGATCTTTCCTGGGATGTCTTTCTGGTGGGATACACTGCTCTCCAGGGAGGCGTCCATGCAGAATCTGGAGCAGATGCCCAAGCCATTTTAATGTGGAGCAGCGGCTCTACTGCGAGCATCTCCCATGTGATTGAGCTTCTCACCATATCTCTAAGGGAGCGCCCAACCATCCCACAGAGAAAATTCATTCAACTACTTGTATCCACGATCTTGTTCTTTCGGTCATTGCCCAAAGCTCATGACCATAGGTGAGGGTAGAAACATAGACTGACCGGTAAATCTCCAATACAGTCCAATAGAGCCACCGGGTCACTGGAGACACTGCCCCGATCTGCCCGTCAATCCCACGGTCCCTCTCTCACTGAATAAGACCCCATGTTCAGTTTCAACCACTGTAACCATACCTGCTTTTGAAAGAGACACTTCACTCACATTGCCTAATATGAATTTGGTGTATGAGTGTTTGTGGTGGTTAGAGGGTTTGGTGGCCCAGATTGACAGCCTCACTTACGGCAGTCTGTCCCAGGGCAACTGTGGCTACACTATAGCTTATCACCGCTGAATAGAGTGAATGAATAATGCGCTGTAAAGCGCACTGGGTGTCTTGAAAGGCATTATATAAATCCAATGAAAAAACAAGAATAAAAGGATCCATATAACTGTGATATTTCACTGACCCATTGTGTCGTCTTTGACAAAATTTTAAAATTGTCAAGTACCATTTGGTTCACCACAGTTTGAGAATGACTATGAAAAATGCATTGCCCGATGTTTGGAAATTTGTCCATGAAAGTTTTAGATTATGTTTTTGGAATATTATTACTTCTGTCAACAGATTGTTTGAGACCCATCCCGAGTGCAAGGATGTCTTTTTCCTCTTCCGTGATGTGGAGGATCTGGAGAGACTCAGGACTAGCCGGGAACTCCGAGCTCATGGGCTAAGGTAACACACAGACCCACAAAGCCTCAAATATTTGATATTATTTTCCATGTAAGTTGGTACAGGGCCTGCCACCTGCCTCTGTCGAAATGGCTTTCATCTGAAATGTTACAAGGCCAAGTTACAGATCAGATCTGTGAAGATGAGACCCTCCTCATTATAGGAACACATGTAAGTTAAGGTATTATTAGCAATAAAAAAATCCACGGAGACTGGTCAGTGGCGGACTTCCACTAGAATACTTAAATAGTTCACCTTTCAACTTTCTAAAACATGTCATTTTTAGTGTTTTCTCTGATCAACAAAAGCGATCCCCAGGTCTTGCTTTTCAGTGCATCCAGTGTGGTTTGTTTATTTGGGTACCTATTAGCTGTTGCCGTGGAAACAATCTACTCTTCCTGGAGTCTTTTATATTCAAGGAAAAGAGGTATTCAGTAGTCTATCGCTGTACTAGGAATCATCAGCACTGTCACAATACAGTGTTGGAGAATGGCATGCGTTGTCAAAATGTGCAGTCACTTCTGAAAAGCTCCACTCTGCATAAAGCAATGGAGCATTTGTTTTGATTACTGAGAATTAAAGCTTATTGTGTCATACATCATAGCAGTGCACTATGCGCGAACATAATAACCAGGATGTCAATGTTATTCACAGACAGTGCATTATCCACAAGCACTCTCCAGTCTGCTGTGTCCCGCTGCACCCATTGCTCTCAACATAAGGCCAAAACAACCAATTACCGCCTGAGGACCTAAAGGTGCAGAGGCTGCCTGGCACAGCGCACCAAAATGTGTCACCCAGCCAGCATGGTCCTGCTGTGAGAGCAGTGATAAGGCCAAATGGCTCTTCAGAGGCACCCCGGGGACATCAGGACAAATGTCCACAGAGCTGGTACAGACCGGGCAGATGCACTGAAGCAAGTCTACTCATTTTTAAAACAGTTCAAAAAGTACAGATGACAACAGCAAGGATATACTGTGGGTTTTATGTGTGGTTATGAGGATGGTACTTAGATTATGGCTACATTTTTGAATAACTGACAATTAAGTGTCGTTATTTTCAAAAAATAAAATGCCACTGGTAAAGCTGCAGTAACTTAAATCAACACTGCATAACATTCTAGGGCTAGAGAGTAAAGTGCATTTTTAAGTGAAATAAAAAGTTCATGAAAAAATTTAAAATCATAAAACCCAAGTGGTCTGGAAAAGCATTCACTTTGTCTTTGCAGGAAACATAATACAGTACAATACAAAACAAAAACAAAAAAAGAAAGAAAGAAATTTGAAAATGATATTTAGTATGCATAGAATGTAATTTACTTTGTTATATGTAAATACCTGTAAAGAATGAATGATGATGATGATAATGAATGTACATTTTTGAAACTATGTAATGAAAAGGGGTGGGTTAATGTAAGATTTTCTTCTTCCCACTTCTTCTCGAGAAGTGTGCTTTTCTGTTGTTAACAATGTATATGTAGTATGTATGATTATTGTTTCAGGCTTGGCACAAACCCTGAATAAAAACAAATCAATCAATCAATAGTACACACGCAAAATATCATGACCACTTGTTTAAGTCCCTCACACAACAAATCACCAAACTTGTCTGTATAACGTTTTCATCAGCATATACATGGGCATGTCAGACAGTCATTAGATCAGTTAACTGAGATCGATAACTGGCTGTTCATCCTGTTTAATTTCTCTATCTGCCAGAGTCATGTCTTTTATTGAGAAGAGTGTGGCTAGACTGGACCACCTGGAACGGCTGGATGCTCTGGCTATTGAACTAGGGAAAAGCCATTATCATTACCACGCACCACCCAAATATTACAATGTAAGTGGCCTATTTCAAGGATTCTAATGGTTTTATTATTCTCTAAAACGTATTATGGACACAAGAAGAACCAAAAAATCAGTTATAAATGTCAGAAAACCTACTCCTATGGATAGAATTCTAATAAAAAGACATTATGACATATCTTGTTTGTTTTATAGTATGTAGGAGCAGAATTCATCTGTGCAGTGCAGCCTATTTTGAAGGACAGGTGGACATCAGAGTTGGAGGAAGCATGGAAGGTATGCAATTTATAAAGAATGTTTAAAGTGTGTTATTACCTTGCAAACACTGTGCAGTACAAAATTATTTTCTGATCAAATTCACCAAGGTATTATGTCTGTTCTGGTTGGAAATCGATTTGGAAAAACAATGAAAAATAAATTAGATTTTGGTCTGGGGGAACTGGATATTAGGGAATAGCTGTCAGTCCATCTTGAACCCATAGTTACAGTAGAAGTAAAAATTAAGTGTATTTTTTGAGTTGTTTTTTTTTATGCGTTTAAGACAATGTTCCAATACGTCACGGGTCTCATGAAAAAAGGATATCAAGAAGAAAGCACCAGACAGCATCAGCTCTCCCTCTCTCCCAAAGACAGACCGGAAAAAAGAAGTACGGCACTATGAGTCGCCTCTACTGTGTTTAAATGTACAAAAACGTGCATTTGTTTTCTATATTATTCTCACTGTTTACTCTATTAGCAGTATAGATGTACACACTGAAAGACTTTGACAGAGCACTTTTATTCATGAACATAATTCTATCTCCAGACTTTACATGTAAAATCAAACTCTGCAGCCTTGTGAAAAATGTACAATTTATTTACAATAGTGTATGGTCTGTACTCAAAAACATGCTTTTCTGTAATCTAAAAAATATTGTTTTCATTTTTGATAACTGATTTCACATAAATATTCAAGCTGAAAGAAGCCTCATGGGGAGATTATGTTGCCATTTTATATTTTGTAGTTTTACATTTTTAGTAGCATCTATCGTAAAAAATAAGGTCTTATGTGATTGATCTATATTAATAAAATAAAGATGTACAGTAAAAATGAGTTTGCGTCCACATTCCTTCCTTATACATCATTGCTTAAAAAAAAAAAAAAAAACTTAAGACAAATAACTTCCAAAATAAGCCATCTGCAACGTTACATAAATAGGGGACTAAACTATTAAATACCAAAGAAGCCATTTCATCCTCTGGAATATTTAACACACCGACTTAATTGGTGGTCAGTTTTCAAAGAAGGAAAAAATAAAAAAAACTTCAAAATGGTCGACTTGCTTCTTCAGATCTGAAAAATAACGGATGGCACTGTAGAGTCCATGACAGGTGAATCATGCAGCCACGGGTTGAAAAGTATTGTACGTCCAGTCCTAAACCGTGGACAATTCCCTCAGACAGGACATACATGCCAGCTCAGGAACCCCTAAGGTTATCAGAGTTCAGCAGTCATTGTGTAGCTTTTGTTTTCTTGCTTTTGCTTTTCTTATCTTTCTTCTTAAGTCCGTCCATGTGAGCTCTAAGCAGGTTAGAGTAGGCCTGGAAGGAAACAGTTATCACTAAGACAATTGCCAAATCAAATCATACACAAACAAAATAGACAGGCTATACTGTGCTGATCTAGACTTGAAATTCAGACAAAATCAAACTTACCATCTGAAACTTGATTACTTCTTTGGTGCTGACCTAAAGGCAGAAGTAACAATCAGAATCATATACCACAAATATATCTCATATGTATAACAGCAGGAAACAGGAAAACTCACCACTGTACTAATTTTCTTCTTTCCATCTGATGCTCTGATGAGACATTTATTGTCTGCGGGTTCAAATGATTCTGAATGGCCCTTTCTAGGAACAGGTTTTGTCCTACCATCATCTGAAAAATATACATAGAGTTTAGTTCCTGTAAAATAGGGCTGGGCGATACAGTCATATTGATCCATCACAACTTTTTATTTGATTTGATTATGTCTTCAAACAAACAAAAAAATATTATTAATTTCCTAATTTATTTTACTTTTAATAATTTCCATTTAACAAATAAAGACTGTAAAAATTAAGAAAAACTGCTTCCTCCAAAGTCTGAATTCAGCTCCAAACATGCCTTTACAGACAGAGGATTGACTGTGAATCTCTAGATTAAAATGACCCAAGGTGATCATTTCACAATTAGTAATAACTGAATCTCTATCTGGATTAAAGGTTCAGTCAGTTGCACAGCCTTACCATGTGCTCATTTATTGACAGCCGGCTTATTGTCTTATTATTTCACATCTGGGATTATTGTCATCTGTGAAACTGTACTTACATTTCTTTAGTGTGATGACAACACTACCAGATGATCTACATTTCTGGAATAGGCGTGTGAGCTCTGTAAGAAACTGTCAAAAAAAAAGTGTTAAATAAACACAAAATCCATGTCAGAACTGAGAAAAGTGCATAAAACAGCATATGTGCCATGTATAAATTGATGTTGCAATAATCTTCAGTTGTCCAAAGAAATAAGAGAATATAAACATCAACAACATGGACACAGTAAAAATGTAGGCAAGATCTTTATTCATTACAATATTTAAAGATGTTGGTTTTAATCTGCATTAAATCGACGAGTGATCATCTCAGCAATGATTTGGGCAATCGCATGCTAGCCTGCTCGTGACTAGCCTGTGAAGAGATTACATTAAAATACAGCCACATACTAAGTGAAAACTGTATTATAGAATATATATTGTCAAAGGATTTGATTAAAGTGTCCTTACCGAATCATTTTCCAGGAGCACCATGTTTAAAAGGTGATGAAGCGTTAGCTCAGAAGCCGAAAGCTAACTCATATGAGCCTCATATGAAGCACACGTACTACAACCGGAGCTCCGCCCTGTTACGATTTACTGACATGGCGCCACCTACCGCCGAGGAGGAGTCACTGTCTTAAATGGAAAATCAATGTGGGAGGAAGGATACTTAAATTGTATTATTTGATTAAATTGAATTTGCTTGAACAATAAAAGTGGTACTACATAGATTCCACTGACACAAAAGTGATGTTACATACATTTGCCTCTGCATATATCAAGGCTTACTTTATTACACATTATATACATTAAAAATATGTACTTTAAAATCATCTACATGTGTTGATTTAACTTCAGTGAAGAGAGCATTTTGTCTTTCGAAACAGAAATGATTATCAACAAGTTGAAGAAACAATTCAGAATAGCATGTTATTTCACTAGAGCACAGTCAGGATGGTGACCGAGTTCATCTAAGTACACAGCAAACTGTGAGTTCCAGTCTCTTTCAAAGACAACACTGAGCTGGCTCTGAATAGACTTCTTCCATATCAAGTGAGGAGCATGCTGGGAAATCACTAGGCCCACTCCACCTGTGGTGGTAAAGTAATCCCCAGACCAGTTGGATGTGCCTACAGCAAAAAAAAGTTTTCCATTAATAATTGACTTAAGACATGCAATGTCTTTGAAAAACTTACCAATATAAGCTACTTTATCAGTCACCATATATTTGTTGTGGTTCACTCTAGAATATGGTATATCAGTCTGGTTTCCAACAGGCACAATGAAAAGTTTCTGCAAAAAGAAAGATGTAGTTAGTTAAGACCTTATATTGTTCTAATCTAAATTTATAGGATGCATTGTCAGAACATACTATTTTGATGCTAATGTGGGATATATTACTGTCAAGAGCAGCTAGAGACTGTAGGAAGGGTAAGACGCTTGGATTGGACTCTCTCCCACAGCTGATCAGCATCCGGATCTTTACTTTTCTATCAAATGCTGCAGCTCTAATGGCATCATCAAGGACTGACCAGTATCTGTTGAACCACACATGTTAAAGTAGCTGCAAAAGACATGACAGTGTAAAACTGTTAGTGTGGCTTACCTCTGGGGCTTTTCAAATTGAATCAGTGGGAGGTACTCCATGACAGCCACATCAACATAATGTTGAGCCTCAGAGATACTGGTCAAAATAGCATCTAAGTCTAGAGTTCTGGACAGAGGACAGAAGAGGGGCGGCGAACCCTTCACAAAAACAGAACAGAAACTTAAGAAGTTGTCTCTTTCATTTCTAAGAAAACTAGACAGAAACTTTAGGAACTCACGGATATGTATATCTGGCTTGTTATATTCTCTTCTTTCACCAGCAGAGGGTGTAATTTGGTAATGTTTGTGTCATACTTTGAGGGCCAGGGATCAGGTAAGGTGCTGTTTGGAAGGCCCATTTCCCAATAAGAGTTGAAAATCTTCTCTAGGTCTATGGCTAATTCCGAACAGTTGTGGATCACCACACCTAGTTCCTTTACCTAGAGAAAAATACAAAAAACTTGTTATAATCCTCAATACAGAAAAGAATATAGATGGCAGATGTTTCACTGTTACTTGTGTGAGAGCCCTCCAGTCCATGTTGGGACTTCCAATAAAGAGATGTTTTCTGTCAACAATCCAGAACTTAGAGTGGAGGACACCATCTGTGAGACGACCAAAGTCCACCTCCCTCACTTGGACTCCTGAACGAAAGAAGAGTTTATTTTCAAGAGAATATATAAGCACAATACATATAATTACAAGGCCCTTACAGACCTTTTTGTTGGAGGACCTTCAAATCTGTGGAATTTGTATGCACAGATGGATTACTTATTAACACTCGGACAGAAACATTTCTTGCAGGCAGAGATTCAAGTCCTGTCAGAATGCGAGTCCCCTGTCAAGAACAGCAGCATATTATAACATGTTAAGGTATCACTTTATAATAATTACGCTGTACCTTAATTAGCCTTAATAAAGCATAAACAAAGGCTTAATTCATACTTTGTTTATTCATAACTACTTAGGAGTTAGAAGTTAAGGATAAGGTAGTTACTAAGTAGTTACTAAGCCTTAATCAATCTTAATAAACACTGTTCATTGTGAAGTTAATGCTTTACTGAGGCAATTAGAGTGTGGTTCCAAAATGATCTCTGATTATGAATTAATTATTATTATTGTTCTATATTTGGGCTCTCACAGGGATTGCAGAAGAGGAGTTCACGCTGATATCGGCTCCAGTCAGAGTCCAGTAGAAGGACACCACATCTAGTTGTTCAGTTGCCATGGCGATGAGATCTTCCCATACAGTTTCCAATGGCCGCCCAAATGTGGCATTGTCATTGTATTTCATATACACAGGGATACTTTCCACAAGGGTCATGCTAACAAATGTCAAATAGTAACACAAAACAATGCAGAAGTTTCGAGGGCAGAAGTTATTAATTCAGTTATGAGGAAGTTGAATGTAAACATGCAAAACGTAAATAAACAGTATGAACAGACTGGGTTTAGGTCAAAGGTTTGAGAATGATCAACTACCTGCAGCTCCCAACAGAAGGCTCCAGTGGAAATATCTTTTCCCCGTCAATTTTGTCAGAACTGGATGGTCTCTCTAAAATAGCAATGGCGAGTATGATGCCCAGAACAGTGAGGCAGGCCATAACTACAGCCAGGATCACACAGCTGGTCGGCTTCTACAGAAAGCATGAATAGAATTAAAATATCAATAATAAAAATACATTAATCTTATATAAAGCTTTTTTGGATACTTTTAGATACAAAGACACTTTACAACAGGAAAAGACAGAGAGAAAAGAACAATACTAACTTGTGGAAATCAAAAGAAAAGCAAATTTGAATAGGTGAGCTTTTAGCAGTGATCTGAAGCTCTGTAATGATTCCAAGTTCCAATTATTAATGATAAATAACTAATCATTGTACAGTGCGTTTTACATGACTGACCTTTGAGGAGACATTCTCATCATGGAGGTGTTTATAAGCTGTGGCAGGCATTTTCATTCGGTACTCTACACTTATAGAACAAAATGGTGCATAAAGAGCATGTGTATTTTGAGTTAATCAATTAAAAGTAACTTACACAAAGTATTTTCCAAAACAAAGGTGATGTGAAGCTGTCTGGTCAGGGCTCCGTCTATAAGTGACTCATATTAAAGTTGCCAGGAGTTAAGTTCCTGTTTTGACTTTCATTTCAGTTTTTGGTTCACATGTGTAGTTTTGATTGCAATGAAGCGAACCACCAAACATCAAGTACGTTTTGATATATTTTATTTTGTAAAGAAATACATTTACAGCCCATCAATTACTTACAAATAATTAAAAGAATAATACAGCTCACAATTTCTACTTTAAAGAAACACAAAGAGCCATACGTTTGACACATACTGGAGGAAAGCAGAGGGCTGATACAATCCCATTGCAGATAAATAGCAGCAAATTATTTTTTAAAAGTGAAAATGACATTCAGTGTTTTGTCTGTAAACAACTATGTGGCTGGTGAATGAAGAGCTCTTCCACACAGCTTTGGGGCACTTACAGAAACTTCCCATTTCTAATTAAATTACATTCAGAAGTGGGAAGAAGGGGAAAAACGTACAGGTATACACACTCAAGTCACGTTGAGGTGGTCATGTGGTACACAATTAGTGCAAAAGAATAAACTGAGAGGTAATTCTTATTTATACATATATACGATGCGGTAATCCAACAGCTGATGACAAACTAATAAAGTAAAAATCATACAAACAAAAACAAAACAATAAAAAGATACTACTAGAGAGAGATTCCTACCATAGAATCTTCATTCAACTGTAGTGTATGATAAAGAATCGCTGTGTGCATGAACTGACCAATCAGTCACAAGAATTTGATTGTCATGGGCAAAATGAAATAATCTATTTGTGCTTTATTTTAAAAAAAATAAACACACAGAATGAACAATTTAGCTATGGTCTATATAAGGCCTTTAAGACAAGTAATATAAATAGATAAATAGAAGAAAACTAAAGCCTCCCCAGAGTCATTGGAGTTTAGAGTTGCTAAGTAGCCAAGCCCCGCCTTCTATTCAGCCCACACATTCCTGAGACACTTCCAACAAACGACTGCTCATTTGTGTTCATTCAGACAACACAACCAAGGTGCAGATAACATTAATGATGAAACATGGAAAAATCTCATAGAAAAGCAGTTTATCTGGCACTGAAGTCTCCCATCACACCCTTAAGTTGATGATATCTGAAGAATAACCCTTGTTCCTTCAGCAAATTTACACTACATTTCTCAGGGCGGTTCTTAGCTTTGAAGTACAGCAAAGTAGTTCAGCAGGCATTATAGGTTTTATTTATATAGAAAGATTGACTGTACTGCCCCCTACTGGTGGCTTTGCTATAGAAAAATTTATGGGGTAGTGGTGACTGGCTGATTCACCACTTCTCAAAGTTTTTTGTTTTTTAAGTGTAACCATTTAAAGGAACACTTCTATACCCCATCTCACTTCCTCCTTGGAGATAAAATGCACAGTTGTTTAGCACCATTGCTTAAAGTGTAAGTGTGTGTGTGTGTGTGTGTGTGTGTGTGTTAGTGTTATATCTCAGACCAAGTAGCCCTCTCTGCAATCATCAGATGCTATGGCAACACTCCTGAATCGGGCCCCTGGTCTTGGCCCGCCTCCTCTTCTGGACACAGACGGGGTGGTCCTCCATTCCTGTGATGACACAACTCTGGACGGACGCACTCCAGATGAAGACGACGCCGCACTGGATGCCCTGGTGACCTCGAGGTGGTCACTGGGTTTCACAACTGTGTTCATGACTGAGGAGAAAAGGATATTTGACATAAATACATACAGGATTAAATAAATACAAAGAAGATTAAATATTTGTTTAAGCCAATAATGAGTTACTAACCCTCAAGCTGCCGTTGAACTCGTCTGAGCTCCAACAAAATTGATGCAATATCCTGAAAAGGAAATCTTAAATTGTAAGGACATTGGCTTTAACTAGATTAAAATAATGTGGATCAAACCAACTTTATTTGAGGTTTTCAAAACTGGCATATCATCATCAGCAGAAATCTTTGTTTCGATTTCCTCCCAAATGTCCATCTTGTCTTGAAACAGGACCCTGCAAGAACCACATTCATTTACTTAGAAGTTATTTTATACACTCTAAAGAAGGTTACATCCCTTTTAAGAGCTCACTTTATTTTTTCACTAAGCTCCTCTGTGTTTTCTTTAATGGTGTTAATGATGTGAGACACAGGATCCAGCTGATTGTCCATTTGTACCTTAGCAGAGAAAAGCACTTTCATGTAATGATTATTAAGATTAAACATACATTTTTATGGCACCTTATGTCCTCACCTCCTCTTTGTTCTCGTCCCGCTGTCTGATGCTCTGTTGGTGGTTTAGTTTAGGGATTGGTTCAGTTGGACCTGCAGAATATGCTGAGGGGCCTCTTTGAGTGTTTAAGCGATTCTCTGGAATATGCCCAGTGAGCTGCAAAACAAAACACGGTCAGAATAAGATCAAAACAAGACTAAACAAAATCAGCCTGACTCAGTAGTAACCTGTGGATGAGCCGTCACAGTAGAAGATGCTCTGCTCTCTGCTCCAGGGTTTTGAGAGTCTCCATCTCCTGCGACATCATGGATCTCCCTTGCCAGAATGGCAAGGTCTTTCGCCAGGTCCTGACTTAACCTGCCATAGAGATAACACCAGTACTTTTATTTTTAAGTAAAGATATACTGAATGGTATAACATAGTTTTTTCATACCGTGCAATCTCTGCGCTGTGAGTAGACCAGTTGTGATAGGCTTCCCCCTCATTGTTCTCATCCTCTGAGTCCTTGCTCCGGGCTGCTGGGCGCAGGGCGACCACAGGCAGGGGGCGGGGCTGGCTGTGCGTGCTGTGAGAAGCTAAGGAGGGTTGGGAGCGTTTGGGTTTAGGAGTGTTCTGGTTGGAGTCATACTCCTCATCTGAGGTAGAAGTATAGTCTGAGCCCTTCTGCCGCCTCCTCGAGCCTTTACATTGTCGAGGAGTTTGATTTTGACAAGGAAGTGGGAGAAGGAAAAGAAAAGAAAACAGAACCATGAAAGAACAAAGCCACAAAGAATATGACAAAAGTCACTGCAGTTCTCCCAGCAGCATAGAGCACCACTTGACTGTGGAAGTCAACATTTGCCTGCAAACAAGCACTATGTTTTCTACCGATTACAAATCGGAACACAAAAAATTATTGTCTTCCACAGCAGAGTAATGTTTAACTAGAACCATGATTATAAAAATCACAAGATTACATAATTAGGAAATCATTTGAGTCACTAAGAATAGATATTGTTAGTGTACATTTATTTTAAAAGTTAGTAGAGGTCCACAGTCTCATTTTGTCCACAGTACCAAATAGAAAATATTAGATGTTGCATTCCATGTTGTGTTTTTGAATTTGCCCTGATGGACAATAGTATAGGTTGTGCATTTACTGTAAATCGTGTTTAGTTTACCGAGTCCAGAACTTACTTGCTGTGCTGCTGGTATACTTGGCACTGCTGGCACGCATTCGGGTGATGGGAGTCTTGTTTAGAGGAGCTTTCTGTGGACGCTCTAGTGGCTTCTCTCCAGAGATGGATGATCTGCGACCAGTATTGCCTCTTACATCTGTGCTACGGTTAGAGGATCCTGTGCTCCGTACTGTCCCCTGGGGGCCTGATGATGCTTCATTGTCACTTGGAGTGTTAAAAGAACTAGTGCGCTTACGAGGCATGGCCAGCATGTCCCATCTGGAGAGTTTTTTAGGTTCCTGAGGTTGCTTAACTTCATCCCGGGATGCTTTATCAGTCTCTGTGCCCTCATTGTCCGACTCTCCGAGGCGAGCGCGTCGGAGCATGGATGCCCTCGTGGGTCGAGGAGCGGACAGACTGTTGGCACGATTCAAAACCTGGGACACTTTGGTGCTCTTACTCTCCTCCTTCTGCAGGGGCACCGTGTATTTCCTGCTCACCTGGGTGTGGTGTGACTCCTGGTCTGAGTATTGTCGACTGGAGCTGTGGTGGTCATTGCTTAAGTCTGTGGAGCCATGTTTTCCCACACTGCGCCTCAAACCTGCAGGTTTCCTGAAAGTATCCGTCTTGAAGCTTCTCTGTTTTTCTGCTCTATCTGACACTGAGGACTGGACAGCAGAGTCCTGACTGGTGATACTGGCAGATGACCTCTCCCTGTGGAAAGGGAAGGGCTTTTTACTGATTAGGTGTGGTTTGGTCTGGTTACTTTGTTGGCTCACAGAGCTGGATGTGTCCACATCAGACTCAGCAGAATCCATTCCTTGTGCTGTGTGTCCCCCCTGGAGCCTGGCCTCGAGTGTAGCCAGAACATCCTCCGTCTGTTTAAGATACGAGTGAGTGTCCTGAGAGGCAGAGCCATGTGCAGACTCCGGACTGGAGATATGTGGCAGCAGGGCAGTGCTGGGCCGGTCCGTAGTGAAGCTCTCCTGTCTCAGCAGAGTGACCCCTGAACCCTCTGAGAGCTCCCCCACAGCAGTGTTCCCAAAGAGAGGAGCTGAAATACTGGGACGAACTTTTCCTGGTTCTTGGACCGCTCTCTGCTTTGTCAGTGTGGCTGTCGAGAAGGTTTTCCCACTGTGTTTCTTTTCTGCTTTTGTGGTGTTTTCAGGTTGTGTCACATTCTCCTCTGAGCCGATGTAAAATGATGTGGACTTGGACTGAAGTGTGCGATTGTCTAGTTTCCTTTCCTGTGCATCCTGTAGGGGTTTCCTCCTTTGTTCAATGATAGAACCATCTCCTGAATTACTGGCATCACTTAAACTGTCCGGCTCAACATCATCTTGAACAGATAACCTCAGAAGACTGTCTTGAGATCGGGGAGCAGTGCTCTTCTCCATGTCAAATGTGGACTGCATGTCATATTGGACATGGATGCTGGGGGCTTCAGCGTCCCCCTTATTTATTGAAACCTGGTAGGTCCTGGAATCACTATGGTCCAGAATCTCCGGACTCACCTGGCTTTGGCTCAATGTGACTTTGTGCCTGGAGCCTAAAGAACAGAGGAATGTTATTTGAATTAATTAAAATGTACAATAAAAATAACAAATAAAGCAATAATTTACAAATCACATTTTTGTGTCAAGACTGCTTACCAACACCAGACTGCTCCATCTGGTAAGAGTCCAAAATAGAGGATGGGGGTGGGCATTCTGTATAGCTGTCTGCTAAGCTGGCCCAACAAGACATCCACTTAGGGGCCTGGATCTGCAGGATATATTAAATAATTAATAAGTTACTGTTACAGGTAAAAAATATACATATTACCAATGTTATTAATAGCCAGTGTTATGCATAAGGTTAGTGGGACAGATGGCAATGATGAAGTAGTTTAGTAAGTTAGTTTTGGTTATGAAATGGTACATCAATAAAAAAAAATAATGCCTACAATGGTTTGGATAAAAAAAAAAAAAAAAAAAAAAAAAAAGCAGTATCCCATATCATTTGCAAGCCTTTGAACCAACACACTTGATTCATCACTCCACTCATGTTTAGTTTTGGTTATGAAATGGTACATCAATAAAAAAAATAATGCCTACAATGGTTTGGATAAAAAAAAAAAAAAAAAAAAAAAAAAAAGCAGTATCCCATATCATTTGCAAGCCTTTGAACCAACACACTTGATTCATCACTCCACTCATGTTAATTTGATCCATTGACTTTGCCCTGTGATTCAGTTAGTTTCCCCCTCACCACACTACAGCCCTGCTCTCACCTGCCCAGTGCTATTCTGTCTATGTTGCTCACTGTCATTAACAATAACAGGCCTATCTGTGGTTGATGCCTCTACTTCAGTTTGGTTGGTGTGCACCCCAAACACCTGCTGGGAACAGAGCATCATGAGTTAATGGGTGAAGGAATAGTGAGAGCTGGCACTGAAAATAGGTGCTGGTTATGATATTATGTTATGATGCTCATTATAGTAACACTTTATTCAACATGACAAAATGACATGGCCGATCTTGCCTGGTCAATCTTGCTGCGGGCCTCCTCCAGCTCCTTGTCCTGCACATCTGCCTCGATGGTGTAAGTGCCTGCGTCACTCAGATTGTCCTCCTCATCATTCCTGCTGCTCTGAGCGGTCTTGATTTCAGCACCCTCTTGTGTCACTGAGGTCATGGTGCTGTTGAGGGGCACGGGATGGTGGATGGGAGAAGAGGTCTGTGGCCGATTGGCAGTGATGGATGGTGGGGGGCTGTCGGGGTCCTGAACAGGTAAATTGGCTTTAACATTTGGGGGGCTGGTAGACTTTCTCTCTACAGAAGCATTCTGTTTTGTTTGTTTAAGAAATTCTGCAGTAAAGTCCCGGGCCAGTTTGGATTTGCGTCCCACACTGCTGAAAGGCCGTGTGGAGACAGAGGAGGTGGAGCGAGAGGAGAAGCCGGTGCTGATGCGTTCCTCTGTCTTCTCCCTCCTCAGCGAGCCCGCCCTCTGAGGACCTGGAGAGTCACAGTCCTTTAGAGGCACAGTGTAGCGCTGAGTGGGAGGAGTCCTTTCCTCGGTTGGGCTGGGGCTCTTCCTGGATCTCTCCACCTCAGGTCTGAGTCCAGGCACAGGAGCTGGAGTGTTACTGGTGAAAGATTGAGAGCGCTTCTTTCTTTGACTGTCCTCAAAAATTTCAATGACAAACGCCTGTTTAGTCTCAGTCTTGGTGTGACCATGAAAGGAATGTGGTTCTAGGGAGGTGGGCTCCTTGGATTCAGATGATGTGTAGCGTTCTGGAGGAGAATGGCTCTGACGTCGAGAGACGTGGGATTTAGACTGAAGATCTGATGGAAGGAAGTCATTCCCATTGGTCCCGGGGATGCCAGAATCACTGTGTGTGCTGTCGTCCCAGTTTGCTGTAAAAAAACAAACAAACAAACAAACAAAGTTACTTTAACAGGTTTATTCATTTACTGGTCAACTTAAAGTGACTTACAGAGTCGTTTTTGCATGGAGGGATCACTGATTGTACTGTACAAGTCCTCAGCCTGTGACCTCCTCCTCATCATACTGACATTACTCTGAACCAGCCAGTCTGCTACTTTACTTTCTGCTGACATGACCTCAGTGGGAGCAGCAGCAGTTTGTGTGTGGGGAAGCTTTTTCTGCTGGCGATATGAAAACTTAGTGATGTGGTCCTTAATCTTCATTTTCCCCGGTGTGCAATCATCAAACTCTATAGTGAAAGAGGCATGGCTCTGCACCACAGGAGGGGTCGGGGTGGAAAGGACGCTCTTGGGCTGATCGGGGATGTCCTTTGTGGGGACTTCATGCACCGGCGACTCTGGTTTCTTGGCCGGACGCTGGTGGAGCTCTTTGGTTGGGATCTCAAAGTAGCTAGGCTCTCGGCGGTAAGAGAAAATGGACTTTGCCTGACTGTCAGACAGAGAGCCATTGAGCTCATATCTGGGGGAATCTTTGGTTGAATCTGTGGAAATAAAAATAATGCGTATTACATATCGCAAACATATGAACTGACAATTTATTAATACAGTAAAAGCATCACAGCAAGAACATCACAGGACTGTACCACTAGCAACAATGTAATAAACACTAAGTAACCAAGCATTAGGGACAGTTAAATGCTGACAAATGTGAGGTAAGGATCAGAGCCCAGAAGAAGTTAGTTGATCAGGATTAATCTGTTTCAGACCAGGCAACATGAGGCCTACAGTTAGACTCCTTTCCGCGTACTAGCTTAACGGATGCTAATCCATCACAAGGCACACATGCCCTGCCCAATCGCCTGGCATGGAGTGTACACGACTGACAACTGACAGCCAGAGACCTACCTCTGGATTACCACCAATGACAGGCAAAGAAATGCTTTCAATATTTAATAAACTTAAAAGTATTGAACCCATAATACGGTAACGACAATAAATGACAGGTGCCTGTACCCGGTGAATCCTGTTCTGGCTGCTTCCCTCCTCTGGGCGACTTCTTTTTCTCAGGGTCTTCATCTTCCCCCCACCAGGACGGCTGACCATACAGAGGAGTGGGCTTTGATATTGGCGTGTCTGTAGCAGCTAGGAACAAAACAGACAAATACAAGGATAAACACAAACAAATCAACACAAACAAGTACAGTGAATACATGACCAGACTGAGGTGGATTTGCCCAGTCTAGGGTATTTATGAGGAATACCATTTATATAAGTCGATTTTGCTGCTTGCAAGTGGTTGCAGTAACAGAATATTGCACAATACAATGATATAATGTTACAGAGGGCTACCGTCTAAATTCTCACACTCCTTTGAGAACTCTGAAAAGCAGGAAATGGGGTCAGACTTGATACCAAAGACATTATGAAGCCACCCAAACCTAATCCATTTTGTGCGAGAGACAAAATGAAGTTAATCCTAATCTTTAAAAGAAAAAGACTAGAGGATAATCACTGATCTTTTAACCAAATTCCACTCTTCAATATACTGTACTATAATCTATGAAATGCCATTGCTTAAGTAGTATTTTGTGCCAGACTAAGCACATAATCTGGATTCTGGATGTTGTTCTAATGCACAGGATAAACAGTCATAAGCAGCAGTCTAATATCTGAAACATCTGCAGAGCTTGTTGCCCAGGACACAAACAAAACAACAACACTGCAGCAGCATTCAAGTGCCATGCTTCAGTCCTGTCGCATTACTCAACTCTCCACTAATAACGTAAGGCTTGTACTGTAGTTCATATTCTCAAGTGTTTTTTACCAACATTGCACAAGTTCAGACTCAGACTCGCACTTCAGAGCAGACAGCTGTGAGATTGGACACTCACATCCTGTGCAGCTTCATGGGAAAATGAGCAGAGGAGCACAGAGGGAGAGACAAACCAACCTTTTCATTTTTCCTCTCAGCTCACAAATGTACTGTGTTCAGAGGGCAGTTGTAATTCATAAGAAAAAACATGTAAACACTTCTTTCCCTTAAAGGCAGATTTAGACAAAGTTGTATGCATGATTTGATGATTTGTGTTTCTTATCAGTGTGTTGTGGCAGTTCTAGTCACACAGTAGTTTATATATCACTTTGGCACTCTGCACGCTACGAAAACTCAAGGCTACATCACATGGCCTCTTTCAGCCTGAGTGAGCCAACCACAAAGAAGTTACAGTGACCATTTGTACAGAGCAGTGGAGGAACAGGCTAAAAGTATCAATGTTCTACTAAATGTACCAGGGAACATGAGGCATTAATACTTTTCCATGGAAAAGAAAAAACACTGAATTCCATTGTGAAGGATACACAAGGAGACACAAAAGCATACAACCTAAACCTACATCTTCTTACTGCAAGTGTTGGAAAACAAAAAAGCCTTCATTTTTCAAACCAGGCAAAAACAGAACTCACATGAATAATGAATGAAGTGTATAAAAAGAGTGCATGTGGGAACGTCTGCTCATTGTAGGTAACTAAGCTAATGGGTCATGTATTCCACCTCCCCGTGTCCAGGCGTGGCCTTCACAGATAAAACTACATGACTTCAACCTCAACTGCTCTGGGAAAGCCTGACTCATGTAGGCATACTCCAACTGCAGCGCCAACAACATGGGCACATGAAAATCTATTTATTCAAGCCAGCACAGAGTCTTTAGCTCACATGTGCAGTCTAATCGCACAACAGGAGAGCTCTTGATAGAGAAGGATCCTTATCCAGGGATCAAGCAGACAAATACAACATGACCAAGTGGACACAAGACTTCCCTCTTCCTGGTGCGGGGGGCATGTTTTTCAAATCTATTGCAAGTCACCAGGTTCACTAGAGCCAGTGCAAACAATGACTTCATCTCAGTTGTCACAATGACCTAAACCACATGTACAGTTTCTTACAATACATTCTTACAATAAGATTAGATTAGTGATCAGCCTTATACCTGTACATGAGTGGGCCTTCCTCTCAGTCCTGTCCTGGAGCTTGCCTTTGGAGACAAAATCCTTGCTCTTGTCTGGACTATGAAGCAGCTTTTCCTTCGTCTTGGCCTCCAGAGCTTTGATACCCAGCTGCAACTGGCTGGTGTATTTTTCATGCTAAAGACAGACCGAGAGGAAGCAGGATGTGAGGAAATTTGTGCTAACATGGACAGTAAGGATGTACCTCCCGGCAGAAAGTTTACAAACAGAACGCATTCACTAAAATATGCATTTAATGTGACTTACTTTGAGAGCTTCCTCTGGTACCTTATGTTGACTTTTCTCTAAGATATAGACATGGACATGTGCAGGATAAGTCAAGGAAATACTACAAATTTAAGATTAAAACTGATTTTTTTTTTTCCATGATCAGTGTTTTAATCCGGAAATATCTTGTATGTGTAATTAACATTCACAAGTACGCTCATCTAACAAGGATGAGGAAGGAACTGAATGTATACCTGTGGTCAAATTCAATAATTGTATCAGACAAGCTGCTTTTCCCCAGTTATCTCAACCTGATTTCAACATTCACAGATTGCTGCACAGGGGTCAAAGGGTGCAACAGATTTTCAGTGTGCTGTGGGACATAATCTCAAACCCCTGACTGAAAACCACTGGGGGGATTAACATACCAGAGCAGCCCAACACCACTGCCTAAAAACACTTTTTGAACCATACCAATGATTGCCATGTTCAGCATTTCCTGGTAACAATGCTGTAAACAAATGAAGTGGAGCTAGTCAAAGTTACGCAAAGGACAACTAAGAATAGATGAATATATTAACAGGCAAAAGGATATCATAACCGAAGCGAATAACATCTGAGAGCTTGAGTGTGATGTAGGTTTGGTCCGGGATCCTCAAGTCATTCACAAAAGTCTGCAAAAAAAAATAAATAAATAAAAAAGAAGCAATAAAGAGTTGTGGTCACTTGTGGTCACTGATTACTGAACAGTCATTCCAGGTGATAGCATCTTTGAAACCTTCTGGCATTCACGAAAGAACTGTGGAAAGTGTAAGGCGCTTTGCATTTGGCTCTTTTCCAGTCTAAACATAATCCATTAGATTATGTTATGTAACTACTAACCATTTGGTGAGTACTTATTTGTGTATGAAAACATACCCACCAGGCAACAGCAGAACATTTTACATATTTTTGTAATATTAATAAAGTAAGCAATAGTAAACTCTGAATGCATGAGGTGTCCACAAATAAACATAGATAATGATTGGGTTTTTTTGCAGACAAAACAAAGATGTTTGGGGAAGTCAGACTTCAGGGACAAATCTACACTGTTCTGCTCTGATTAGTTTGGCTGTAGTAACAACTGCACATACAGCCCACTGTTTCTGAAAACAAAGAGCTGCTTCTCCTATTGCTCCACAGAGAGCTTCACTGGGTGCACTGAAGTGGCAACAAGACAAATGTAAAAGTCAGTGAATGAAAATACTTGGATACTGATACCAACCCCATTCAGGCTGCCCAGGTCCTTCACCATGTGTTCATCTGTTTTTGGGTCGTAGTTGATCACAGCATGTTGTTTGTCCACACTGCGAGACTGTAAAGAGGCACATAAATCACAGCGATGAAGCAGAAGACACACACTTGCTCTTATTCGGTTTATGAATGTCTGTTGACCGCTAACAATGCATGTGATTCACAATGAGCTGGTCCCACTCCCAATTTCCTGCTCATTAGTGACTCTGGGCCTCTTCAGCAGAAAGAATAACACAGATTGAAGCAGTACTGTCAACACTGTGTACAATCTTTGACCAGTCCATTCAATCCATACTGGAGGATAAAACAGTTAGGACAGTTTCACGCTGTATATCCAGCACCACTTGTTAGAGACAGAACATTGTTGCCATGGAGAGAATCCTTTTATATATGTCCTTGCATTTATTCTATAAATGTATAATCACAGAATGTTTATGTTGCACATTATGGAGCATACCAGAGAACTCGCATAGCATCAGAAGCCTACTGCATAATTTGTGAGTGAGTGTAAGTCTGAGGTCTCTACAGCCAAATTTGGATTATGGGAAGCTTTCCAATTTAGCCGCTGTGGTCGGGAACATTTTTTCTGCCCATAACTTGTTAAGAAGTACCGTATAAACAAAAACAGCATAGCGAGAAGCACTGGTCGATTTTTTAAAAAGTTTTATAAAAATGCTCAGGAATGTACAGCATGGAAAACTTGACAGAAAGGAATGCTTTGGCCATGTTAAAGTCTTTGTTTAAGAGGGTGTCAGGGCAACAGTGAATGGAGGGACGTCAGACTGGTTACACAGTCACAATTATGAACACAGAGAGCGTGTCTGGCTCTGCTCGGCATATATTCACACAATGTGGTGAAGAGAGGTGGGGACTCATGTGACACATGGCCGCTGTTTGCTGTGTAAACGTTATAGTGAGTTTCTACCTGCAGCATTAGCTCGCAGTCATCCCGACCCACAAAGATCATCTCCCGTGGCAGCCGGTGGCGAGTGCCGGAGCTGCTCACCAGGAACCAGGAGGTCACGCTCATCTTAGGGCCACGAGTCAGGACTTTCTCTGCATTCTGCCAAAAGATAAACACATCAATGACAATCAAACCCAGTGTCTGACCAAAAGGTTTAACTTCGAAGTGCACTATCTCTTCAAGATTACAGGACGCTATTTACTCCTTGTAGTGCAATCAAAGCACACCTTTAATGAGTCATTCAGGATTTCACAAAGAACAGAATAGCGTTTGAATCGAGTTTTAGTAGGTTCACAAATGACAATGACTGAATTAAAATTAAAGTGGAATTAAATCTACAAAGGAACATAAATTACTGTGAAATCCAAACCCTGGGTAGTGAAACATGCATCGTAACCTGCTGCATAAACCTGCCCAACTCCTTTACAATCCATAGGTTTCGAAATGATGAAAATGTTGCTATAGTGATTAAGAAAATATTTTATCTCTTGAATGAGAATAAAGTCCTCTGAAGTGTAGCATAGCTGAAAGCCATGAATGGACTTGTAACCTTGATACCATGTTGTCACGGCGATAGTAACCACATATTAGGAAATATAATATGGCGCAGATGTAACTCCTGGCCAGGTGTAATCACTTGTTCACTAAATGTAGCCAGGAAATGAAACACAGAGGGGACAAGGCTTCGGGGACAGTGAAGAGGGCTGCTCGGCTAGCACCACTGGAACAAGCTTCTCCTCCTCGCGTTTGTTCCAACAGCGACATACCTGAAAAGTCTCTTCCGTTTTGCTCCCAAGTAAAGCCAGGGTTAGCGTCCTAAAACAAGCGCACTTCGACGACCGATAAGTACAAGCAGCAGGTTGTAAAGCGCAGGTAAACGATCATCACACCCTCTCCTTCTTCCTGTGGGAATGTCAAGTCGAAACCCTCCTGCCCACGGCTGACGTACGCTGCCTGACCAGTCCCACACGGTCTGATCCACGCTCACAGAAACTGACTGCAGCACGGGCGTGAGCAAAGGCGCAAACCCATGCGCAAAACACGAACAGCTCTCACTCTGTCTGCGCAAATCCACTCTGTCTGCGCAGAGCAGCGTCAAGTACAAATGCCACTCAGAAGTCACGCCCATTGTCTCCCATTACGTTTAATTTGATTCATCTGATCAATATTTGACTTTCATGTTATGCTCTCTACTCAGTACAGCGTGGGACTACTACTTGTAAGAAATGTCGGTGTTCCCTCATAGCCCAGATAGAGCCTATAATAGGCCAAACCGTGTACAGTCTACGGGCCAAACTTGAAAATGAATAAATTTGGTAATCTTAAAACATATTCTGCCTCTAGGTTAATATGTATCAATAGTGTATAAGTTATTGGCACAGATGTTTGTTTTTTTTTAGTTTTTTTTAGATGAAATAAAATAGGCAACGTGTGCTAGAACTGACTCCAGAAGATGGCGCTATTGATCTAATTTAGAAAAATATTTTTCTTTTCCAGTCATATTTTTATGACGAACCTTCAAGTGCACCCTCTTTAGTTAAGTATTAGTAAAATTTACAAGCTTTTCAAGCTATCTTCAAAAGTGATAATTTCATGTTCACATGTGGTGAACGTGTCCAAATTACTCCCTCTGCCTTATCTTTAGGTGGTGCAACAAAAATGAGATCTGTTTATTTGTATGGCCTACATTGTAGTAAGCAAAGAGGTTGGCTTATTCTGGACAGGTTGAACCTGTTTGTACCTTTGTCTCAAAAATCCCGTGCCCTCAGGCCTCAGTTAGATTTGCAAATGGGCCATGATTTTCACATATTTGTGTGTACTTTTTATGTTCTGCAAGTCTACCACGGATTTAGGCGTACTCTAGTAACTGAAAGTGTCATTGTTTATTTTGGTGTCTTGTGCCTCTGGTGATGGTCTATGTTGCTGTCTAATACAAAGGGGAGAAGGGCTCTTGGGGAGTGAGCGAGTCTTCTGCAGCACAAAGCAGAGGGCCCATGTTGGCTCAGGGGAGACCCGTGGCTCAGTTCCGGCGCAGAGCACTGCCACCGTGCGCTGTTTGGTGAGGGATCGTTGTTAGGTGAATATCACACCGGGGCACACCGGGTCTCACCACAGGCCTTGGTGCTGCAGCTGGCCTTAGACAGACTGAGCTCTGGCTGTCAACATCTGCTCCAGAGTGCGCCATCTGCCCCTGGCCCGAGGGAGCGCACTGTCTCCAACCAGCTGTACACCACCACACAAACCTGAACAAGTCTAACGCTAATACAGGGCACGAAAAACTCAGGCCAGACACTTGCCAGTGCCACAGTAATCAAGTGAGAAAATGTGAATAACTAGTATGTTAATGAATTGAGCACTAAACACAGGTTCATTGTTAAGACACTTTATTTTTAAGAAAGAAACAGTGTACAAAGTTTATATTATTTGTTTACTAAAGCTGGTGTCCTCATACTCTGAAATATGACAGGGTAGGTACAAAAAGTTGGAATAAAAATAAGTAAAAAATGAATTTCCCTATTATCAGAAGAAGACAGCAAAGAGTGGGTGTGCATAGGAATAAGTAACAATCAGGTAAAAAACAGCTTGCAAACAAAAGTAAAAACATAAAAACCATTACATTCAATAACGTGACAATGCACTTTTCAAATTGATTATCTTTCATCTTTAAAACACTGAGGGGTTTTAAAAACCTCTTAGATTGATACACTAAAATACTAGTTTTAGTTCCCAGGAGCCTTAATTTTGCCTTAACCAACTTTAAAAAGGGGAATCATAAGTCGTATACAACTTAAATTTACATTATAAAACAAGCTAATTTAGTCAACCATGACATGCAAAATAGTCCAAATACAATCACCATAGGGCAGTAAAGTGCATATCATTGGCACAGTAAACTCATTTAGTTGATGCTGGTCTCATAAATAACACAGGAGCTCAGAAAAGGACATGGAGTCCATAAAAAGCAAATCAAAGATGCGTCTTTGTTTCTCAACATGCTGAAAGACAGTTTTCAATGTATTCCTTGATGTGTGTTTAAAGTGACCTCACTGAGGCTGCAGTAAATGCACTGGGTGGAAACCCCCAATACTAGATTGAAGAACATCCCAGAGGACTGAGGGCTCTGAAAGACTATTGAAAAGACTCTGGTCAGACAGTCAACCAGGCTCTGTTCACAGGCAGCACTGAGGGAACAAGGCATCAAGAAATGTAAGCACTTAAAGCGATCAAGGAGCCCTTCTTGGGATGAGGGGCTTGCAAACGTAGAATCACAACTGCTGCATTCGTTGCATGCCATCATCACTTCTGAACTTTTTACACACTATAGGTTAGGCGTGTATAAAATATCGGTGTGCACTTTGTGGTTGCAGGCTCATTTTAAAAGCATTCAAGCATCCTTTCTTGAAGATGGTGTTTCCGTTTTCGGACAATCATCCATTATTACAAAAAGGTAAGTATGCAGAATCAATTACTTTATTTTTGATATGATACATTCACTTTAGAAGTCTCAAAGACTCAATTGTTCAAAAAAGGAAAATTTCACCCACTCAAACACTTCAAAATGTTTAGTCCACAAATGGCCTGTTGTTCTGTAGTCCTTGTGTTTGAAATTTGGGACTTTGTAACCCATACTTCTTACCTTTAATCTTTGACTGGAAATGATCACATTCATTATAACATATGGATACCTGCTCAGGATACAGCATAACAAGCGGGAATGGAAGCTAGTGTTAAGCCTCTGTGCTCAGTCTTCAGAGCCACACGGAGAGACCACAGTTATCTTTGTTACGTTTTGCATTTCCTCCTTCGTACGAAATGCAACATGCAGACATCCAACAGCGGCATCTGCAGACAATGCTGGGAGGAGGACAGGCCCATGGTCCCAGTCTTTTGAGAGTGCAGAGGAGAGAGGGGAGGTGGGACAAAAGGAATGTACGAGAGGTGCTTTAGGCCGTCCCACTGGCGGAGTAGGAGAAATGGGGGAAATGTGGTCTTCGCTCACTGTCAAAGGATTCCATACAGTCATCTGGAAATCAGTAAAGAATATCAGTTTAGTTAAGAATAAGTTTAGTTTTATCAATAAGTACTGTCAAAGCCAATACCTGCCCTTTTTACATTATGTTGATATTTGTTTGTTATTTAGTGTTTTAGTGTGGTAGCAAAGTCACCCAACACTGTATTAAAAAGACGGTTAGGCAAAGCAGAATTCTGTACCGTTACAACAACTCCAGCCACAAAGAATAGGAAAAAAGTTTGAGCAGATTTTTATCATCATCCATAACATAATAAATGTCTTTGTCAATGGAAAACTCTGTAGGGTATTATAGTGACACTGGTTTTCCAGAAGAGGGCAGACTGTTCCCAAGAGAGCTTCCTATACTTTTTGTACCCATTTCAAACTAGCATTTAATGAGGGTAGTATATGGTTGTTTGATGCTACCTTGCCCTGGTGGGGTAATTGTGATGGTCTGCGCCGTGAACTCCTCATCAAAATATCGCGTGTCTGTCTCCGAGGTAACTTGGGGCTTAAATGGTGGGACCAGCTGTTGAGGAGAAGAAAAGTTGACATATCAACACATCAGGGCCATCCTCTGGTAGAAAATAGTCATCTGCTCTTGTTTCTTGATAGCCGCTTACATCACTAAGCTATGTGTGCTGACAGTCACAAACAATGTAGATACTCACCTTTTTTTCATATACATCTTGCCATTCAATTCCAGAAAAAAATTTATGTTGCATAATTTCCTTAGCATCTTCAGGTCCCCCACCTAACCTGGATGGACAATAGGAAAGACAACATCAGCACCCTGACAGTACTATAAAACAAACTTTATCTTTAAAAATTTCTGAAAAAGAAATGGCTACTACATTATACTAAGCCAACACCAAAATTATACTAAGCTAACACCAAAAGCTATAAAACTAAGAATAATCCATCACAAACATGTATGTAATTAATTTATAATGGTCATTAATAGTGCGTTATGTGTTACAAAAATGCAAAATCCGTCTTTGTGACGGATGCAACTATAACAATGTAAGAATGTGTGAGAAACAAGATGAATGCCAACTTTGGGGAAACAAAGGGACTGTAGGGTGATGTTAGTATGGGATAATAAAAGCTATTGTAGCTTCTGGGGAGTTTCTTTACCTTTCCCTTCCCTTACAAGACTTTCATAGAAGTAAATGTATGATTTTTTTAATGTTTTGTAAATACATAAATAACAAATTAATAAATAACAGAAGTGTCAGACCTCTGCATGGGGTCTTTCTTGAGAAGGCCAGAGAGTAGGGAGCGTGCCTCTGGGCCCAGCGTTCGAGGGAAACGGATGTCCTCCATGAGAATGAGCTCAAACAGTTTCTCGTGATCTTGGTTGTAGAAAGGCAGTCTTCCACACATCATCTCATACATTACAACTCCCAAACCCCACCAGTCGACAGCCCGGCCATAATCGTTGTCTTCTAACACCTAACCATTACGAAGAACAAAAAATTACAGATTTTTATTGTGCATTACAGGCTTCATGAGACTCTCTAATATAGGGGTCCCCAACCTGTAGCTCGGGAGCTATCAGTAACTCTCCAACCCTTTCCAAGTACTAGTAGAGATTTCTGAATTCTATGTATTGTGGATAATAAGTAAAAATTGATTAATCACCATTATGAATGTATCATTTTGATGCCTGACTTGGTGCGCCAATAAATGGATAAGGGTTTATGTTTTATAAGCATCCAGCTGTTCCCCATCTAAGGCTTGCTGTGGCTCTTATATTTACTCAGTTTCTTTGTGACTGCTGAAATTGGTAGCTCTCTGGAATTTTTTTGTAAAGGAAGCTCACTGGAGAAAAAAGGTTGGAGACCGCTGCTCTAATACATATTCTTTTGGTCCTTATTCATTTGGGCAAAGGTGGGTGAAGTTTTCAAGTGAAGGACAAAAACTGAATGCAATGCCTGTAACAAACTGAACAGTCAACCTTTGGACTTGTGGCTTTTACAACTGACATATGGCCACTTTATACAAAAAATGTTATACTAACCTTCTGGTAAATGCACCTGTACTATTGAAGACATCAAAAACCATCGAAAACTACAGCTTCTCCAACTACCAAAGTCACCTGCTCTTTCCTTTCCGGGTCTAGGCTCTGGAGGCAGCATTAGCCAACACTGACTCACAACTCACATTAGGAGCATGGATAGAGTTTCTCCTGGAGCCCTGCATATTTAATCATCTCAGAGCCAAACACACATACACAGGTCAACAAGCAGAGATATGGATAGCTAAAACAAGACAATGTTAGATCACATGTTCTATATTATCTCATCTTACAAACTATCAAACACCAACACCAAATACATATGTTTAATGTGTTGTGATATGGCCTGTTTAGTTCTAAATGAGACAAACTCTTAGGATGTTGTGCTGCTGAACAGCAGAACCTGTTGCATGACTAATGTGCTGCTGAGCAGAGTTGTTCTAGGCTCTCTCGGGACATGTACTGGATTCTACCACGCCAGGCGGATGTGGAAGGTGAAATCAAGACAAGAAGTACAGTTTGTTCTTTTAAACCTCACACAGAGTCGTATTCAGCAATTCAGATGTAGAATTAAGACTTGAGTAAAATGAGCATATGGATTAATTAGAATTACATATGGACAAAAGTTCAAAGGCCAAAAAAGAGGGTCTGGTGTCCATAAAAGGAACAAAAACTTTACGCACACGAGTGGGCATGCTGCCTGGTGCTGCGGTGAGTCTGAGCATCAAGGAGGACTCAGAGGGCAGGGGGAGTAACGTGAAGCCCATTTGGGGCTAGGATTACTGGGCCGTCTCTATTTCCAGCGCTGCTGTCGTGTGATTCACACCGTGCGACAGCTGGGCCTGCAGCTGCCCCATATAAGTAGAAGAGCAGCACAGCTGTGAAGCTGCCAGGAGCACAGGAGCCAAGCTCATCCCTCATATACGTAACCAGGACTGCCTGCTCGGGCCCCAGTCTCAAACTAATACTGTTACACTGCCCCTAAGGAGCGCACATAGGGGGAGGAGAGAGCAAGACCAGGCACTTGCTGCTGCTCTGTGGCTATAGCTTGTGCACTGCATTTTTGTTGCCAACAAACGTGATTAACATCAGCCAATTTTCCTACAAGGTTAAGATTTTTAGATTTGTTTAATTTCAGAAGTTAGATTACTCCTATCCACATGATTTTCAAAAAAGGTATTCCCCAACACCCAATTCCTCCAAACAATAATATTTTTGCACTTGCAAGTACTTCATAAAAGTGACAATGTGAATTTGTCCCATTAGTCCAAAGGGTAAATGGTGGAGTTTTGCAGATTCTGCCCCCCTCCTTCTCTTACCCCTGCACTGGGTGGAATATTCCCAGACGTTACAGCATTCCTGTGCAGCACACACAACAAGGTCATTGTTTACTGCAGAACAACCTGTAACACTGCCTGGCCTGCCCTCCATAGAGACGCTTGCCAGCGACCCTGTTGCCATGGAAATGCCCCCTGATGTCTCCCTGCTCTCTGCTGCTGAGGCCAGAGCTGTCAGAGACTGTGCTGCTTTGTGGAGAGCGCAGACAGAGAATAGACAGGTGGACTGTGGGGAATTTTAAACATGGTTTAGAGAAAGAGAGTTAGTGTTGTCCAGGTGATTGGACACAAATTGGTATAGACCTTTGGGTTTAGCCTTAATGTAAAGACTTTAAATTGGCTAATAAAAGTTTAGGTATGTTTCTCCAAGAGGCTTGTGATACCCAGATCACACCTGTTGCAAAGCATGCACTACACACATGCCACAGTTGCGCACCAGCTTGGCTGTGACTCTAAACAGCTGTAATAAACATGGATTTTCCAGTGCCGGAAGCTCACGTTTCATGAAGTGTTGTAAGCAAATCACCTCCTCCTTCACTAAACAGAAAATACCAAACGGAGACTAAAAAAAACTGAACAGCAACTGTGTCAACTTCTTCCGGTAAACATTTTTATGGTGACTGACAAGGGGCTACTGCAAACAAATTCACTCACACACTGGCCTACAATACAGTATCGTGTTACTCAGCTCCTCTCTGACACTCGTCATACCTGCACGCTACTGGGTGTTACCACACCCCTCCCTACACAGCAAATATGAGAGGGCCGCCCTGGGCATACAGCATTCACTGCCTCTTAAACTTCAGCTGGAGATTAGAAAAGCATCCAGAAACAGCTGCCATCTCTTCAACACGCTTCCCATTCACTGATGTCCAACAACACACATGGAGTTTGGTTTAACTAGTTTACCCTAAACATTGTAATGGTACACCTAAAACTTTATACTTTATATATTTTTTTTAACTTAAAAAAATATATATGGCAATAGCCTATGGATACTTTTAAACAATTTAGTGCTTTGACATATTAGAAAATGCAAGTCACCTCAGGCGCTAGGTATTCTGGTGTCCCACAGAAAGTTTTCATAGTGGCGCCATCTTTGATGCCCTCTTTACACAAGCCAAAGTCTGTGATCTTTATGTGTCCATCTTTGTCCAGCATAAGGTTTTCCAGCTGCAAGAAGGTAATACAATGAATACAGATGAGAATAATGTAAAAGGAGAATAACATAAGGCAGGATGTGCAAAAACAAGGTGACAAAAAAAAAAAAAAAAATTGTGAAAAACTGTAATGCAAGTGTGATCAATAACCTACTGAGCAGTGTCATAGTTTCTTGTCATGACATATGTCAAGGCCTTTCATACTACTATGTGCTTTAATCTGTGCATCTTCTCACTTAAAGTCACCTGGCAGCTGTAGCTCACACGTGGCCAGCATTGGCTGTCCAGAGTCAGCACATCCTCCAATCCTGCTACCCTGGCATTTTCTGGAGAACCCTAGCAGGCAGGGAGCCTGCCTCGTAAACCCAGGGGAAGTAAGGTGAGGGGGAGGGGGAGAATGGGGAGAATGGGGGAGAGAGTTGTGCTGACCTGGCTGCTATAATTTTATAAAGTGGAAGTTCCAGGGCTACAGATGTGTGAACACAAAAATAATGTAAAACACAAATTCTCCTCATGAGCCTTCAGAGCTAAGCAAGCTCACTGTATCAGCTGTATCAAACATAGCATACTTCTTCATTACCAGAATAAAGCTAATAGTATTAAACTTGACTTCATTAGTGTTTAGCTGTGTCAAGAGTCTTGTTTGTAGCTGCAATACACCCTGGACACTGGCATGGCTATGGATGGAGGAAGACCTATTTATACCTAGCCTAGTGGGAAATGACAGAGTTTGGGGAGGGAACACAGAGTCAAGGCTTTACCTTTAGATCTCGATAGACTACGTTCCTCTCAGAATGCAGGTAGTCCAATGCTGACACTATTTCTGCACCATAGAACCGTGCTCGCTCCTCTGAGAAAACCCGGTCTCTTGACAGATGAAAGAAAAGCTGAAAGAGATAGAAGAAAGGGATGTATAAATGGGGTATAATGGATATAATAATGAAAATGTTTAAACCACTGTATGATTTAGGGCTCAGCCTGGCATACCTCACCCCCATTTGCATACTCCATCACAAAGCACAATCGGTCATGTGTCTGAAAAGAGTATTTCAAGCCCTACAAAGCAAGAACAAGAATAATCACAGCAGAACATAGCTGATTTTGAAACTTTATCAATTTATATAAATTTCATTAAATGTATTTCTATTTGTAGTATATCTTTGTATTGGTTTGGATAACAGTGATCCTGGTGACAACATTGGTCACTCTCCACCTTATCGTTGTGAAGCTTTTCAATACACTTTGAATGGAAGGAAGTTTTTGTTTCAGTGGGTTTTAAGTATATAAGGGGCTCCTTACTGTCAAGAACGGATGCTTTGAATTCTGGAGGACTCTGTTCTCAGTGAGTGTATGTGCTACTTCATCCTTGAAAAAGAAGAACAGAGACGATGAATGCTTGTGCATTTCCCAAACCATTTAGGTGGAATGTATTTACTCCTTAACAACCACTCACTTTAGCTACGATCACCTCCTTCTTCAGGATCTTCATAGCATAGTAGCGTCCTGTGGCCTTCTCCTTTACTAAGATAACTTTGCCAAAAGTGCCTTTTCCCAGGAGTTTGAGGTATTCAAAGTCATGCATAGTCTGTCAAAGGAAAAGTAAACAAGAAAGAAAAAGAAAGAAAAATAGATACATTACCAAATTGCACTAAACCAAGGATACCATCACACTAACAACACAGAAGCATTTCATCCTCTTTGCAATTTCCACTCCTGTAATGGTCTGGCCTATATGTGTCGGAGTTAACCCTTGAACCCACTTCTAAACAGAACGTTGGAAATGGTTATGTGGATGACATCCAATCCAGTGACCTTGGATCTTTAAGTCATGACATATGTGGGGGTTGTGAAATCTTAAAGGACATGCTATCTGGTGCTAAGCTACAGAAGACAGAAAGGTGGTTTCAAAAACCATGTGTTAAGCACTTTGAAACAAATTTAAACTTTAGTAAAAGACACAATTAAACATTAAATAAGCAGCAATTGCAGCAACAGAGAAATATAGCTGTACCACTTTGTGTCTTGGTTTGGTCAGGTATACTTCCATGTCCATGGGGTCGGGAGATGAGTCCATCATCTCCTCCTCTTGTTTCTGCAGGCCCTCAGCCACTGCCTGAATGGCTTTAGTCCATTCTTCCCTGAAGGGGGCACAGGCAGCAAAGAGATTACATCAGCCCATTTACCACCATGCAAGCCCAGCAGTCCAATCACGTAATTGTCTGCTTATCAACAGGAAGGCAATTTCAAGTGTGAGCTCTGCCAATAGTCAGGACCACTTCTGCAGAAGGTGCATAATAACTAAATGTATATGTTGGTAAAGGTGTAAATGCACATCTGCATAGCTAAATGTGTTGTGCTTTACTGCTCTCTGAGCTGTGATGGGTGAGGGTCTTTCTTGCCTCTCCTCAGGGGTCTCCACATGGAAGGTGCGCTCGATGACAGTGGTCCACTGCAGGCAGCGGATGATAAATGTGTTGGGCTTGGGCCGTTCTGTCTTCATCAGCTGGCATTCTGACCACAGCCAGGGAGACAGCGGTGCAGAGGAGGGCCAGAGTGGGAGGCACAGGAAAAAAAACAGACACAGTTATAGCAATTTATCTTTATCGCCACCCGAACCCTGAGTGCTGGACTATTTGGACAAGAACAGGTGCACTCATGAAAGAAAACGTCTCTGAACTTCAACTCATCAATTTTAAACAACTATAATTCACAATTAAAACATATTATATTAAATTTAATTTAATTTACAGCCTTAAAACAATGCTTCTTTGAGTTCCCCTTTAGATACTTGAGCGACAAATAATGTCATGTAAGCACTTTGATAACAATCACTCACATTACTTTAATAAGAGCTATAAGAGGCCTTGATTTCCATCTGCACTTTCCTCATATTAACATCTGTTCGCAAATGAAACATGTCAGCAAATATGTCAAAAAGTGACACAAAGTGCCCTCTGTCTGATAGATGGACGACAGGGGCGTGGACCACCACTGAGATCCAACATGGCTCCATCAGGCCGAGTGTGTAATCCAGCTGCAGTCGCCCTGTCAGCAGCGCCGCACCATGTGTCCCCTGAGCTGGGGTCACAAAAACCATAGCCACCGCTGAGGAAGATGAAGCCTCGGAGCAGAGCCCAGATAAATACTTGAATTCAGGCGACTAATAGCTTCAATAACTCAAGAGTGTCGCGGAGGAAACATTTTGTTAAACAAACAGTATGCTCTCTAATTGCTGTGTTCAGTCATCTGCACAGCTTATCACAGCAACTTTCTCTGATGTGGAGATGAAGGGGCAAGCTGCTCTGGGCACTTGTGTTATTTTGTCATCATGTGTTATAATGGAGTTTAGGAAGCCACAAGCTGAGAGCGAGGATGATATTTAGGCTAGTGGAATCGAGTGCCAATCCTCTTGCAAATACACTCTTGCATATACTGGAGAAATTAAACCATGAATAGCATAAAAAAAGAAATAGTCAGAATAATATAACAATGAAAATAGTTCTGGATGTGTTCCCAAGCCTAAATATCAACAAAAAAATTAAACTAATAAATATAGTATAGTATTTTTCTATTCTGATTTCATATAAATGTCAAACCTTTTTCAGCAATAGGGTAGTTCAAAGAAAGAACACAGAAGTTATAAACCAAATACAGTTTCACGCACTGAAAGACAAAAGGGGAGAACGTGTTCCCTGAGGCAAATACTCACGTGCTACAGAGAAGTTATTTAAGGGGGTTTCCAGCTGGTCAACATCTTGTGGTCTCTCTTTGTAGCCAATGAACGTACCATCGCTCTTGAGGAGAAAATACCTCGGCCTCCAGGTCTTGATATATTCCCCTGATAAAACAGAGATTTTTAAATTAGAAAAAGCCAAACGATAGGAAAAGGGATAAAGAAGATTAATAAACACAGTCACAGTTTGTTTCATATAACAAATATTAATATACCACAGACAGAGCTTTCATTTCACTTAAATTCCTCAATCGTTATTAATATGCTCTTCAACACTGCCTAAAATGGGCATATTGTAAGTGCCTTTATTTTAATGGAGGTCAGCTGCAGGACAAATAGCATTTTGTTAAGAGCCAGGACCTTTTCCAGCTGTCTTTGCAAACGACTCTGTGGCATGTGTGAAATGGTTCGGCTGAATATCAATCAGTGGTTTATCCACCTTGAAGAATTCTTAACTTTTTTCACTAGTTCAGATTTATTCTATTGTTCACACTGGAACCATGTTAGGTAAACTCTTACGTAAATTCTTGACAACATTTTTCTAAACTTAACTTTTCCTCTTTGCTCCACAACACAACAGCCGTAAGCCTCGGCCATGCGTGTCCATCTCATTCAGTTGCATCACACAAATGAATTTCTCGTAGGGGGAGACCAAACTCAATTTATTCTAGTGATGCTTCAGGAAACGCTGGGCCAGATGTTGTGCAGTTGGCAAAAAGAGGAAAAAAAACGACATACCACAACAAGGCTGTGGTACACAATAGAGTGGCACGTGCATATTTATACAGGGGAAAAGTGCAATTTATTTTTAATTACGGTGCCGCATATTAACCCCATGCAGAGCTGGAGCAAGCTGTCCTTAATTGCTCCATTTCCTCAAACACAGAAGTGTGGCATGTGTGAGATGTGAAGGATGAAAGGGCAAGTGTGTTACAAAAACAAATGACCTTTTTCAGAATTTGTCACTTTAGTAAGACAGGAGGAAGTTGATATTTCTGAGCAATGGCATTAGCTGCTAATAGGACATGTTCCATATGGGTAAACGGAAGATAGCATTTTTTGACAAGGCTGACATTAAATGGCAACATAAGTCCCCCTCTGTCACAGACTTCCATAAAACTCCAAAGCCGCTAAACCCAAAACAAACATTCAACTGTTAAAACACCTGATTCGCTACAACTGGCAAAGAGGTGGCACCAATTACCACAGTGGAGTTAACATCTGCAGCAAATGCTACAAACTTCAGTCTTAATAAACAGCAGATGTCCAATCCGGTATTGCATTTGTCATTGTGTCGTAGAAAATTTTTCATTTACTTTGTGCAGCGTAAGTGTTTTCATGCACAGCTCATATTTAAATTAGATCAACTTTTGACAGACTTCATTGCCAGCACAGACATCACTCCATGGATGTATAATTGATAAACATGGGAGAAATGATAAACACAGTAGAAATGTGCTGGAGTTCCCTCATACACCTTCACTATTACCATAATGAGTCATTTGTCTATTGTAGACAACAATCAATTTTCAAATCCCTTTTTGCATGTGCACTTCTCTCTGGGGAAGCAACATGTGCACTGCCATTTATCACAAACACCACACTTCCTACAGCGATGCTTCAGCAAAAACAATAGATACAGTAATTATAAAATAGAGTAATCCTCAAATCAGGAATCAAATAAAATCCCATGCTAGATATTGTGATATAACAAGTCCTCTCTCCAGAGCTCTGTTGTTGTCAGCTGAGCCCCAGCTGTTGGCTCGCAATGGTCAAGTTCTGTCTGACCCACATCCCCTCAGTAATAAGGCAAGCGGGTCCGCACTAAAGACATGTGTGACCAGTACACACATGAGATAACGAGCCTCCAACCTGACAATGGCACAGTCGACTTGGAAGAAATGCTCAAACAACTTCAATAATATTACTGTAAATTTGAGATACTAATTGATCCAAGAATTAATCCAACATTAGGGCTTCAACAACTACTCTATAACTTATTATAATATTCTACTGTATACATTTAGTAAAAGATTAAACCGGATAGGTAAAATTAATACAAATTATAAAATTATAAAATGATCATAATCATGTAAACCGTAATGCACATCATCTAAAATAAAAGGAAGACAGTATTGCATAAAATAAAAATAAAAAAGATAATTGTTAATAAACCACACTATAATGTTAAATGTATATGATGTATATGATGAATTTCACTGTCACCGTGCCCGACCGTCTGTGTTTGTTTGAGTCTTTCTACATTCTAACTACTCAATCAATCCAAATCTTCTGAATCTATAAGTTTGTTTTTGTACGACCCTATGCCCTCTCTAGACAGCAGAATCCCAAGACTTCCTCCTCTGTGACCACAGGCTGGTCATGTGACTGCAGTGGAAGCAGCATATCCGCTTGTCTGTGCAGTGCCTCAGCCCCCACAAACAGTCTGCTCTGAGGACATAAACAACAATGATGACCCTTGTCAGCTTCCTATTTACACCCATTTCCTCTTCTTCTGCCTTTATTCAGTTCTACTTTTCACACAGGCCTTTACAAACGCACACTCATGCAACTGCAAAGTGAAAAGCAATTTTAGGAAATGAGCAGACGTGGATGAAAGTAAAAATGTTTTATTAAAAACATTCACTAGAAAGTATGACATCATTTTTATGACCAATTAATAAAAGATAAACTGCATGCCATTATTATTTATTAACTCAGTCACATGTTTGATCATCGCACCACACCACAAAAGGTATGAGATTTCCGCTTCCACGGCAATAAAAAAAAAATAAAAATACTATAATCATTTTAGGACTGCTGACAGAGGACAATGGTTTCAAACAAAGACAGACCGTTTTTTTTTAATATCACATCTTTCCGATAAACTATTACAACCTTTTGATGTCAAGTTCATCATAACAGGAAACATGGCAAACAGACTGACCACAACCTAGATAGCATTAGACTTTACTGTAAGTGTTACTACATATACACTATAAGGAAGTAAACGATCTGCACTTGAGAGTGAACACAACTCTGAAGTGAAGGGTGACATCAGTGGCCAACTCAACGAAAGCAGCAAATGGGCCTCGAAGACGCATCTGACACCTCATGAGAAATGGGAGAACCGGGGGGGATGAGAAAGCTACACAGTATGCAAAGAGCAGTGCTAGTGAGACAGATCACTACATATGCTGCCCACATATGTAGGAGTGCCACTCGCGGGGAGAGGCTCAAGTGGAGTGTGCCTGAGCCATGCGTACAGTTATGTGCATGGGAGGAGCTGTCAGGGTCTGATAGAGTGTCTTTACATGACAAGCAGCTGCTAAGGCCTGGGATGTGCGCTGGGCAAAGTGGAAAATAATGAACAGAGAGCTGGTGCCAAACACAACAGAATTCATCTTTATTTACCAACTGCTGCATGGCCTCGCATGTGGACAGCTCCAGAACGCCACCGCCACACCCTTTCTACTGTTAGCACTTAGCACACACATAAACAGGTGCATGGGTAAAAACAGGTCTGGCCACAGCATCAACACCACTCACGGACTCTTAAGACTTAATCAGAACTTTTTAATGAAGTTGCATTTCAAGTTCAACACTCCTTGTAAGTCAGTGTGACTACATAAGAGTATATCCATGAGAGACTGAAAGAGTTAGACCACTGTAAAGAGTTGATGATGGAGGTTAGTGTCTGTTTCCGGTGGCATCCTGTTTCTACATGAGAACAAAAGGAATGTTGAGATCCCAGCTGCTGCGCTGTTTTGGCCTTTAATAAGATGCTTCATGTAGCATTCAGCCACCCCCCCAAAAGGACAAGCCACACAGTCCAAACAATGGTACGACACGAACAGTGATGTGCCCTTTTTAGATGAATGATCCTTTCAGTGTTTTCTGCAGTTACTGAAGTTCGGTTTCTGAAGTTACATAAACAGACAACGTAGTGAATCCAGCACAGCAGAGCAGGGGATCTAAAAGACACAGAGTGGGTTTGTGCCCACACCCAGAGGCTGGACTTCCTGGTGAGGCTGCTGTTGGTGTTGTCCATTCAGAGCTGGGGATGAGAGGAAGGCAGCCAGTGGTAAGTGCATGAACTGTGTGAGTACTGAGAATCGGATGAGGATGAGGGGGGCTCGGCGGAGGTTGAGGATTAGGGAATTAGAACTCCAAAGCGAGGGAGGGGAGGTGGGGGGCACTTCTTTTGTTGGTTTTTCCTCAGCCGCCCCCGCCATCCCCTCAGCTCTTTTTCTGCCTGCTTCTGCCTGTAGGCTGCAGCTGCGGCTGCCACCCTGCGCCCTGCATCCCAATGAGCCGCGGGTCACCCTGCTCCAGAGGAGATGGGACTCCCTGATGCTGGGAGCCCCATAAGTGCAAATATCGCCCTTCAATAATTCTATCCTATGGGTCTGACAGCAAACACTGAGCCACATGTGATCAAGAGCGTTCTTGAAAGTCTGAATGTTGGACCGTGTCTTTATTAAGACTTCCTGCTTCCCTGCTCTGTTAAGCCACTGTGTACAGCTGGACTCAGGCTCCGGCTGCCAGCTCTTGAGCAGCAGCACCAACAAACTGTGGGGAACCCTGGCCTCCATCACTTCCCCTCATCCCTCTTCTGTGTGCTGCTGTTGCTATCCCAGCAGGAAGAAAAGCAGGAGAGCAGGGGGGCACGATGGAGCCTGCCCCTCTTTCTCACGCTAGTAGAAAGCCCTCACTTCTTCTCTGGGGTGAGTGACACCTGCTGATTACCATAGAGACACTGTGGGAAGTTCCCCCTGCCACAGGGCAGAGATTTGCCCCTCGCTCTGGGCAAACAAGCGGTCCATGGATTAGTTAACTGCATTAGTGTGTGGCAAACAAATAAACACACAGCATTTAGAGCACATTAGATAGATGTGTAATGTAGGTGGAACAGTCACAGACCAGCAGAAAGAGGAAGTGTGTGTCTGAAACAAGCACAATGCAGATGTTTTAAACTCAGTTTTAAAAATAAATCAGACGTCTCCAGAAAACTATTTGAAATATGCCCATCACTGTCAGCTGCAGAGGATGTAATGCATATGTGAGTCTAGGATCCACTCGGGAGCGGACAGCTGAGCATCCCTTTTATCTGCCTGTGCTCTCCCTAAACTGGACAGAGGTACCAGTGTGATTGATGTTTAGTCACTAGGAGCTTTTCGCCAGGCCACAGCCGCTTCCGCCATGTGCCTTATTTGTCAGCAGCGCTTTTATCCAGGCAACTGGGGGCTGTGCTGTAAAAATGGAGCACTGTGGATGGCTGAGCATACCCTGACAAAGGAATCCACGCAGAGGGGAAAGAGAAGGTGAATGTGATATGGTATTAATTCAGAGACATGAAAATGACAGAGACACAGTTGCCATGAGCAGGCGGACTCTGCACACCAAAGTAAGCACACAGCAGGCAAGGGCCGCCTCCTGGTCCTGCCACCACACCAACCGGCCCGGCTGCCGACAGCTGCATCGCACTCATTTACTTCTCTCCAGCACATTTAGCACAAGGACTGCATCCTATTACCCAGAGCAGGGGGTCGAGGCTGAGGGCCAGACGCCCAGCCAGAGCCCTGGTCTCCTGATGTGAGGCCCTCTGCTGCTGGACCCTGCTACAGAGGCCCAGGCCCTGATCAGTCTGCCATTTAAAATTTCACTGATGAGGTTCAGTTATTCACAGTGTAAGTATTTCATCCCAAACCATTAGTTCTCTCACTCCAAAGCACAGCATCAAACCTTCTAGGAACTACAATTCTGTACATGTGCACATGTGTTTGTCAGCCATCGCTGGAAATAATTATTAGGAGTTTTAACTTTTACTTATATGTTGTAATAGTTAACCACTCTTGAGCATACTGTTGCTTGTGCAAAGTACAGACGCCATGACTGATGGCACCACTGTAGCTACATTACGTTTCCAGATGAAATGAAAACTCAAGAGAAAATGCAAAATGATCCACTCTTTTAGGGTTTAAACGTTTACTAAAATGTGACCAGATCACCACAATATCACTGGTGTAAACTTCTGTAAGAGTTTTTATTCTCACATGCACTTTCCTGGACCACCAACGCTCTGGCTCTGAGGGTGTCCTTCAGCACATGACTGCTGCAGGAGCCAATCAGCTGATGAGCTGCAAAGCCGAGGCTGTAGAGGCCGACAGGGTCACTGAGCAATGTTCTGGGAACATCACAAAGACACTGCACACTTCTGTGTCTCCCTCCTCTCTCTCTGTGCCTGTCCCTCCACATTTCCCTCGCTATCTGTACCGATGTTCAAACCGCTCACCCCTCCTCTCACGCGGTGGAGCCAGCTGAGCGTGCTACCAATTCCAACAGTTGTTGTGGCCTTCGTTAGCCTAACGAGGGGGCTGGCTCTTTATACTTGTCAGGGAGCAAATGAGTCAAACAAACAGGGGCCAGAGATGAGGGGAGGACAAGCAAGCGCTGTTCTGTCGAGCTTCACTGGGTTCTTGGCTGCAGCCAGCACATCCCTGGAAACTAGGAACCCACAATCTGCCTCTTTGATGTCCGATGATGCTCTGGCTTTGAAGGAAACTTTGGAAAAACACACTTGTGAAAAGAAATAACATGGTTCTGGGTCTGTGAGGCAACTAGAGGCACAGACATATTGGAAGTGTGTGGGTGTACAATGTAAAAGAGCTAAAAGGGAGATACCATTTGGGGACACATAACAACTGGTTATGATAGAAACAACAAAGTTACAGTGTTCTTGCGAGCCTGTACTTGTGATGTGGTCGGCACAGAAGGCACTGGGCAGTGTCCTGTGGGCGGGGCAATGTCTAAACATGCTGTTGATACACACTTCTGCATATGCATGTCCAGCCGCACAAGCAGACCTGCATAATCCTACTTGACTGCTTTGACTTGGAGTTCTGAAGTGTCCTTCATGAACAGATAACAACATATCATCCAAGGCACACAATCTAGGCGCTGTAGAAAGTCTGAAGGTGTGTCCTTCAGAATGAGCTCATGTCAGTGTCTGGGACACACGTACGGAGCACTTCAAGGCTGAGAATCTGCAGCTCTAATAACAGGGTACACAACTGTACTCAGTGCACTCTCCTTTTCTTACAGGCACAAGATTGAAAAAAAAGATGAATCTCTGAAAAATCAAACAAGAATACTGATATAGACTAAAAATACCACTTATACAAACACTTATGCACAGAAGATTTAAAAAAACATTTTCATTTTTCATTTGTAAAAAATGGCTGCACCCCTATGCTACCATACACAATCCTACACAAACCTACACAACCCAATGCGACCATATGTAGACCTACCTTTATCCCCCCCCCTTTTTTTTTTTTAAGTAAAAGTTTATGATGACAGAAAACTATAGTAACACTGTTTAAAGTTCTTAATGTCTATTTTCTCTTCATAAATACAGTATATTATAGATCAGACATGTTAGTATGCCCAATATTATCAATTTAAGGGTCAGTGAGTTATGTTTTGTCAAACAGTGCTAAAGCAAAGAATGTCTTTTTGATCTTGTGTAGGAGGAGCATTGATGGTCATTTTAGAAAACAATTAAATTAGTATTTTGGAGCACACATGGGAGTAATGAGGATGCTGTACACTTGGAGCCGGTCATTATTATGCCCACTAAGTGATGTGAGTCACTTGGGTGGCGCCACCACACAAAACGCAGGAGTGAAGGTGCACCCAGGGCAGATCCAGGCTGAGCGGGGGTCTGCCCTTTGGATGGACAGCCGGACAGAGCCACAGGCGGCAGGCTTCTGTGCTGTGGCGATAGGGCACCAGCCCAGTGACAGTGACGAGACCTCCCATAAGACTGAGGACACCTCAGAGGACACAGCTCCTGAAGGCCTGTTTGTTTGGGGTTACTGAGCAACAGCTCAATAGATGTCAAGACTACAACTACAGTGCACTTCAAAATCATTTCATTTAATTTCTGCTTGCATCTTCATCTTTGCCTTAAATTGTACACTCTCACTAAATTAGAACATAAAACTAATGCTAGTAACATACATCTGATCTATCTGAAAAATATGTCTTTCCAAAAATGACATGGATCATATGCTGTGTTTTAAGGTTATAAGCATTATAATAAGGTAATAAACATCAATTTCACCAAAATCAATTTAACCACTAAAATTCTACTGTTCAAGAGTGATATTCTTTAAGAAGCAGGGTGTGTCAGCTGATCCTAATGACTGTGAGCCTTCTCTCTGAACAGCAGCCTGTTGTGCTGTGAGCGCCATATATTTCATGCAGGAGGAATTCACTTCAGTGACCTGCTCCCATCACTGAGCCCGAGTTTCCATTCTTCAGAAAGGCCCGCTTCCCTGGCACACATCCCTATGAACAGTTTTGGCCCCTGGCGGTGGTAGCAGTGTGTACAGGGGGCGAGCGAGGCTGCTGCAGTTTGAAGGCACACATAAAGCTGCTAAAAGCCAGCAGGTATGTAAGGAATGCTTTTTCGTCCAAACAACAGGCTCACGCCCGACACAGCCACACCACGCCATACAACACTGCAGAGTGAGGCCCCTCCAGGACTCTGCATCTGGAGCTTTTCAATGCATTTCATATGTGCTCACTATATCTTACTGATCTGATAACATGTAATTCAGGTAAGGGTGTGCGATATGATAAAACTTGAATATGTCACATAAGGGTCCTATAAGCACTTAATATATTGCAAAAAACTGAATTCTGTCTACTTGGCATAGAAAACAAAAATATAATTTTGAAGTACAGGAGCTTTGGGTAGAATCATCTGTTAAAAAAAATAATAATAAAAAAATCACCTCTTTTATGGAGCCACCCCTCCTTGACAATCACCACATTGGTCATGTTGGTGGGCAGAGTTGAGGATCCAGGATTCCCGCTGACAGAGGCACAGCTTTGATTTCCAGGATTTCTTCACAGCCCTGTGCTGGAGCCAACGCTGTACAGCTGCCGGGTCAGTGTGGTTACCTGTAGAAAGTACAGCACGAATAAGCAATGGATCTAAATGAAATGTGACAAAAGTGAAACAAATCCCAAGGATGCTTTAAAACCCGCACTGAGTCAGTTCTGTGTGTGAGTGCTATTGATCCATATTGAACTGTTTTTTTTTCTCTTTGCTTTCTCGTTACATTTGTTATGAAACGGACCATCCTTTGAGGGCATATTTACATGCGCCCTGTAGAAGCAATTGCTGAATATATGAAATAGTTCTCAGAGTATAAATAAAACATGGAAGATGTATGGCATTTGAGTGCACTGCAAGTCATCTGATCTATACCAAATACAGTGTAACTCCATAGAAGAGCCTGCTATTCAGTATCAGCACACACTAAAACCTGCGGGCGATCATAACCCAAACACTCGACCTTTTCATTCATGCACCACTTCTTTATGACATAAAGACTGCTTTGAATGCAGAGGACAAGCAAAGGAATGATCAATTCTGATCCTTGTTCACATAAATGTCACTTACAGCAGCAGGAAACCCCTGCCTGTTGGTTCAAATCAATTAGGCCACTGCTGCCCATCGCTGTACGGCCATCATAACAGGGCTGTGTCTGCTGCCTCATCCAGCACACTGCTAGGACAACAACAGGAAGTGGATGGGACTATCGACAGCTCACAAGTCATATCAGTGGGTCCCAGGCACAAATACACATCACAAAATGCCATGTCCTGCACGGCAGATCATTTACTAAAAATCTACTACCATTTTTCTAGTGAATCAAGTTTATTATCTTTAATGGATGTGCTTGCGTCAAATCTAAGTGCACTGAGAGTCTCTGATGAGTTCTTGAAAAAACACACATTAAAGAGGGACTTAAAGATCATACAAACTGCAGGAGACCTCTGGCATTTTGAGTGTCCTCACTGACACAGGGTTACACACATAAATACACACTGGACACATCACACAAACAAACTGAGAGCACAGCACATGTAGAGCGGCTCTGGAGCCACAACAGAGCGCTGCTGTTTTAATGGCAGAGACCTGTTGCCGCTGCGGCCTGAGTGGAAGAGCTGGGCTGCTGCCAGCGCTGCAGCCACTGAATGAACCCAGTACCCTGACAGCGGGTGGGTCACATGGTCCAGCCGCCCGGCCCACTGTCACTGCCACTTCAATCATTCATCTGTGTACTGCGGCTCTGGGGCTGGTCCATTCAATGCAAATCAGCGTCATGCAGAAAAGACGCCACACATCGAGCTTGTCGCTGAGCCAGAGCCATGTGTATACAGCAGGCGGTAGAGTCAGATTCAGAGCCACATCACCAACCACTTCCTCCATCATAGATCAATATACAACTCAGCTGCTACCAGATAAGTAAACAACAGAGAGCAAAGTCAGTCCACATTATACTGTAGTAAGCTCAGGTCATGGTCATATAAGGCTCACTTCTACTGACACATACAGTCAACATTTAAACCTGTTTTCTGTTTTAATATCACAATGGAAGTAGTATGAGTATCTATGAAACTATGCCAAGTTCCCCTTTTAAGTTCCCTGAAAACACTTCACTAATGATAAGAATTCTGCTCATAGCTGTAGCTGCTCGTGTAACCTTGAAAGTTGAACAGCAATGACTCACCATGGTGTATCAAAACTGTTTAGTCAATCAACAACACATGGACATGTAGCATTATCAGCATCATTTTCACTATACGCAGATTTAGCATACACAGTTTGCATGCTCAAGTCTTCAAGAGAAAGTGTACATTAATGCAAAATGTATTTATGATGGCTGCAGTTTTATGATACGGTCATGTGACACTGAGATGATAACCTTTGAAGTACATCCTTCTCAGTGACAACATTGTTTGCATATGAATATTGGGCACAAAAATCCTTGTGTAGAGGGACACATTTTCAAACAACATTCCTTGGATTCTGGACGTAACTGGTGGCACATTTGCGTCAATGGGCCTGTGAGGGGATTGGGCAGGAGGTGGTAGTTTCTAAATAGAACAAGGAGAGCAAGCAAGTCATTACGCCAGCCTGTTGAGTCTTCTCTGGATCACATGCCAAGTCGCCTTGCATTGACACAGTAGACAAAAGTAGTCCCATGACCAAAACACATTGACACTCAAGTTTCAAACACAAAATGCCTGGAGACAAGTACTCTTTGCATCCATGTGGGTCTCTAGAAATAAGAAATGGCTCAAATCTAGTTTTTAGAGATGCAATTGCTGCAGTGTTTACAGAAGCATCCTAATTTCTGTTGCATGCCATCATGTAGGCTAGATAAACACATGAAAGTAAACTACAGATATTTCTGAAGAAAACCATAAACAGGAAGTGTAAATATAAATAAAAGTTACTAAAACAGGTATGGTGCATCATTACATTAGCATCACAGAGCCACACAAGCAAACAGGTAAGCAAAGACAACATGTTAGGCCCAAAACAATGAATGAGGTGCTTGTGGAGCTCATTTGTTTTCATTTGCAAACTGGTCATAACAGCGCGAAGATGTTTCCAGTAGAGGTGAGCTGTTTGCACCACCACGGCTGCAGATATTTTGGTCAGAGGGCTGAGTTTCCAAACTGGTCATTGTCAAAAATGAATGGTTAACATGTTGAGGAGTCAAGACACAGTTTGTTTGTGAAAAGGCTGCTATGCGCTAGGCTTTGTTACACACTTTCAATGCGCCCGTGTGGCCTGCGAAGTAACTTTTAGTGTCAAGTTCGGAAAGTACCTCATGTCAGGTTTGCATTTAGCGGCAGAAAAGGATATGGGGCCTAGCAGGGCAGCTTGGGTGAGAATAACCGCATCCCATGTTAAGTACAATGGGGACCTACCCTGTCTTAGCTGTCGATCTCTTGCAGTTTGCGGAGGAAACGCGGACGTTTACCTGGACGGGCCTTTCAATAACGTGTCCGTGTCATTATAGTGAGCTGTTTCGGCGGTGTTTTACGTAGATAAGTCCTTGAACAATCTGGACAAAAGTGCTCTCATTTACTCCGTTTCTCTCTTGCCTTTCTTCCACTACACCTCCCAAACGCGCTGTCTGCAATGCCTCTGTGGCAGCGCGTCTCTCCCGGGTCCTAGCGCCGACTCTTTATCCACGGCACAGGCGCAGCGCGGGCCCCATTGAAAAAATCCTGCAATGTGTACAACAGTGTGTACAGTGGAGCTAATCCTGCATGGCCTCACTGAACCCTGAGCTGTTTTATCTGTACCGGTGGTTTCCATAAGGGGGCTGGGGGACATGGAGAGCCCACTGTTAGGTTGTAGGTGCGCATGAGGAACATCTGATCTAAAATGGAAGTCAATATAATGTTTTCAACTTCCTGAAATAAGCCTTGATCTAGTCTATGTATTGTTTTAATAATTTCACAACAGTCTCGTTTGTGATTCTATATTCAATGTTTTCAGTGCACTCTTCTTGCTTTAAACACTTTAAACACTTTAATATCTTTAATCTGCATAAGTCTATTCTATATCTATTCACTGTTTCATGTTATGGTTGATGTGTGAGTGTATTCTGTTTGTGCTTCTGTTTTATATTGCCTCTTGGTCACGTCCTCATTGCAAATGAGGAGGTGTTCTCAATTGCCTTACCTGGTAAAATATTGAATAAATGAATAGAATAAAATAAAATATAAAAACACATAAATAAATAACACTAAAAGAGAATATTTTTTCGATTTTTTTTTCATATAAAGTGACTGTAAACTGTAGATTTTATTAATTTAATTTTATTTGACCTTTGCACTGTTCTTAGTTTAAATAAATAAATGGATAAATAAATAGCCTATAACACTAAAAGAGAATCAAGGTAATTTTCTACCCTAATCATATAAGTGACCAAAACTACAGATTTTCTTAATTTAATTTTTATTTGACCTTTGCACTGTTCTTGTTTTAAATAAATAAATAAGTAAATAAATATCTACAACACTAAAAGAGAAGTAAGGTAATTTTCTACCTTAATCATATTAAGTGACCAAAACTGTAGAGACTCTCAGTTTTATTTTCATTTGACCTTTGCAGTGATGCACAGTTTTGCGTGTGTTTTATGGGTTAATTGTGATACTAGACATCTGTTATTATTTGGCTATGATGGAAGAGCGGGGAATACTGCTAGAAGTTACTTTGCTTGTAACTCCAGGGAAATTATATTAAAATCATTTTTTACATTTTAACAGCTAGACCTGAGTGTTGTCCGGGATGCATGGTGCAATGCTCGTGTCCTTTTCTCGTTTGTCAGCACACAGTGGTAATTTGATTTATGGAGATATATTTTACAGGGACATCTAATTGTAAAACATTGCCAACGTATGCTGATGCTAGCTTTCTTCATTATATGGATGTAGGTTTAATGCAGTTGGCATTTAAAGGCACATTAACTAAGGGTAAGGTTCAGGATCAGAAAGAGGCAAACTTTTTTTCATAATGGATTCCCGGGTGTATTTGTAAATTCCCATGTGGCATTAAAAGATACAGGTGGAAACATTAAGAGTGCTTTGTAAAGTAATAAGTGTTCTAATGAATGGAAACGCGAGCTCCTTTGGGGATCATTACACATCTATCAGTGTTCATTTGAGCATTCTTCCATTGATGATCAACATTCAAATGCACAAAAGCTGGAGAGGCAGGAGTTAAACCAGTTGTAGGGCAGGTATGGACAGGCCAAGAAGCTTGTTAAAAAGAGTCAGGAACCCTCAGTATCAAATGAACCGTAGCCTTTCCATATTACAGTAAACACTCTGGGACACAATCATAGCATACAGTCACATGCTGTACTAGTTTTATTTTCAATACAAATACTATGGTATGCTTTTTTATTTGTACACACTAAACAAAGCCAAAAGAATGACACTTTTACAAGGCATAGAACAAATGCAAATTTACACCTGTAGTCCCTGACGTATATTGTGACGTTAGTGAGCGAGTCAGCTCTTTTGAACAGTTCCTTAACTTGAATGATTGGAACCGGATTGCAGTTTTGGAAAAAAAATAAATACATCTTTTTCTTTCTAATTTTTATGCTTTTTTTTTTTTTTTTTTTTTTTTTTTTAAACAGTGATTAACACTGAACCAACATGAAAATCAGCACACAGGCAGAGCAGGCAACATGAGTGAGAGTTTTATGCACAAAAAATGCATTTGGCATGATAATAACAGTTTAATTATTATTGTAGTGCAATGTTTAGTTTAAGTTATGCATAATTTCACAGGGCAGTAGCTGCAGGTTCACAAACTATGACAGGACTAAACTAAAACCAGAATTTATATTACATAAATATAAAAACAATGCATTTTAATCAATGGCTATTTCCACTTGCTAACATATCACAGAACATGTAAAGCTGAACTGGACAAGAGCCACCATACCAGGAAGTGGGGGCTTTCATCAGCTCTGAATCTCCAAGCAACTGCAGAGCAATGCTTGTAGTGTCACATTGTTTTCCAGAGTCTATGTCTGCTTCTATTTACCGTACATAAATCCTCAGAAAAACACAAGTGTAGGTCTATATTAATTGCATTTATTTGCATTGAACACATTTTAATCCATAGTCTGTTTAAAAGTTTACAAGTCCCGTATATCACAGGCTATGCTTATATACACACCTCATGATTTCTTTGATCATTATCTGATTTCTGGAGTTATCCGATGGCTGAAATGTAAACAGTTACTTCTGATGTGAGTAATCTGATGGCTTTCTCACCTGTGCACATTTTGACAAAGAAAATGCAAAAAAAAAAAAAAAAAAAAAGGTAAAACTAACGGAGCAAATACCAAAACTGAGAGAAAATTATAAAGATTGAAAGACATTTGAGACATTTTAAAACTGATTGTACTTTGTATTCCTTATTCTAAAACCCACAGATAAACTTGCACAATTACGGTGTTTTTGATGATCAGATTTATTTTGTGCATGTAAACAATTCTAATTACTTGGTTGTCTGATTATTTTAGTTGTCTGGTTTTGACTGGCCATCTAAATGTACCTGGGGTCATCCAACTGTAATTCTAGCTGCATTATAATGATGTATGGCTCGTGCATCAGGTGTGTTAGGGGCATTGGCCTGAGCAGCACAGACTGGCCCAGCAGAAGAGTGATGTGCTGAGGCCGAGCACTGGCTGGTTGGCTGGTTGGTTGGCCGGTCAGGCTTCACTGGAATGCGAGTCCTTTTGTTTGTCGGTGAGAGGAGTGGGTCAGGGGGAGAATGCCATTGATGATTGCAGAGAGGAAGAATGAAGCTTCAGGAAGTGTTTTTTCTCTTTCTCTCTCTCCCTCTATCTTTTCTCTGTGTGAGAACCTTCACAGCACTGAGCCTCTGAGGCCACGGTCCCCAGGCACAACCACTGCTTTGTCTTGCCCTGTGAACACAAGCCCCTCCGCTACTGCACGGCGCCTATACCACTGCCAGCACAGGAACACACAGAACTGCTCCTATTCTCGTCCAGTTCTCTGCACGCTGTGGATCGTATACCACTGGGCCAACAAGAAAACGTCTCTCCTGTGCCACCAACATATACTTCAGCATCAAAACAACTATAGCATAAAAATAGAGCAGGAAACCTCACTGGTGATGGCCAATCTATAAGTGACATAGGAGTCAGTGGATAAGAATTTCAGCCAGTGGCCCCTTGGACCAGTGGTTGGCGTCTCCTGTCACACTGCTCATTCCCCTCTGTGTCATGGGGCTGTAAGGAGCTGCAAATGGCCTTTTCAAAACACACGACAGCTGGAACACAGGGCAAAGGTGACCCAGGCAGTTGGGAGGGGCATGGGGGTGCAGAGAGGGGAGCAGCTGCAACCTCCAGCCCCTGCCTCTCAACTATATGCCAGCCCCAACCAACAAATCCACAATGCAGGCCACTGACAGTCATAAAAATGCGCTTGAAACTACCTTAATAACACTATTCTACTGTTAAATTGTACTTTCACTTTACACAAGGACTTCAGTTGCACATTCCTTAATAGCACAGTGATAGCATAGGAACCATGTTGTATCTATTTTATTTAACAAAAAAATAAAAAATAAAAATTAAATACTAAACATCACTCTATGAATTTCTTCTTGATTTGAGTTAGAGGCAAGTTAAGTCAATTAGAATAATGTAGTACAGCACACTTTATATACAGGCCTGTGAACATGTGCTAATACATTGTAATAACCATAATAATCACGACGCTATTACTTTGTTGGTAAGTTAAAAGAGTACCAGGTCTTTGCAGGTGTTTTAATAAGCTAACTGGCAGGGCACTCAGTTGCTACTTGCTGCCGCTGTGTGAATCCTCAGAGTAGTGCAAAGTTACTGTGGCCACTGGCAATGAAGAAGAGGTGGAGAGGAGGAGGGGGCATATCGCGAGACTTGTGCCATTATGAACCTGCTTGACACACAGCAGCGCTGAGTGCAGCCTGCCTTGCCAGGGTCGGAACCGAAGCTCAAGACAAGAGCAGGAGAAGCGAAACATCTGGCCACCCATCATGAAAGAACAACGGGGTTAAAAAGATAATTCGACAAAGTTTAGAGGGAACAAATGTAAGTGCTTTTCTGATTTTCTCGTTTTATTTACGTGTGCGTAAAGTTAAAGTCTGACCCTTCTTTCGCCGCTTCGTTCAATGAGTTCCTCCGCTGTTTAAAAGGCTCCGAGGACAGCGTTTCCCAACACGGACATGGCTCACTTTTACTGCGATCTTTATGTAGGGCACTTTTGAAATCCAAACACACCCACAGAAGCAGAACTGTAGTTAATGTGCGTATTTGGCAACTTTGCGCCACCTTTTATAGCCATTTTAACATATACGCGGTTTTACGCACGAGTTCTGCGAGTATTATTTTCAGTGATAAGAGTATTTTGAAAAGTTTAAACCGTGGTGAAATGTGGCTTGAAACCACTGCCTATTCTTTTCTGTGTGTTTTTGAGCGCTTATAGCCCTAAGTTAACATATGGCATAAAGGGGAGCACAGCTGGAGGTAGCGTTTCCATTGCGGTGATGTCAGAGCAGCTGACTCCACAGCTTGCAGTGTAATTAGCAAACAGAGCGCCAGTTTACTCACTCCGCACTGCTCTTATTTTTTACACGTTAGCTTTCCATGTTTTCCTTCTCGATGGACCAGTCCTGGCGTTTCCAGTGTCGCTCGGTGCTTGTTCTGTAAACATCATGGCTGTGAATGTGTGCGCAAAGAAACGTGCCCGTGCGTGTCTTTCGTTTCTCTTCGCTCAGAAAAAGTACGGACACCGAACAAACGCTACTCTTGTTGGGAGACCTCGGGGAGAGTGGATCCGCTTACGCTGTAATACATGGGTCGGTACGCTGTAATACATGGGTGAGCGCAGTGTTGTGTGTCCTGAAACCTCTGGAAAAAACTACTTTATTCATTTAAAATATTCAGAGTACACTTGCCAACTAAGTCGTTACTGTTAATTTGTTGTCTTTTTGTACTTTTAATAGACCTAATATTAAAAGTTATGGCATTTCTAAAGATGGAGCAGTTAGTCTCCCACATGTGTACAGTGCCCTTTACATGGCTTCATTGACTTTATCCAGTATCCTGTTTTTCCTGTTTTCCTCAGGTTATGAAGGAAGAATGGAGTTCCCGGACCATAGCCGCCAGTTGCTGCAATGTCTGAGTCAGCAGCGTCACCAAGGTTTCCTCTGTGACTGCACTGTTCTTGTCGGAGAGGCTCGATTCAAAGCACACAGGGCAGTGCTGGCCTCCTGCAGCATGTACTTCCATCTCTTCTACAGGGACGAGCTAGACAAAAGGGACGTTGTGCATCTCAACAGTGACATTGTGACAGCCCCGGCTTTCAGTCTGCTCCTTGAATTTATGTATGAGGGAAAGTTGGAGTTCAGCACTCTGCCTGTGGAGGATGTGTTGGCAGCGGCGAGTTACCTCCACATGTACGACATCGTCAAAGTGTGTAAAGGCAAGCTCAAAGATAAGGAGCTGCTGTGCCTAGAGGAGAAAATGGGCGAGGGCCTGGGCCTGAGCTGTCTGGACAGAGAGAACTCCTCAGACAGTGAGCTGCACAGTAAGCAGCTCGTGCGGCGACAGATACATGCTCTGTCTCAGGGGGCTCTGAGGGCACCCCCAGCACAAGACTTTGACATGGACAACGGCGAAGTCAAGCTGCCTGTCACTGACTGTGACAGGTCTACACAGGGCAAGCAGAAGGCAAACGGTCACTCTGGCAGGTCCCCGGATCTTGTAGGTGTCAATTATGTGTCAGCAGAGGCCGAGCCCTGCCACCCAACAGCTGGAAAAACAAAAGCTGATGTCAGTAGTTCCACCGTATCGCTGTCCCAGAGGTCCCGGGCTTCAAATGACATGGACTGTGCACTGGATTTGTCTCTCAAGCCTCTGTCTAGCAAAGATCCCTTACACCCCTCCTACGTCTCGGGACAGCTGGCCCTCGACAGCCAGCAGCAGGGCACTGAGCCACTTGTTAAAGACGAACACGACTTGCTGTCAGAGCAGGAGGACAGTGAGCCCATGAGCCCTGAGAGCCAGCGCTTTGGGAATAGTGCCAGGAGCTCGGTGGTGACAGGGTTCGCTGCCCTCTTCCCAGGCAACAACGGCTCCACGGCCGTCCTGCTCTCCCAGGAGGAGGACCTGATGGACGACGAGGGGGAGGCGTGTGGGGGGAGAGGGGCCCCGGGCCGCGAGCTGGAGGAGAGGAGGGGCCGACTGTTGGGAGACAGTGAGGAGGAAGAAGAGGATGACCTGGCCTCTTCTGACATCTCCACTTCCAGCGGGGTGCTTTTGCCACCGGGCCAACAGGTGTGTGTGTGTCCACTGTGCAGCAAAGTGTTCCCCAGCCCCCATGTGCTGCAACTGCACCTCAGCTCCCACTTCCGCGAAAAGGACGGGCCTCGCTCCAAGCTCTCCCCCGACGGCTCTGTCCCCACCTGCATGCAGTGTAACAAGACCTTCTCCTGCATGTACACGCTCAAGCGGCACGAGCGCACCCACTCTGGCGAGAAGCCCTACACCTGTGGCCAGTGTGGGAAGAGCTTCCAGTACTCCCATAACTTGAGTCGGCACGCAGTGGTGCACACACGCGAGAAGCCCCACGCCTGCAAATGGTGTGAGCGCCGCTTCACACAGTCCGGGGACTTGTACCGCCACATCAGGAAGTTTCATTGTGGCCTTGTTAAAACTCTTGCCATTGGATAAATGCCTCTCTCTAGTGCCATGACAAAAGCCTCTTCATATGGTCAATACTACTGAACAACTATCGCAGCATACTTACAGTTTACTGGATCATATTAAAGATGTAGCAACCCTAAAGATTCCCTGCTGAACTGTGTCATGATGGCACTAGTGGTCAGAGGGCGCACAGACTGTTATGAACAACATGGGTGCTGTGAAATTCAGAGCTGGATTCATGTCTGTGTTGAACAAATCAGACGATGCACTTGTTTGTCTTGTTGGTGTCAATCTGTTGAGCTTATCTAAGTTTATTTGTAAAAAGGAAGGCATCCTTATTGTAATAGTTGGATGTGATAATAACACTGTAGGTTAATGCAATCGTCACAGTAAGACTTCATGTTTATGGGAGATTTTACCGTCCACAAGTAGCAATATGATTTTTGACTCCAGCATTATTTTATTAATAATATTATTATTATTATTTATTTATTTTTCAAACTGTTCTAAGAAAATTCAAATCGCTTGGCAGCAAAACTTATGAAGTCCGACCACTGGAAAAAAACTGAAGGATTTTGTTTTTTGAATTATGGGAATTGAATGAAGTAAGATGCGTATTTAAGGTTTTAATAAGAAATAATTTCCCCTTTTAAAGCTTTTTAGTTGCTCCTGCATTTTGCTGAAATGGTTTTCTACTCATCAAAAGCTATTTCATTATAAGAAGGATAATGTCTGCTAATACTGGCGCCTACACATCCACCTAGAGTACTTACTTCAATGACTGCTTATCAAATTTAATATGAACCAGGAGGAGTTAACTGTCTCCTCTGGAGTGCCAATTGACCTTTAAGTGTCTTTGAGAATTTTAAGAATGTATGAATAAGTCAGAATTGTATTAAATGCTTCCAGGTTAAGTGGCCTTGTCCTGGTGTGGCACCAGTTTTATTTAGAACGAGCCCAAGAGACTAAAACTGATGGATTATGCGCTGTCCCAAGAAATTAAAGCTATGCTCCAAGTGCCATAGAATATTTGAAATCTATATTTTTTCCTTTGAATTAACCCTTAAATAAATTCTAGCTGAATATGTTAAGTGACTACTGATAAAGTGGGCGTCTTTGCTGATGCTGCCGGTGAGAGACTCTTGTGCTAGGTGATTTTCGGATGCTGTGTGGATTCTTCCTGGTGTGTAGCACTAAGTGTTTGAAATGTGTCTAATCTTCCTGAGAACACTTGATCAGAATTTATTTATTAGTTTGACTTGGTTCAGGGTTTACTCTTAGTCTAGTTCTTATTTCTTTGAAAGACAATGCGTCTTGACCGCTAACTTGGTACTCATTAACTGGTATTGGGGCTGTCTATTTTCTCTGTGCAAATCCAGTTACTGTATTTTAATATGCTGTGTAGAAAACCCTTGAGAGAATGGGAGCTTTTTCACACAGGACATAGAGAAGCACTTGTTTTTAGCATGCATATAGTTTCAACACTATTGCCTAGGCTGCTATTTCGTACAATTTGTATATTTAATGTAAATATATATTCTTTATTTATGGAGCTGTTTGTTTTCCATGTTACAACAACATGTACGATGTCTTCTTCGGAGACTGCAGTTTTCTTAATGTGTCTTCCCAGCTTTTTTCTGTTTCTGTAAAATTTGAACGTAGTCACCGTCACTACAAATCAAAAGAACGAGCACTGTTCTGTCACAGGAAACAGTTGTTCACAAGCACAGCCACACCGATCGCCACTGGATACCTATAGAACTGGGACAATACGGGCCATTGTTGCCACCACCCCCCCTCAAAGTCCCAGGTAGTTCTCAAGGGATCATTGTGTATCACTTCTGCTGTAGCTGTAGGGGTAGAAAAAAAAAGAAAGAAGAAATGCTCTCCCTCTCTCTTTGCACTTTTCTTTATTGAATGGAGACATTGGAATGTGAGAAATGTATTTAAGCAAAGGGAGACCAAGGAGACTGTAAACAGGTGTATTGTTCGAAAGCATCAAAGAACAGCCCCCGCCCCTCCTCTATTATTCAAGCATGACGGAGATAAACTTGCATTGTTTCTACAGAGATGACATACATTACCTTGCACATTCATCTAGACAGAGAGTTTTCAATGCTTCTTGTTTTTGTAATTTTCACAACACTGGTGATAAAGCCTTTTAAGCTCGAATCATTTTAGTCAATCATTGTTCTATTTAAATCACAACAAATAAGAATGTAGTTTTTTATAGTGGTGAAAGTTTTGTGTACATTTGTAAAGAGGTAGTGAACTAATAATGTGTAACTATTTGATAAGGTCCGTTCTTATTTATACCTCCAGGATGGTCACCACACGTGCCTTGTTGTAGAAACATAAGCAGGTGTTGTATCTGGAGAAGCCCTTCTATTTCCCTTTCACTGACTGCGACTAAAAGTGACCCATGAAGTTAAAACAATTCTATCATATCAATATGTGAATCCGGACATATGTAGAGTTTGGCGTTTTGCTGCTTTTGAAGAGATTACACAATGATTTGACCATTGTTTTCTTTGTTTGACAAGCATTTTAATTGTTTTTATTTGTTTTCAAGTCTATACTACTGGGAGCGCTCAGTTCCTCAGCTAATGTTTTTGTTGAATGTGAACTTCGAGATTGTAATCGGAGGGTCTGGTCCATGCTGTATCAATCTTTACACTTTATACTGGAATAATGTCCTCTGCAGGTTACAACTGTGAAATTGTGTATAATCATGAAATATTTATTACATCATTGCTTCTTGTGCAACATTTGACTGAGTAATTTGGTTGGAGGTAAAAAAGAATAACTTTGAAATGTCCAACAAAAAAATCTTTTAATAGAATTTGTAGAAGTGCCATTAGAATTTAATATAATTTTTTAAATAAGAAAAAGTCTATTTTATAGTAATCAATTGCTTCAGTGTTAGTGTTAGAGATTTAGAGGACAATCTTTATGCAGAATTGACATTGCTTAGTGGCATTTTACTTTTAACCGTATGTGCTTTTCTTTGGAGTGTGCTTGTGCGTGTGCTGTGGATATGTGACAATCTTGATTTAGTCATTAAATGCATAGAATTAAATGGAACAACCTATGTACATTGTCCGCGTTATTTATTCAGCAACACATATAATTTTCTTACATAATGGTAGAAGTTATTGTGAAGTATTAGCATCTTCTTAGACATAGCAACTCCAGTGATCCAGACGGCATGTGTGGGCAGCTCTGCAGTGTGTACACAGACAACACAATGCGATAATACTTCTGGTTTTACAGGCCCTGTCCCACTGAAAACATTAACTCAAGGACAGCGCAATTCCAGGGATGGGCCCCCATTGTCCAGAGCCTGTTGCCAATACTCAACATAGAGATAAACCCTAACCCTATCCTATTTGATCTAACTACCCTCAAATGTTTGTATTTCCTTCATTCACTATTGTTTACTGGTAAACAATCCCCCCAAATATGTGTGTCTAATTGTGGGGGTGTTAATGCCAATTCACTGGACATTTACAATAGAGAGAAGTTTTAATTATTTCCCCGCTTGCACCATGAAAGCAATCCAGCTGCTCTGAGACGTGAGCCCAATAGGGATGTTCTCGTGTTCCCACCACCCTCCCCCCTCCAGTACCCCAGCTCACCCCTACTTCTGGGAACACCGTATAGAGAAGAGGGCCACACATCCCTAACTACCCCTACCCCCCAAAAGTCTAACCCCCTTCAAAAAGCACAGCCCCCAGAACCTCAGCCTCATCCCTGCCTCTCTCCATTGTGTGCGTGGGTAGTAGCTCAAGCCAGGCTATTGTCTGGCCCCCAGCTCCCCGGCACGTACTTTTATGCACAAACAGACTACACGGCGGCGCTGGTCGGTCAGGCTGCTGCAACAGAAAGAAAACAATGTCCTCCCAAGATCATTCAGTGTAATAAGGGCCCATCCACATAGGCAACAGCAGTTACAGCACAATGGCAGCAACATTTCACATCTGCCCCCAATGGGATCCAAGCGCGTTTCTTACATGGGAAAAAAAGCAAGGCCATGTGATAGGGCTTAGCTGCAGGGTGACGAGTAGAGATGTGTGCAGTGTGTAACCCGATGGTGTAATAAAACATTCCACTGTGAGCTGCTCGTGTTTGGCTTTCAGACTTGGAGGTACTTGTATAGAAGTTGAGAGGTAAGGACAGGAAAAGTTGAGAATGTCCAAGCACCTCAAGAACAAGGCCAGCGGTGGGAGCCCTTGACCTCCGAGGGGGGTGGTTTGGGTGGGGTGGAGTGGACTGCCAGGGACAGCTGGTGTGTGGCCGGTGTTTATTTATTTATTTCTTAACAAAAGACAGGTGGTCACACTTGAAAAGGGCAGAGGAAACACATGCGCACACTTGTGTACAGACAACACACATGCACAGGTTGTTTTGGCCCTCTTCATATGAACAGCCGTGCATACACTTAACATCCACTTACTCCTTTTGACTTTCAAGAAAGACTGTTGGGTTAAGCTATTGACATCCACACATGCAATCCCTATCGAAAAAAGTTGGCCAGATATCACATCTAAATAATAACGTAGCAATAACAGTCCAATATAAATGTCTTGCTTCTTAAACACTATTGTTAATTCCAGCTGTTTTTAGTGACAACTGTTGAATATTTTCTTGGTATTCCCTTAATAAGATTGAGGTGTGTAACTTGTGACTATCAAATTTAAAATTGCCAAAACTGTATTGTTAATTTTTGGGCAAAATATAATAGAATATTGCCTTTCCTTTGTAAATTTTTACTTCAAAAATCTGGCCAGTTTATTTAAATAGACTGTATTTTTCATTATAAACCTGCTATATTGATTGTTGCATGTGCACATATCAACTAGTGGTCTCTCTCTCTCTGTACTACTCACTCACACACACACACACACACACACACACACACACACACACACACACACACACACACACACACACACAGGGCTTGCCTTTTTTGGAGTGGCTCGCCCTGACAGTGCCAAGACAGTGTGTCCTTGGTCCACTGTACAGCTGTCACTTACTCACACTCGTTGACGCATATTTATAGCAGCAGCATCATTGGGCCCGACTCTCGCACGGCGCACTCAGACCACAGCTGGTCCCCAAAAGAATGGGCCAAAGACAAAGCCACGTGCCCCCGCTGGCCCACTGCAGTTGGTGCTGTCTGGGGCTCAGTGGGTGACGATGTGGCCCCCTCTTTTCTTTTGCTTCTCCTTTCTTCTCTCTCACACACACACCGAGGCATATACACGTTACAGGAGGAGAGGAGCGCTCGGTGGAAAAGGGCGTAGCGTGACCCCTCTGTCTCTCCTCTGGGTGTCTCGAATGGAGATGTGCTGAAAACAACAACAGCTGCAGCCTCCTGTTTTGAAGATACACAGATAAACACATCTTTGCACAGTTAAGTGAGCAGAGGAGGAAGCTGTGAAGAGCTGCCCTGGCCTTTTAGCTTGATAATTTATTAACTTTTTCTGGCATGAAAGCATAGCATTACTAAAATGTGAGTGGGAATTGTGGACACAACAGTTGTAATGGATGAAATATAATGTAGATGTTTAGATTACATTAGTACTATTAAGTAGAACGTTCTATGGCAAGGATAGGTCATTTTGACTGTTAAAAATATATGTTGCCATTGCCAAAATTATTAGGAATGTTTTTTTCTTCTGTTTGGTAACTCACGAAAAACTGTCAGTATTTTTTCTTAATCATAAAAAGTAAAATCTGGGTTTGGGACAGGAACAAAGATTATACTGGCTTGTGAGCAACCAATACATGTGATATTATATGATATTATATGATATAATATGGTGTTTTGCAAAACAGTAAGCTTGTACAGAAAAGAAAATGGTAAAAACGTGAAAAAAGTGTGAGGTTACTTGATTATTGAAATTGGGCCTATAGTGTCCAATAGTCTAGATCTTCCTCTCTATGCAATACTTAATTTCAAGTTGTTATCAAACAGCCAGCAGCTGTCTGTTCACAAGAACCTCAAGCAACGCAGGCGTCAACTTTTAGCTCCAAAGAAGAATGTTTCCATCCATTTCTGACACCGGTGGTTTACAATGTAGGCGGTTGTAGCAATATCACAATGTGACAGCAGCGATACCTACAGTACCAAGAGCCAAAAACTTTCATTATACATACAATACCTGAGCCCGCAGCCTTTAGTGATATAGTGAGTCAACAGAAAGTGATGACTGCGCCAAGGTTACGGAAAGCAGTAGGTGTGTATGCTGGCCAAAGTGTCTGCTGCCGCCGAGGCCCAATCATGTAAAACCTCTGGGGGCCGTTTTAATAAATTCAATAGCAGAATCTCAAGGTTAAAAAAGATTGCAAATTAATTATGCGTCAGCAGAGACAACATTCCTCTTACATAGGCTACTGTAAATAAAGGGCTAAAACTGTCCTTAAGTGCCAAAGAGCAGTTTCGACATGTAAATCAAGTTCATTCCATCCAGAAAATGTGGTCACTGTGGTGTTACTAGTTAGGCTGCTGGACTACCTGCTGGTGTATGCTGCCCTCTGCTGACATGCAAAAACACACGTTTATGAGGTGGGCTTCAATCTGAACTCTACAGTGCATAAATCTCTGTCCATCTTCGAATTGAGACAATAGCTGCAGACAATGTTTTGTAAAGTGAACTTTCATATTTAAAGAAAAGCTTTGACATTTGGGTGCAGTGTGAAGTAGAGTCATAAGTGAGCTTAAATTTTCCTCAGCAGGCCAAAATGAACACCTGAATGAATTTATAAATTGTGCTTTCCAGGTTCATAGGTCCTATTTAATCCTTGTTGGGCACAAAATTGAATCAAAACAGATAATTCAAATCTCAGCACCCTTTGCCGGCAACATTAGACCCCACCTTGCAGGATGACAGCAAAAACAAAAATACTGAAATATTTTAAAGACATTTTTAAAGACATAAAGTTGAATTTATTTGATTTCACTTGTCAGATAAAATGTACAGGAAATATATACACAATGTCATTTGCATTACATAAAGAGTGGTGAGTATAAAAAGCAGTCATAATTATAACTCATTAGGCACTAGAAATGTTCAAGTATCATGGTCTCTTCCTTTGGTTTTTCTTCACGTCGAGCAGCCACAGCATATTACTTCATCATATCTGCCACTGTAACTGAAAAAGGAAAGGAGTTGGAGATCTTTGCAAAATATTTACCACTTTCTGAAATAATTCAATTAAAATAATAATACTAATACAAATTATAACTATTACCATTACTATTATTACTATTACTACTATTACTAGTATTACTATTTTTATTATAATTATATACAAAAAACAAACAGTTTCAACAAAATCAACTTACTCAATAGTAGTACAAATGGAGCAGCAGGAGCTGTTACAGCAGGAGCACTGCCTGGTGCAGGATGAGCAGGCTGCACGGTCACACTGGGAGCATGGCGTCCGTAGGCCCTGGCTTTTCAGACACACACAGCAGTTTGTCGTTCCACTGGATGGACCTAAACACAGATCACATAAGGTCAACAACATGAGGATCTATCCACAGCTCTAGGAGGCAACCAGTCTAAATGGCACTTTGGTGCCCTCTAGTGGCTTACAATTTAAATTGACAACCCTGTGTCAAACGTCCCAGTGTGTTGTGTGCAAATTAGTAGGTCTGTCATAAAAAAGCAGTGGCAGATTCTAAGAAACATATGAAACCAGCACAGAGCATCAATCATGTCTGTCAGCCAGTCCCAGGGGAAGTGAGACAGGGGAATACTGTATATACTTAAAAAAAATAAAAATTAAAAAGATGCTTAGACAGCTTTTCAATTTGCAAAACAAAATAAAAATGAGATGCACAACTGCCCATTTACTGGTTTACCAATTTGACTGACTTTTAGTTGACATGGATGTCCGAGAAAAAAGGTGAAATGCTGTTCATCTGTAAAACCCTGCTGTTTGTTAGCTAGCTCTATTGAACAACACCAAGTGTGAACTGTGCCCATGTCATATGAGCATAATCGTTCAGACCACTGATGGGTGCTTTCATGTCTCTTTGCATACAAGTGATCACTATTGTTTTCTTTGTTTTGATTTAGGTCTGAGGATAGAGTTGTAAATTGGAGATCGATTTTGTCTGAGCCCCAATTTCTGTTCAAAGATGAACTGTCTTTCCTACTAAAACAGCCTCTTTAACTCTAACTTTAACTCTCTTCTTTCCACTGGCTAAGATCTGTACCTCACGATCCTCAAAGGAGTGTTTAGTGGCTATGAGATGCGGATGAACAGCAGACTGAGCAGACTGAAATAAAGGTTATTATAATTTATATGTAAGAGTTAAAATAATACAACTTACTCACCTTTTGCACACATTCCCTTTGTTAGCTTCCCGTCTTGTCCAATGAGAGTTTGTCCCTTCAGCAAGGACTGGCTGCTGGCAGTGATCTCTTCGGCATCAGAGAGTTTTTGGGCTGTGCACTTATCCTCTCCAGTCCATATTTTGCCCATCACCGCCTTGGCCCCGTTAAAAAGGAGGTTCTTCGTTTTCTCTGAGGTTCAAATAAAATGAGTAAATAAAAACATGCATGTATCTAGCGCAGAAACACTAGTTTAGATCCCTGGCCTAGGAGGTTCTGTGGTTAAGCAGACGATGATAACCCAATGCAGTGAAGTGCGCTTTACCAGGTAAATAAAAACAACAACAATAATAACCTATTCACATTGTGTTTTGTTAAATAACACAGCTACAGTTATTGCCAAGAGAGTTATATGCTGCTGCAACAACATCAACTGGGTAAAAGCAACGACACAAACATTAGCAGTGCTAAAAGCTATAGAAGCTAAACACAGGCTAATGCAGCTACACGTGCGCTTACCGTAGATTTCTTGTCTGTATTTGTTCCCAAAGACTCCGCTTTGACAGAGCTCATTTTGCCCGACGTGAATTTTATACTGTGAAGAAAAGCTTTCGGTAAAAGGATAAGCTCGTTTCGGCATTTTGGTCGCACACTCTTAAGCTTCTATTGCGTAGTTGTGGCTCAGTTTGTTGCAGCTTTGGTGCGGGAAAAATACAAGGACAAAAGCAGCGAGCCAATCGGAAGAGGCTTTTATTACCACGTGAACCCTTCCAGCCAATCCGCGATTGATGCTAAAACCACATGACTTTTAAGGCGGAGAAAGGTTGTATTCACAGCGCCCACAAAATATGGAATTCTTGATTTAAAGGTGCACCATGTAACTTTGTGTTTGGGCTCCATCATCATTGCGTCTATGCATATATCACCGCTCTGGAATGTCCCACAGATGACATTGAACAGCTCCCATTTATTCAATCACAGACTGTTTCTTCTCTTTGAGTTTTATTATTATTTATGTTTTGATTTGTTTATATTGTGATTTTATTAATGTCTTTCTAATTCTATAAAGCACTGAATTATTTTGTGTACAAATTGTGCTATACAAATAAACTTGCCTTGTCTGCCTTGCCAAGTTTAGCATTATTTTGACATATTGCCTACATGCAATAAAGAAACAGACTATGAAGCATGAAGATAACTGCTGTCATGTTCTTGTGCTTGCAGACAGTATTCACAAAGAACACTTAAGGTGTTTCCTGTATCAGATTTTATTATTTGTGCTTGGTGAAGTATTCTCTGATGTCTTCTAGAACATCTGGATCATGCACTCTCTGGACTTCCCAACACCAACCCATTTGACTGAAAAGAGAAGCAAATGTCACAGTATTGAAGGTCCCAGTGCTTTGCACATTGTTATGAGAAACATACTTGGTACTCCAATATGATTCTCGATGAATCGGATGTAGTTCTGTGCCTTTGCAGGAAGGTCACTCCACTTTCTGGCTGCAGATGTATCAGTCTTCCATCCAGGGAAAGTTTCATATTCAACCTCCACTTTTTGCAAGACATCCATATTGGCTATAACAGAGTTAATAGAACCTGTATTAAAATATTTCAAAACCCACCAAATATGATTACTGAAATATTTGTATTTAGAGTACCAGGGAAGTGAGGAATTCTTTTCCCATTTAGCTTGTAGGCAACACCCACTTTGATTTCATCGAGCACATCTAAAATGTCAAGTTTTGTCATGGCAATGCTGTGAAGAAAAATAAACATAGCATAAGTATAAGTATAAGTATACAAGCATACAGACTGTTCAAAAATGTACAATGAGGCTTTTCTATTGTTCACTCACGCAGTGAAGCCATTTATCATGTGAGCATATCTGACAATAACAAGATCCAACCAGCCACATCGACGCTTCCGTCCTGTGGTCACACCCACTTCATGACCCCTTGACTGCAGAAGATCGCCTATTGCCTGTAACACAACAGAAACGTTGGCACTACCCCTCAAAAAATGTGTAACACATATAACTGACCTGTTTTATAAATACAAATCCTCACACAACAAATCAACAGAAAGTACCCATGGGTCAAAGGGTATTGTTGCGTAGGGCGACCTTTGTGTATTTGGTCAGTTTTGGGACAGGAAACATAAGACAGGCCAACACAGTAAATATAACCTGAAGCAGGACTCTGGCCCTAAATTTAACTCTGTGAACATGTGACGGGCATAAGACGTAAAGGCACAGTCTCTCACAAAATCTGACAGCTGCACTCGCCAGAAAACATGCCCCCCCCCCCTGCGTGTGTCTGTTCTGTTGCCCGTGTGTCCAGCAACATGATCAGAAACAACCTTTAAGCTGAGCATCGGACACTTACATAACGTCACGCCTCGCTTTAAACACGACGTTCACACGAGAACACAGCCGTGGTGAAAGTACAGTACAGCTTCCAAAACTGCATTAGTAAAACATATGCATGAACATATGTTTTTCAAATTACTAGTTTTTCACACAATTTTATATAAATCTTTTTTTTTTTGTTATGAAACCTCATCAATCAAACTGTGTAAAGTTGAATTTAGATATTCTAAAACACAATCTGCATATTCTCTGAGCTCTGGCCAATCAGAGCAGGCACTACAGTGCTGTAATGTGGATTATGACAATAGGGAATAAGGAACAGTTTCATGATAGAATTTCATTTACTCAATTACAAGTACAGGTTTAATAAATTTGTTATTTTCCACTCCTGCATAAAGTGCACAATGAGCAGTTTACAAATGTGAAGCTCTTACGTTAAGTTGTTCTGTTGGGAAGGCTCCAATTCCCACTCTAGTCGTGTACGCCTTTGCAACGCCAAACACATCACCAATATTAAGAGGAGGGATGCCCAGACCAGTGCAGGCCCCACCCACAGTGCAGTTTGACGATGTCACAAAAGGATATGTGCCTAAAGATTATATATATAGATGAATCAAATATTAAGTTAATCATTAAACAATTAATTGTTGAGTTTAGTACCAAAGTCAATGTCAAGGAGAGCGGCATTGGCCCCTTCAACCAAAATTTTCTTGGGAGATCCATGTAGTGCTTCATACATGTAGTAGACCCCATCTCTAACCATTGGCCGCAATCTTTCAGCATATTCCTGCAGATGCGTTAGAAGCATTAGTGTAGTATGAGCCAACATTAGAAGCAGCCACATGGCAATTAGCATCATCACCTTGAGCTTTTTTAATTGGTCCTCCACATCAACCACCAAGGAGGGGTACATGTTTTGATACTGGTGGACAATATTCTTGAACCTAAAATAAATGAAAGAAATGATTATATTTTAAAGATCTGATATGTACATATTTTCATGTTACAAAATCCGTACTTGGTAGAGAAGTCCTTAAAGTCACCCAGAAGGTCACAAATGCGCAGTCCAGTTCGAGATGCTTTGCTAGAGTATGCAGGTCCAATGCCCTTCTTGGTTGTTCCGATACTGTTGTTATATATAATAAATAAAATTAATTACAAATACAAACAGATCGACCCTTTGGTGGGGTTAATTGAAATATTCTGGGAGACACAACTCTTACTTCTTTCCTTCTTGTGCTTGTCGCTCTGTTTCCTGTAGACCATCAACAACCTGGTGGAAGTCGAACACTGTGCAAACACGTGCAATACAAAACTCAACATTTCTAGAAATAAAAAAGACAATAAAGACATTGTGCTCATACCAATATGGGCTCTGTCAGACACTATCAGCCTCTTCTCCCAGCCTCTCAGTCCTAGTTTCATATACAGATGAAAATTTGTAGAGTAGATTTGAAAATGATTTGCATTAAGCGTATTCTACACATACCTTTTTTCTCATTTTTTTCACACTCCTCAAAAAGGCCGGGAAGATGTATAACAACACCATTACCTGAAGAGGACAATGCAAGTTTATGATTGTGGTACAATACATACAATTTTTTTCAAGTATTTACCAATAAGTGATATGCTTTTGGGGTTGATGATTCCACTGGGGAGCAGGTGGAAGTCATATTCTTTGCCATCCACCACCACTGTGTGTCCTGCATTGTTGCCACCCTAAACATCAAAACAGTTTTCAGAAGACAGAGAGTTTTCAGTGAGTGATACGCTCTGAGGTTATTCTGCACCTATTTTAACAGACTTGGCTGGGACATTGGTGTCTCCTCCGCTCTGTTCCCCCAGGCTAAGACCTGGCCTTCTCACATAACACGCCACCCTGAGAATGTGACCTCGCTCTAGCCCTGGTGGGTGGGGTTCTCACCCCTCCAGAACTCTGGTTGCTCTCCTGTCAGTGGAGCAAGTGTAATACAGCGACTGACAGCTGATTTAGTTCTGTACACTGCCCATGAGTACAAACGCCTTTCGATGGGAAAAATCTTTGTTATTGTATGGGGCTGTTTTATGATAAGTTGCTCTGTTTTGTTTAAAAAGTTGTAACGTAAATAAACTGTCACTGCTCTCTGTGTATGCACCAACTTGATTAATAAGCAATATCATTAATTTTTCACTAACTAAAATAATAGTAGGCTATTTCTGCTCAATTCAAATGAATAAACAAACCAGTTAAGCACTTAAGTTCTGTGGTGTTAACATCGACTTTACCTGCAATGTATGAACATATTCTTACCAACGTGTGTTGTTCTGCAGCTGACCACCTGTTGCGTTCATACAGACGGCTAGTCTAACGGCAGGCACACTGACGCTCAACATGTTTATATTATATTAATATTATTAGTGACAATACAGTAAGTACCACAGCATATCCAAACATTACCTGACATCTGCAGACAATATCAGCCTCCGTGGCCAGAAGGTCGACCACTTTTCCTTTGCCCTCGTCTCCCCATTGCGCACCGAGCACCACCGTTACTTTGTTCCCCCCGTCATTACGCGTACGTTTCTGTCCAGTGGCGGTGGGTGCGTTTTTGTGCTCTTTGGTCGACCAGCTGTGGGACATGTTGGTGGCTTGAGTCTACGTCCGTTTCAAGACGACTAGACTGCAGCAGAGTCTGGCATTGCCATATCTGTAACTGTAGCTGTGATGTCAGAGCCAGGCGCACGGCACAGCGCGTCTGTGGCCAGATGTCCCTGAGCTGTGAATGTTCCCTCTCAAAACTAATTTACTCTAGTCTATCGCTTTATTCATTTAATGGCCTAGCAGACAGCTTATGCAATATAATATTCATCAAACCATTTTTAAAATAACACCGCTAGCGCCACCTACATGAAAAAGTATAGCCCGAATAATATTCATTTTTTATTAAAATACATCCAACATTAAAAGTTACATAATATAGTTTAAATATCTTTAGAATTCATCATAAGATAAATTAAGACACATAAGAACAAGCACTCTTTAGATAAGTAAATGACATTAGCTAACACTTCATTGGCCTCAAATGTAAAGCTTTCAGCAAAAAAGAACACCTTGACTGCATATTACAACAATACAAAACAAAGCATATTTTTGTCTCCCCTAACAGTGCTTAACCACCCATAGACATGTAACATGGAATGTACATAAAGTGACAGGCCTATTTTTATAGTGCGGTGCTGCTGATCCAAGTTACTAAGGAAGACTCCCCACATTTTCATAATAAAGTAACTTTACATTCACCTCAAAAATTATATTGTCCTTTAAGTTTCATCAACATTTCCTTTTACCTCTGGCCTTACTTCTTCTGGAGTCACCTGGAAAAAGAGAAACTCAAATCAATGGATAGAAAAGTATGAAAGAATTTCAACAGTTATGACAAAGATTAGAAAGTTAGCATGAACTGCACAGACAAACATCACCACATTAGTTTTAATATGTTTAAACTGTTTAGTGTCACTTTAATGCATCCACATCACATTTTCACAACCATTTTGAACAAAAGCACAGTTTACAGGGAGCACACAAGGTTAGTAGATTCCACAGCTTCAGTATCGGATTCGAGAATGGACAAAGAAATATGGAGAAAGGAAAGACAAATAACAATTAAAAAGCTTGACTTCACCATGATTTGACAAACTGCAAGGCTGCTTTGAAACCAGAGAGCTGGTGTTAGAATACATATGATTTAATTCCCATCGAGTGTTAAAAAGCTGGACATAGACAAATGAAATCCAAATCCCATTTATACCAATATACAGATGATTATGTCGTCATTAGTGATTTTATTAGAATGACATCCCTGCCGCCTCCAGCCATTTGACCTACCTCACATCAAAACACAGCCTTTTTTAGCTTTAGCGTGTCCTTTCCCACTGTTACCTTGTTTTTAGAAAGTCAGAATGAAAAACAGAAAATTCAAAACACACCGTTTTAACCATTAATAAATAATAAGTCATGTGGCACTCTATAGTAAATATTTAAAACCAAATGCTAAAAACAACAGAATATAAAATGTAAAATGCAATAAAAACAAATAGGGATTTCCTTGTAAAAACATGGAGACACTAGTCATGCAAATTTGATCTTTATTCAAGTGAAAAGATAGGTTACCTTGTTTACTCTTTTTGCTGCGTTTAAAGAACTTTCTCTTTGGTTCCGGCTTAACAGATTCTGATGTAGCAGTCATGTCTTCGACTACCTCCACTCCATCAGGGACATCACAAGCCTGGATCACTTCAGTCTTATTGCTTTTGGGAACAGATTTTGCAGTATCCAGAGCTAAAGATTTGGGTTCCTCTTTGCTTCCCTGCTCGCTCTCTTCTTGAGTCTCTTGTGAATGGTGCTTTACATCATCATTAGTCTCATCACTGTTGATATTGCTTTGGCTACTTTGTGCAATTTCTGTAATCGAAATATCTCCAATTTTAGCTTCTTCCAACTTCTCTGGTACCACGTCTGAACCTCCATCCAAAACAGCCTCTAGCAAGTCAGCATCCGACAGGGAGGCGGGGCTAAGGATGCTTGAATCAGTAGAGTCCAATGTGAACCCATTCGTCGTTGGGAGAGACAGGCTGTGATCTGTTGGCATCACATCTTGGGGTGTCACTTCCACTGGGCATGCCTCCGGATTCTCCAATGGTGTAGATTTTTCGGTGGGTGGGGGTGTTGAGGTTACTGTAGAGTTTGAGAGGGGTGTTGGAGTGGTTACGATTCTTTTGTTTTCTGGGGCTGGCTGAGTCTGTGTGGGCACTGCACTCTGCTCGCCTGCTGGAGGAAGAGTCTCCTCTTCTGATGGACTGCTGAGACCGTTCATTTCGCTTGTGTAGGCCGCTGCTTTGGGTGTGGAAGGAGCGGAAATGGTGGCTTGTTCTGCGGTTTCGACGCTTGCAGGCTTCACATTTGACCCTGAGAAGGATAAATTGGATATTAGGGAGTTGAGAATTATAGGAGTTTGGAAACAAAAGCAACTAAGCAATGCACTCTTGAAATGGTGTGATGTTAAAGATACACTACCAATAAATATTACCCTAATCTTTATTCGTCAACTAAATATTTTCAATTTTAACGTTACACAGTAAATGTCATGGCTTTGTAAAAGATTGCACACATTAATTGGTAATACATGTGTTTCAATTAAATAACACATTTGTATATATACACAAATGCTTTTATAGTAGGATTGTTTCATGTGGTATTGAAAGAGATGGCAGTAAATTTGCCATCCTAGCAAAAACTAAATATTTTTAAAGATCCTGTTCAATACAATCCAAGATGATATTAATTCTTAAAAAGCAACAGCACTTCAGGTAGTGTCTCTTTAAGTCACAGTGAAGCCAGGATACACAGTGGCAGCAGATGTGTGGCTGGCAGTATAAAGGACAGCAGTGGCAGACAGCAGTGGCAGACAGCAGGGGATACCACAGTCTCTTGTCCTTACCAGGTGGGCAGGTATCCCTACGCATTTCACTAGAAGGGAGGGTTCCCGAATCGCACCTGGGCCTGGTCTTTCTAAGGCTGAACCCTTTCCTGATATCGGCCAGTAGTTGGTCAATGATGCAGCCATCGTCCTGAGGCACTACACCCTTCTTGACTGAAAACAAAATCAATACTGTTTGTAAATGTGTGCTCTTGAGTTGATCTTCTGTTATTATGTCTAAGACACAGCAGTACAACTCACTTATCTTCCCATTCTCTCCCTTCTGCCTCTTGGATTCCTCCTCCGCCAGCTGCTTCTTTCTCTTCTCCGCCTTGGCTGCCTGCTCCTTCCTCGATTTATTTTCCTGATGAACAAAAGGAGTGACAGTAATTGTCAAGTACATAATGTGCAAATGGATTTGTCACTGTGTGATATGCAAGAGATATTTTAACAGTTTTGCACAGTATAAATGACACCCTTCATTTGCACAGCAGATGCACGACTGTCGCACCACACAAACATTTGGAGAAGAGCCAAATGCTCCTTCAGATTCTGTGCATGTTCATAGGAAAGACCGACCTTCAATGCTCTGATAAAAAGTTCTCGGAAAGTTTTGATGGTCCCAAAGAGATCCTCCAGCGACAGCTGATTGGCATCTTCACAAAGATACACTGCCAGCTCACTCCTCTTCTTCTCCATCTCTGAAAACCTTTCACTAAGAACTTGACAGGCTTCCAGGTTTTCCTAAAGAGTGTAGGGAAGAAAGCATACAGGCTTAGAGGTATGCGGTATATAGTATAAATATTATGCACATAATAATAACTAAACAGGATTAGGGACTGAGGCTTTGTTTTTTGTCAGTTGCTTTGTACACTTTTGTTTTTAACATTTGAAAATACTTCCAGAGCACAACACATAACTTTGTAATAAAGATGACTTACTTCCAGTACACTTGTATATTGCGCCTTCACCTCCTCTGCAGAATTGGACACTTTCTTGGCAGTATCATTCAGTCGTTTCAATAAGCCATTTGCTTCATTCTGAACTGACTCGAGGTTGACTCTGTGAAGAAAGGATATTTGCAATTCCTCCTACTCCGCACGCAATCAATCAAAACGAAACAATACAATACACTGTGATAGATGTCAAGCATTTACCCCGCTGCTTTTTCACAGATCTCAATGTCATCAGGCAGTGCCAGGAGCTCTGGGTGGTTAGCCTCTGCCTCCTTCACAAAAACATATTAGCATTGGTTAAAAAAACACATGATTTAGGAAAATATACAGCAAATACATGAGAATTCGTATAGTAGGTACCTCCAGGATGTGATGGAGCAACGTTATGCGGCTCTTGTTGGCCTTGGTCTCTGTGAGCTTGAGCAAGGAGCTGATCTTAAAGCCTTCTGCGTTCCCTGTGTGACTCCCCTGTAAAAAGGCATTATAATGAAAAATGCAAATACTTCATATTTTACCCATGTAAAATATAGATGATGAGGGCTTACATAGTTGAGGAAATTGCCAACATCAAGAATGAGCCTGCAGAAGCTTGGCAAGAGCGTGCTTGTTCGGAGAGCTGAAAAGCAACACTAACTATTAACCTGATAACCGCAGGGACAGGTCGAATCATGCCAAAATGTATGATCACAAGACTAGATAAAAAATGTTGTTGTAAAATGTTATGTTGTAACAAGTGGACATTTCAATTTTTGTTTTAATTGAAATTGAAAAAATGGCAAACAAACAGCTTCTTATTACACTTGGTTCACGATTAACTTGGTGATGGCAAAACATGTCTGGAGGGAACAGAAAATAAAATAATGCCTTATATAGCACTTTTTCAGACACTCAGCGTCATTTTACAATTTTGTGCATTATTCATCGACTCCATTGCACAGCAGTAATGTAAACTACTGTAACCACAGCTGCTCTAAGGTAATCTGACAGAAACAAGGCTGCCAATGTGCATCAGCTGCTTCAACCACCAGCAACACTCATGCACACACCACATTCATACGAGATAAAAGGGTGTCCTGCCCAAAGACCACATCAGAGCCACTGCTGCCCCCCTGTGGCACCTGGTAGTTCCAGACAGCGGGTCTCCTATTCAATTACAACCAAGCCCAACATTGCTTAGCTTCCGAAATCAGATGAGATCATTGACAAGTTGATAAGACCAATGGTAAAGGCTGTTTCTGAAGAACCACTCTACCAGAGTGTTATTATGGGGGCTGTGGACTGGACCGCTTTAACCCCAAATGACCACCAATATTGAGCATGTAGTTACATTATGCCTCACCAATGATCATGCATGCATAAACATCAGGACATAGGACATCATGCGTTCTTACCATGACAAGCCTCCTCCATCAATTTGACTTTTGGCCTGAGTATGTCCAACACTGATGCAGTCTCCTCACACAACAGCATGCACTCAATCCTCAGCTGATAACTGCCGGGACAAAGTGACACAAGATGAAAGATGAAATCCTCCCAGTAGTGTCAAATGGATTGACAGAAACCAAACACAAAGACCAAGGTTGAAAACTACTGAAACTTTACAAGTATTGCTGAGGAAGTTACCATGGCACTGTCAGGAGGGAGGTGTAGAAGCGGTCCACGTTGGCAAGCTTGTCCTTCTCGCCTTGGAAGGATTTCAAATTCTCAATCTTTATGAATAGCATAAAACAGAGTAAGGGGAAGTTTTAAAATGTCCATTCATGTGCGGAGTGCAGCTGTATTCTTACAAACCTCATGCTTTTCTGGCAGCAGTTTCAAGAGCTGTTTTAGCACCTCAACATCAAATTTGGAACGATCACCATTATGAATCATGGCAACAAAGTCCTCATTTGAGCTGCAAAGAAAAAAAAGTGTAATTTTGTTGAACACTACTCAAAATTGTAGGAAAAATGTGACTTTTCCATTTCCTCACCATTTGAACTGCTTCAGGAATATGTTTAAATTCAAGTTTTTCTTTGGATCAATAAAGGTTATCTGGAAAAATAACAAAGATGTAGATTTTAGGTCTATGGTAATTTTCCTCCATTTTGCCTGTAAGTGTTGTCTAAGCACCTCTTTAGGCTCCTTCTTGACAGGAGCAGCTGCCCCCTTCTCTTTGGGCTCAGTCACCGGGAGACAGAAGAGCTGCTCAATACTGCTGTAGTCAGGCTCATGGGAAGAAGGGTCCTTCTGAACCGACGCCCACATGGACTGGCCGTCTGTGTGAAGAGGAGGGAGGGAGAAAAGAAGTGTCAGATTCATATGAGCTTCACCTTAAGTCAACAAAAAGAAAACAGGAAGTGAAAAAGCAAATTAAAGTGTTTTGCATATTTGGAAAGCATAAGATGATTTTAAACCACTTCCACTTTAGATTCCACTAAACTTGAAAATTAAACAATTATTTAGGTACACTAGGTAAATTGTTTTTTTTTTAGTAAAAAGTACATTTTTATATGCGTCTTGCTTAGGGCAATTTAACTGCAAACTAATGAAATAAAACAGACCAAGGCTAGCAGGAATTTTCTAACAATAACAGTCTTTTCCCCCTCTACCTTGCTTCAAAAAGATTTTTTCCTTTGATTTTGTACACCATACAAAATACAATAAATCTCGAAAGCTCTAATTAGTAGAGAACTATATACAACAATAGAGTAATGGCTCATTTGTTTTGTAATTTAGTTATTTTGCAGAAATTATAAACACTTTATATTTACAAAGCTCTTTATTTTACATAAGTGGTAGTTGTGTGAATATGGAATAATGCCTTTTTCTAATAATTCGTTTTTATTCACTAAACTGAGGCCATTGCACTATATAAACCATTCAGCATTTTGTTGATATATTTTTGGTCCCACAATTTTTACTGATAGGTGCAAGAGAATTACCAGTAACAGTCCTTAGTTTCTGCCAGTTGAGCTTCTTCATCCTCAGAGTGGGGCACCGGTGCGTCCTGAGAGAGGCACTGCGGCCGAGGCTCTGGGCACTCTGGGGCACTATTATGTCCATACCAGGGGGAGGGGGAGGAGGGGGCCCCATGCCTGGTAACGGAGGGGGAGGCGGTGGTCCCATTCCCGGTAAAGGTGGAGGTGGCGGGGGGCCCATACCGGGCAGAGGCGGAGGTGGTGGAGGTAACCCTGGAGCACATGGCAGTGGAGGAGGTGGTGGGGGAGGTGGAGGAGCTCCAGGAAGTCCCGAGCCTGGCAGTGGTGGTGGTGGAGGAGGTGGAGGAGGAGGGGGGCAGCTGTTGGGCAAACCTGGAGCGGGTGGGGGTGGAGGAGGTGGAGGCGGAGGCGGTGGAGGAGGAGAGGCACATAGTGGTTTCTGAGGAGAGATTTGAATTTTTTCTGGCTTTTCGTCGACGTTTGGGTCGCCTGTTTGTACCGCTTTGTCAACTTTGTCCAACAGTCCATCCACCGCATGCTGCCCCTGGTCGCTCTTCCTTTTGGAGAACATCAACCGCTGCATGATCTTCTCACAGGAGCCAATCTGGGCTATAGACAGGCACACATTAAAGTCATATTAGGTAAGTTAGGTAGTTTTCAGGTTTTTGTAGGTTTGTACACTGGGATAGGGGCTCAGTACTTATTAGAACTTGTATTTACATGCCATAGCTAGTTTGCTAGTTTGCTCCACATACAAATGCATCGTTTACCATTCCATTGCATGTGTTTATTTTAACACTGATTGCTTTTTTCCACTGAAGCATAACTGAACAGTGAGAACGGTGCACGCCTCTGACTTGAGAAAAATCATCATTGCAAAACTAGTCACATAGAAGATTTCTAGAGTAGTTTGGGTGTGGATGTTTAGTTTGCACCTCAAAAGCACCTCACCGTTTGCATTCACACTGACCCTTGAACTTAAGCCCTTTTACACAAATATAAACAGCGTCAGTGTGAAAACAACCAAATGAAAACAGAAATGCTAGGTAAAAGTTTGCTTAGGCTGTAGTGATAGAGAAAATGTCTAATGTCAAAAGTCTATAGTGTTTTTTGCCCACATAATTTCATCTTTAGAGATCAACTTTGGTCAACCTTAAGTCTTTGCTGAATCATCCTGGTATCTCTGAGTGGATCATGTACTGGCCTTTAGACCAGGTTAACATAAGTGGAATGTTATCTTACAGTCTTGTGCCACCAGGAGGGCTCTGTTGATGATGGCTTCCACTGTGACCCATATATCTGTGCGATCTGGTCCAAGCAACAACAAGGCTTGTAGAATAGACAGGAGCTGAAGAGAGGCTGGAGAACTGCTAACCTGTGTATACAAGTCAAAACGGAATTTAAATCAGATAACATTACTACCTGATAGCTTGCTTCATGCTTTATAGAGAGAGAGAGAGAGAGAGAGAGAGAGAAGAGACATTGACCATTATGTTTTTTTCATGGCTGATGCCGATATTGAATTTATTTGGGGCTGATAAATATTACTGAGTATTTTCCCAGATGCCATTTGCTATTTGCCATAATGTCATTTAAATTTACTGCCAACTCTGCAAACTGTGTAGTCACATTTTGTGCAGTTCAAATAAAGGTTTGTGTGTACTCTTTACACAGCTGGATGGCTAAAACTAAATATCTGCATGTGCTGGAGATCTAAGACAGTTACGCTGAAAAGTGCAAATATCGTCCTATATCTCTAATGCTTTGTCAATCTTACTTTGTTGAAGAGTGTGGTGAAGACCTCCAGATGGTTGCTCATGTCAATGCCCCCATAAACCCGCAGCAGCTCTTCCTCATCTTCAGCCATAGCCTCTTCAAAAGCTTCACACTGAATCATCAAATCCTCATCCTCCTGCTCCCTGTGCAAAGCAGCAGAGACACAGTTAAAACTTTTTGAAATGTCATCGACAAACACAAACAAGTGAACCTTTTGCTTTAAATACGACATTTAATGGAAGCAGCTGAGAAAAACAACTTGAAATAATTATAGGCTTTTAAAAGTTTACACACCAAACAGAAATGCTAAGAAATTATCAGTTCTGGCATAAAAAGACCTCACCTTAATTTAGGGAGAATATCAAGTAGTTGAAGCCCTATTAAGAACAATAAAACAGTAAATCAGTACTCAGCAAGTGTCAGCAATCAAAGAATTAGAATTGGAGAGTCATTCACAGAGGCAGAGATAGGATTTTGGAAAGTGAATGATGAGGCAGGTGAGCAATCACAAAAGAGGCGTGGCCAATCAAGCAAATTAACCAATGGTAAAGCTGTTTTACAATATTAAAGGAAGTACGTAATAATTGATATTTTTTAAGCAATAATTTAATTTGAAAGCCATGCATATAATGTATATGTTTTTTGTGTTACCTTTTCACATACTTGATACTAATGTGACCTTAATCTAAGTAACTACTGGTCTGGCAGCATTCCAATTTTTTGTCCAACAGATAAAGGAAAACAGTGCTGGCTAATCTCTCAAAGGTAATGCTCTGCCATACAATTTGTATAGATGGCTTAAGCCTCTTAAAATGTATCTGCAGGGCATTTTACAAGGACTAAGCCCTAAAAAGTAACAAAGTCAATTACCCATGCTCCATTACACATAGTGCTAGTGACAGAGATATTTGTATTACAGAGGCTGTAAAAAAACAGCTTCCTCTTAGCACTTACTGTGTTTATACCACAATCAAAAACACAACATAATTATATGATTCCAACTTGATAATAAGATAGAGTATTATGAAGCAACATACCAATAAATTCCTTTCGCATTCTGTCTCTCTCCCTGAGGTCATCGGTGCCAAAGATGATAGCATTGATGACGCTGAGCAGAGTAACCATGTAGGGGACATTATCTGTGCCTTGTAACTCATTCATGATCACACTGAACCTGTATTGCTGCACCTTCACCCCCTGTAGGAAAAATTATATTAAAGTTTTGATAGATATTGTTCACCACTAGATGGCATTGTCAAATGGAACATAAAGAAATTAAATTAAGGTACTTTGATTAAGCTTAACTTACCTTGTAGTGGTCAAGGGCATCCAAGGCAAGACGATGTCCATCTGGTGAAAACATACTGAGAGCGGCCAGTAGCTCAAACACTTGCTTCTTCACCATAGTGTTTGATGTATCCAAAGCTACAGAGCATGATCAAAAATATAAAGTCTATTAGTTGGTGTAAGTCCATGATTCAGTCAGTTGTTATACTGTGGTTCAAATGTCATCAGTGTCTCTGTGGCGTCTCTCCGCCAAGTCTGAACCCAAACTGTGTTTTTTTTCTTTTAATCACTTCAAGTTGGACATTGCCCCTACTGGAGTATTGATATGGACCCGAAATGTTGATTGAAAAGTGAGTTTCCAATAGTCAAACAAACAGCAAACTATAATGTTATGAAGGAATTAGCTTTCAAAAAACTTCAAGAACTGATAATAAAAAAGCCACATAATAACCCAATTATCTAATAATTTCTATATAGTTAGAAAAATCTAAGCAGGAAAGTTTGAATAAAGTTTTAAAAATCAGCTTTTGTTAAACTAAGATGATTGAGATGTCCAAAATCTATCAAAGCAAAATGAACACTGAATATCATTACTATCAGTGTGGGTCCAACATTAAAACCAGAGGGAAACAAACTTTCTAATTAATTACTTTTATTGTTCTACATATTAACTTCTGCATCAACTGTTAATATTGAAATTAAATAACATATGAACAAATCAGCTTATTCTAAAACATATTTCAAGAAAAGTAGATCCATGTGAGATTCACCTTGGGAGAGCTTGCGGATGTAGCCTTCATTCTCGATAATGAAGTGTATCCCGGCAGAAGAGTTCATGACTGCTCGGACACAGCTGACACAGGTGAGCTGCAGCAGAGCGTCGGCGATCCTGGAGCAGCCTCGTCCTGACAGACGATCCAGGGCTTCCAGCAGGAGGTCCAGCCCGCTCAGCTCCAAAAACTGAACCATCCATGTCTGGTCGCTGCCCTCCAGACGCCTCTTCAACCCAGAGTAGTTGACTACAGTGGGCACCTGTAGCAGCCGGATGCACAGCTCGGGGTCGGCACTCTCGAGGTTGGCTTCCTGTGGAGTGTCCGAGTCCTGAGAAGACCCCAGGCGACCTCGGACTGCCGCCCATTTGTTTTTGCGATCCGATTTGCCTGACATTAAGGCTGGGAAATCTACACAGGAAATACAAAATGATGTCAGGTTTAGTGTAAGCTAATTTGTGAGCTATCTTTTCAGGGAATTGGATTAGGAAATATAAAAGATGCAAAATGGGATTGATAGTTTGAGTTTAAAATGTTATTCAGCGCAAAGGAACCAGAGCACAACAAAGCATTATCAGTGAGGAAAAAGAGAATATGAAATGATGACAAGTCGGCACAGTGCGGATGAGTCAAATATGTCAGACAGCTAGCCAGTGCTGCCCCATACATTCCCTTTTAATCCCGTGTGAAAAGCAAAACTAAACTGTCAGCTCATCCAGTGTCCACAAAGCTGGGATCAACAAAGTCAGGGGTGAACTCTGCACTTGGATATACTTTAATTTAGTCTTGTGACACTATTAAAATTTCAATCTCAATTTTGATCATAAAGAACAGACTTGATACTCAATAACAATTCCTATACCACAATGAATACAATTTTTTAAACAACAGAATGTCATTTTCAACATTAAATCATAGTTCTTTTATATTACCATGTGATCTACTAGGTGGTCCATGAGTGTATAGTCTATGTGCTCTTATTCTTGTTCTGATAGAGCTTAAAATCATTCTAAAGCTATTCAGGAGAGGTTAATTTCTGTCCTGTGAATATGACTTTTTTAGTATCAATACCTGCTCAAATGAGTGTCTAGTTTTGATACTAGATTTAATATCAATTAGTGCCTGGTTTTGATACCCCTACTAGAAGTTGAGTTTTGTTTTGTTCTGAGAAGGGATGGCAGTGTGATAATAAAAGTAAATTTGACACTGACCTGATTCCACGTGTTGGTCCCACCAGAACACCTTCTGTTATAGAAGTCCCGGAGTACAGTTTCCTCTTTTACCAACATGACACGCCCTCCCACTTGCCAAATATGTTCTCTACTAGTTTATACAGCTAGTATGACACATAGGTGTTACTAAATCAACATGCAGGGAAAAAGCTTATTTGTTTGATAGTATGAAAAAAATAGTAAAGACTTTTCTGTTGGTTTTAGCCTTGGCACGTAATGATAAACAGATGAAGCATTGAGTGAAGGTGTTAAGAAAATCAAATGTTTCAAATAGAACTGTGACATTTTTCAAGCCATTAGTCAGTGATTGGTGGTGTTTCTTAATCTACCTACATGCATGACTCAGATTTCACAGGTAAAAGGAAAAAACTACTTAAAACATATCCAGCCAATTGGGTTTAAAATTAAGTCTTTTCTAGGCAGACATTTGTCACATCTGACTGCTGCATTAGTTCTGCTGCCAGTGTGTTACCGTGGCAGCAGCAGCCACACAATGGAGATTCACAAAAGGCCTCCTCACAAAGCTGTGTTCAGACAAATGCTCCCTTAACCCTGCCTGCCCAGTAAGACAGAACAAACAAGTGAAAGTGCCTTCTAATTCCACACTGTTATATCCATCAGCCTCCATCACTGACTGGCGATTTCTTCTGAGTCATGAAGACTTGTGAAAACTAGACTGGGTGAGATGCCCTAAGAATGGTGTAGAATGGATTCTCTCCCAGAAAAGCCAAAGTTATGCGTCATAACACTTGAAAAGAGGCACTCCAGCCTGGGTTGAGAACTTTTTGGGAGGAAGGAAAGGACTTTCCTGGCTCAGGAAACACAGCATGTGATAAGCACGCTGTTGATTATATGACAGCTCCTGTTCCTCTTTCTGACTATCCATTTCTTTCATGTGTTTATTTCTGTTATCGGGAAAACACATTTTTTCAACTGTCGCATAATGTTGCATAATCTAAGAAATACATTCTTGGTGGACCTCTGCAATGATCAGTTTAATTAGTTGACCTTGTCTGCCAGCGCTCCCACATGCCTCATACTAAAAGCAAGCTGATTCACAGCATTCAAGTCAAACCTTCTCCTGTGTCCTCCGCCGGTTCAGCCGCCCCCACACCAGCCCACTCCTCCTGTACTGCATCAACACTTAGGTATGAGCCGGAACATTATCAGCTCTTTAAGAGCATCAAAACATCTGCACTTTTAAAGAATATTCCTAATATCACAAATTTAACTCATTTTAAATAAGCCCAATCATATTATTAAAATAATTATTAATACATTTTTACTTATGTGTTTGGTCAACTACTGCAGATTGTCTAAAGTCACAGTGGACTATGCAATGAATGGTTAATTTTTGAAGAATAATTATTACTTTGACCATCTGGTACTCATATAACTCCCTGCCCTAACTATGCACTCCTTCTCCACCTCCTCCTCCTCCACCACCAGTTTTCTCATTTCTTTTTAAGGGAGGAACCAACTGCATATTTGGAGTTTGTTGTTATTTGTAGCTTTTCTGTCTGGGTGCATATAGACTTAGTAAGGTGGATACAAACATCTGTCTGTATCTGAAAGGACAGTGGAGTGCCAGCGTAAGGCTGACAAGAGCAAGATTCAACATAACACAACAAAACGTTCAGCAGCTGGTTTGAAGAAACTATATTTGTGCCAACGGTACCTCCATTCCGTCCACGATGAGGACGTCGATACAGGATGGACGACGGTGGCACCAGAACATCAAAAGAGCACCACTGTGCAGTGCATTGTACATCAGTTATTACATAATGATTGTTGGGAGCATTAACCACAAGAGTCTGCATTGGTTACTTTGGAATGTCTCCCCTTCTTGTCTCTGTCTAAAACGGGACCCATCGCCTCATTGGCTTATGGAACATCCTTTGCAGAAAAGCAGCGGAATGCAAAGGTGACACTGCAATCTTCAAACCTCACTGCACCACAACACGTGAATACACCATGTGTATATTGATAAGAGTCTTACCTGGCTTTATTCCATAGATATGCACATTTAAAAATCGCGTACTCTTGCGGTTATTCTTTCCTTCTTTTTAAAGATGTGATTGTCTTCTAATATGGCATCTTGTTTATTGTAAAAATATGAGACGCTGGGCTGGTGAAAGTATAGGCACAGTGCGGCGGGTCCGTATGGTATGCGCTTGGCAGCTCGCTCAAAGCATTGCGGCCACAATAGCCTTCAGTCACTTGGGAGAGATTGATCAAGTCAAGTGCGCACAGAGCTTAGCGCGGCTATCCTGCTATTACTTTCAAAATAAAAGCAAAAGCGCAAGCCATTGTGCTTGTGATGCCTCTTGCATGCGACCTTCATCCCAACACCAGCACATAGCTTATTCAACAGGGGAAAAATGAAATAAAACACAATGTAATTTACGACTGTTTATTTAGGCTAAAAATAGTCATTTTTTCAGCGGCACTGGTTGTTTCTATACACATTGCTGTTTATGTCTTAGTGCAGAATGCAGTGCGTGAATAAAAATGCACAGGTAAAGATTAAGCTACTTTTCTCAAGCGACTTAGTAGCGCGTAATCGTCTAAAATATTAACAACTCCAATGGCTGTCACAAAACATAACAAAACACTGGGCCTCATAACACCTCCTTTTTCCGAAGAAGCCCGAACCATTAACTAAAGCTTGTACTTGTACTTGTACTCTCTGCTACCAATCCAGCCTTTTAGGTGGCTGTGACAGGCCCTGGTGCGTACCACACCCTCCCCTACACGCGGTGTCCCAGAAGAGGCTACAGGTGTGGAAGTAGCCTTGCCCCCAGTAGAAAGCCAGGCCGGGCTTGAACCAGTCACAGTTGCGACTGTTCGTATCTTTTTCTCTAACAGCTTCTCCGTCGCCCCCTGCACTACTGCTGGCTCAAGGAGCTTGCTGGTCACAGGTGTAGACGTTTTGGGGAATTGTGCTGGGTGCTGTGTTTGTTGTGTAAGTATCGCCAATGTAACGCTGCCTTCCACGGGTCACCCCCTTCCCGTGCAGGCTTGCACGGAAGATTTATTTATTTATTGCAATGTTTAAGGCTGATTCAGCCTTGGCGTGCCCTGGAGACAACCATGTCTGGTCGTCCATGTCTGTAAAACTGAGCTTTAGAATGTTTGATTATAGATGTGCTGCTCAGAGGTTGGTAACTCCTGAAATCTCAGCCGTCCCCCCGAGGAGCGGAGACCAGAATAAAATAGACCATCCAACATGCCTGTGCTGATGCTTGGGCCAAAGATGAGAAGCCCTAAAACATAAATTATTAGGATTTCTGATTTAAGCCCCCATGCCTACGTTTTCAGCTAAAACAAAGACTGAAAGCAAGACATTTATTTCGGTTGCGTTTTCAGTGCACAAAAACAATCTTCAAAAGAAAGACTGCATCCACGACTGATTCAGGCTAACTTTTCTGAAGAAGGACCTGCCCTGCTTGCCTCCACGAAGATGTCTTTCCATTACCTGAAACATTCCACATAACGGCAAAACCCATTCTGATCAAGTCTGTGCTCAAAAGGCAAGGCAAGTTTATTTGTATAGCACAATTTGTACACAAAGTAATTCAAAGTGCTTTACAGAATAAGAAATACATTAAAATCATAATAAAAACAAATCAAAACATAAATAATCATGAAGATTAAAATTAAAAAAGAGAGACATAAATTGGAGAGAAGAGTGTGGAATGAAAACCTTTCAGTTATATGCACAGTTAAACAGAAATGTTTTGAGCCTGGATTTAAACAGCGTCACAGAAGAGTCTGTCTCACATGTTCAGGAAGACTGTTCCAGGTTTTAGCTGCATGAACCTGAAATGCTGACTCCCCTTGTTTAGTCCTGCCTCTGGGCACCAGCAGGAGACCAGTCCCTGAGGTCCTCAGAGTGCGAGATGGTTCATATGACACTAACATGTCACAGATGTACTTTGGTGCTCGGCCATGGAGAGACTTGTACACAAGCAGAGCTGCTTTAAAGTCTATTCTCTGAGCCACAGGAGCCAGTGCAGAGACCTGAGCACAGGACTTATGTGCTCGTACTTCCTAGTTCGAGTAAGGACCCGAGCTGCAGCATTCTGGATGTTCTGCAGCGTCTCACAGCTCGTTTGGAGAGACCAGTGAGCAGACCATTACAGTAGTCTAATCTACTGGAGACAAACGCATGGATACGTTTCTCCAAGTCTGCTTTAGACAGTAAACCTTTGATTTTTGCTATGTTTTTTAGATGGTAAAAGGCTGCAGATGTTATTGATTTGATGTGGCTGTTAAAGTTCAAGTCTGAGTCCATTATTACCCCTAGATTTCTTGCCTGATTTGAAGGTTTTAGAGAGAGAGACTGGAGGTGACTGCTGACACTGTCTTTTTGTTTCTGTGGACCAAACACTATGACTTCAGTCTTGTCAGAGTTTAGCTGGAGAAAGTTGTTTTGCATCCACACACTGATCTGTTGGATGCAGTGACAAAGTGAGTCCACTGGTCCATAGTCTCCTGCTGCCAGAGAGACGTAGATCTGAGTGTCATCTGCATAATTGTGGTAGGACACGTTATTGCTGCTTATTAACTGGCCTAATGGCAGCATGTAGAGATTGAACAACAGGGGGCCCAGGATTGACCCCTGAGGCACCCCACAGGTCAGGGCCATGTGATTTGAGACAGTTTCCAATTTCAACAAAATACTTCCTGTCTTCTAGATAGGACTCGAACCAGTTTAGTACAGTACCAGAGATGCCCACCCAGTCCTCTAGTCTCTGTAAGAGGATCCCATGATCGACAGTGTCAAAAGCAGCACTCAGATCTAACAGGATCAAAATGCCTTCTTTAAACTGCACATTGGCTAGCAGCTATAGTTGCCAGCCTAATTTAAACTAGCTAAACATATACCTCCCTACCTTCCTATTGGACACGGTACATTAAGGTTTGACTTTATGAAAACATGTTCCCATAACATTTGAATATACTTTTCAGTTAACAAATTAATGAAAGCATATCTTCAAATAGACATGAAACCCTCTTGGGGGTTTCACATAGACTGTGTTTCTTTCACATAAAATGTTTACAGCAAAGCCTACAAAATGGATATTGAGAAACACACATAATTTATGTACAGAAGTGTAAAATAGTATGTAGCAATTACTACAGAATTAACGTGTAAAAGGTCTAGTACTTTTTTCATCAAGGGCCACATATCTAAACACAGACGAAGCAGAGGGCTGATCAAGGGCCATAGACTGATGCTCATTACAGTGAATACTTAAAATATGTGCATGTTTAACAAGTTAGAATGAGCCATCAGTCTTTATTCATGCTAAGATACTTAAAACCACACACCAAACATTAAATATGAGCTTTATCAAGGTAGATTTTCAAAAAACTTGCAATAAAAAGTAAATTTTTCATTGATGCAGGGTCATTTGGGTCAATCTTCTGGAAGCCTGAGGGCCAAGAAAAAATTGTCTGAGGGCCGCATTTGTCCTACGGGCCATAGTTTGGACGTGCCTGGTCTAGTAGAAGAACAAAAGTTTGGAACTACATTTCCCATAATACAGCGCAAAACAAGGTTCAAAGGTGAAATACGTCAAGCACACGCGCCCTCTAATAAACGTCAACAAACCTTTGCTGCTAGAGACATTATAACGGCGTTTTGAAATACTTTGGGAACTATTCTCTTTTTCTAAACCAAACATGTCCGGAAAAACTAAAGAACTTTTGCAAATGGACCTGTACGGGTTACTCGGCGTAGAAAGTACAGCGACAAGTAAAGAGGTTTGTGGAGGAGCAGTAGCATGTAGCATTTAGCATGTGCAAAGAGTGCATGGAGTCCAGATCTGAACTACACTGTGCTTAGATTCAAACTCGCCATAATACACTGTGTACCTAAACGGTGAACCAATGAAGAGAGTGCATGTTAGATATCTACATGTTTAAAAGCATGGCTAGCAAGTATAGTCCTCTAGCTTACTGGCGAGCTATCTATTTCTCCACACCAGTGTGAGCTGGTTACATTATGGTGGCACCTGGAAGTAGGCTTAATAAATCCGGATCTGACTTTTGCCAGACTGAATGCATGCATCTGTTCATTCTGTTATTGCTTTAGCAGACTGAATCAACTGCTCTTAAACCATTGCTCTTACTCAATGTAATGGTCGTAAATAGCCTCTAGATGGAGTAGTTGGATGGAGTATAAGCCTAACTATAATGCAACCATTATTATATTACGTTTTATGATTTGAAAATAATATTTAAAACTTAACCCTAACCTTAAAATTTAAGACTTATTTTTTTCTTACATTAATTTCAGTATTCACAGTTTTGTCCATTTCTATACAAAGTGTTTTCACCCCATGTGTAAATCGTCAGGCACAAAATAACTCTCCTGAACTGTAAATTGGCCTATGGATTGTCCATGGAAAATGTTCCAAGTTGGACTTCCCATCTCCATGGAGACATGCAGGTGACATCAAGGAATCTTATGTGGTGCTTAGCTTAATCAATTTCTCTTCCACTGATAATTACACTGTAGGAAGTGGTTGTAGTCTTTGTTGAAATTATGCTAAATGGTCGTTGTGTGGAGCCAGTCGTCATATGTCATTTTGGTTCTTTCAGTTTAAACCATGGACTGTTAATGTTTAAAGTAACATAAATAAAGTAACCTCACAGGCATCATCAAATGTGCTGTAATGCCACAGCAGTATGCAGTGCATCCCACATTACAATCATGTAGGGGAAGTTTCTCTTCTTGCAGCCTGTTTATGTAGGCTCAGCCACAGCTTGTAAACCTGCTGTGTTGACCTAAGGGATTTTCACTGGCTCAGTGTAGTGTCTCTGACCTTTGCCAGTGCTGGTGTCTTGTCTTGAACCATATTTGTGAGGTGAAAATGGCATGAGGTTTGTGTTTTTAATGATACTGGATTTTTGGGGCTTTGCTGAAGGCTACTTCATTTAATTGTGCTGCTCATGAATAATTGTGTAAGAAGCCTTTTACCTACCACAGGCAGCTTTGTGTGAGGTTGTATCAGCTTGCAACTGTAGGCCTTCTTTAGCACGTGTGGACATTAGTGGAAAGTGTATTAACGCTTAGAGAAAACAATAATGTCTGTTCTCACTCTGAGTGCAGTGTTTTCAATCAGGGCCTGGCTGCTTGAGTCAGTTTTAAAGCAGGTTGTTGTGACTGACCCATGCTGCTCTACTGCATTGTTCTGTCAACTTAAGTCTTTTACTGCGACTTCATGATCCTTCCAAAAATAAACCCTGATAATGCGGCAAAGTTTCATTTTAAAGATGAACTTGACAAAATGGAAAATGTCACAGTAGAGCAGTGCTTCTCAAATAGTGGCGCGAGGCTCCGTCAAGGGGGGCGCGTTTGACCTCGGGGAACATGCTTTTTTATTTTTTTATTTAGATTTTTTTTTACTGTCTTAAGGGCCGTTCACACCAAAGCGTCAAAAAACGCCTTGACGCCTCTATTTGGAGCCTTTGCATTTGAGTTTAGACGCCCCCGACGCGCGTCTTTGACGCCGTGGACGAACGGGACAAAAATACTTGACGCGCGTCCGTTACCCTGGAAACAAGAGCCCGGTCCCGGTCTTTTCCCGAAACAATGTCAGACCAGACTGAGAGAGTGTTTTTATGACATAAAACATCAACGGAGGAGATCGGGTTGAGGACTGGGGCGTATATATATTTATACTCCGCTAATGACACTGGATCAGTCCCGGTCTAGTCCTGGTCTAATACCGGTCTAGTCGTGGTTTAATCACGGTCTAGTCCCGGTCTAGTCCTGGTCTAATCACGGTCTAGTCCCGGTCTAGTCCTTGTTTAGTCTCGGTCTAGTCTCGGTCTAGTCCTTGTTTAGTCCCGGTCTAGTCCTGGTTTGGTCCTGGTCCGGTCCTGGTGTATTCCTCGTGATCGGCTCGGTGATTGTGGCGTATATATTTATTCTCCGCTCGTGTTTGTGGTTCTCGTTCTGGTTCTCGGGTCTTTCTTCCTGATAATAACGTCGCTGCGTCTCTGGATACTCGTCCCTGATTGGTTGACGCGGCGCGTCTGACGCGAAAAGTTCTGCATTTTCAACTTCTTGACGCTGACGCCTTGGACGCGCGTCTTGGCCGCTGACGCCAAAACGCTGAAGACGCGCCGAGCTGACGCCAGATTCGCGCCGCGCTGACGCCGAAAACGCGCCGCAAAAACGCAGGACGTTCTAGTCGCGCGTCCACATAGACTTTACATAGAAAGTGGACACTTTGGTCTGAACGGGCCTTTAGAATAAAGTGCAATTGCACTTCTACTACATTAGGGGGCAGAGCGCTCTCATTGGCAGAGTGTGCGCAGGGAGCATTCGTTCGGTGGTGTAGGAGTTTTGTTTGCACTGAGCATGCGCGCTTTGCACACAGCACAGAGTTTGAGTATGAAGTGTAGACACGAAGTGTAGCAGACCCTCAAGTGACACCATGAAAAAATATTTAACAAGGATGAGAAGACAGGTGGAGAGAGACGGAGATAAAGAGACAAACGAAAATCTCCCGAAAGCTAAGACGAGGAAATATGACGAAGCATATGTAGCGCTTGGCTTCACTGTGACTACGGTGGGAGACGAGGAAAGACCGGTGTGCTTACGGTGTCTAAAAATGTTGGCAGCGGACAGCATGAAGCCCAATAAATTAAGGCGTCACTTAAATACATTACACCCCAATCACTCTGATAAACCGCTTGAGTTTTTTCAGCGAAAACGTGCCGAATATTGCCGACAATCATCCCGCTTGTGACTGCTACTTCAGTAAACCAGCGAGCATTGTTGGCGTCATATAAGGTGGCAGTGTTACGCAGAGGTGTATTTATAACAATTTTATAGACAAATGATACTATTTATAGTCACGCGGGGGGGCGCGAGATGTTTTATTCGTCCTAGGGGGGGCATGACAGAAAATAATTGAGAAGCACTGCAGTAGAGCAATACACATTTTCATTCATGTTTGTCCCTTAGTGATGTTGTTTCCAGTCTCCCTGCTCCCCACAGATGTAGTTCCCATGCCCCTGATAATTGGCCTGGCACACTGATTAAGGAGGATGGGCCGGTGGCAGGTCAGGCAGCTAATCAGCGACACAGAGCCACACCACCACCGTTTGTCAGCTATAATGGGCACTGCTCTAATGAGTACAAGATGTGGGCATGCACTTACATTTGTGATGGGAACAGAGACAGGATTTAGTTCTTTTACACAGCACTCCTCATTAGGCTACTGTAAGACATATATATGATGAAAATTAAAAGTTTACTGCAAAAGAATACTGAAAGGCCAGAATGACTCGCACCACTAAGATCTTTTGTATTGTTAGTATTTGGCTACATTTATAATGGGGATTATAAGGGGAAATGAGAATGATGCAGAGGTAGATAGAAGGAAACATCCTTCTATCTAAAGTGAAACATCCTTCTATTTAAGTATATCTAAGCCGAGGCCTGTATCCCTTCAATGAGGAGGAAGAAAAGATGTAAAAATTAGTGATGATGATGATTGGGGAGTTGAGAATTAGCACTACCTACCTATAGCTGCATGCTCTGCCTGTGACTATATATATAAATTGTCTCTGTCAAATAAATACACAGACTAGACCATGGACAGAGAGTCCATGAGACAAGCTGTTTCATTCCTCACTTTACTTTGAAACATCTCAGGCAGCCAGATGCTGTCAAACATCTGCTGTACAGATACCTTTATCTTCTGAGCAGCCTGCGATGAAGGACACAAGAAGAGCAATTTGTGCAATGTGAGGACACGGTGTCTGTCTTTATCAAGCAGATGTTGTGTAAACATTGGATTCAAAAGTGGTCATGCTGGTGTAATTAATTGTATCCAGCAAGTATAACTACATCATTGATCACATAATTTAACACAGAACTCAAACAAATCTGCTTTCAAAAAGCATTACGGAGATCAAACACAATAATATGATGCGGATTTGAGATGGCTCAGCGTTAAGGAAAGCCATGACTGTTGACGGATTGTTAAATATGAGGCAGACAGAAATGCATCATAAATTAATTTCAAATAATATGTCTTCTTAAATATCAGAGTGATAAATCTGAAGCAGTGGAATAGGGAGAGTCTTCTTCAGGAGTGTGTCAGGACAGTGGTCCACAGTCCAGCCTGGCCCATGTCCACACGCTGCTCTGCGTGCCAAGCACCAAGTCTAAATATCCTTAATGATGTCTAGTCTGTGCAAGGCCTCTCCATGAACCACACACTCATTTACTGTTGGGGCCAAGACCAGAAAACACCAGGCTCACCCTGAGCTAGAGCGAAGGAGCTGTTGATACTACAGTTTCTGTTCACCATAGGCACGCTCTACTTCGGAGCTGCTGTCAAAAGGTCTGGACACTGATGGATTATATCATTCTGCTCAATTGCCTCAGTTTGCCCCCCTCCCCCCAGCAAAGCCAAGTTTGTGTGTTTTGGCAGAAATACAAGAAATAAGTGCAAAAGATTGCAGTGGAGAAACACTGCACATGCCAGAGGACATGGCGCCCCGTCCAAGTGTTTCCCAGACGAGGAGGGAGCTCCTGCGGCCTCAGGCACTCAGGCAGTGTGCTGCAGGCGCATATGTGCGGACCTCTGGCACGGACCACAACGCATGGATCTGTGTGTGTGTGTGTGTCTGTGAGGATGTCTGTGTGCGTGTGAGCGAGCTGCATGTACTATGATTTATGAGCTCTGGCTTTGGCGTGCCACGTACATGAGTGTGTTTTAGAGGTTTTGTGTGATGGCCCCACTGGTCTTCACGGCAAATTTCACCAACTTCCTTACTTTGGCCAGTGGAGGTCTAATGAAAAACACCTTGTCCTTACCCTTAGAAGGAATAGTTACAGCCCAAGATAGCTTCAGTTTTAATATTACTACATTGGTTTACTACAATTTACATTTGATCAGGTATAGAATGTTACACAATATATTCTCTTCATTAAAAAAAAACTCTAGATGTAACATTCATTTACCAAAAATAATTTTCACTCCAAACTGGCATGGGCCCCAAGAATAGTTTGGGATTGTTGTAAGAGTAATTTAGCTTGAACTATAATAACATGTCATAAAGACACAAAGCAGTGCTGATTTGGTCCAAACATTACAAACCATAATCAGAATTACATCCACATGTCACCTTTTTATGTTTGTGGCAAATTTGATTTTAAATATAAAGTGAAAATGTATTCTATAAAAAGTATCCCTTTTGCTTTCAGCTTAAAAAAGCATACAGACAGAAGGCCCTGACGTGCCATCCGGACAAGAACCCAGACAACCCAAAAGCAGGTAAGGTGATCTTCTGTCTGACATCTTTCTCACCAATAACTTCACATGCTGCAATGTAACACACCTCAGTTGCTATATATAACAATTATTTTGACAGTATCAGAGGTTTAAAATCCCAAAGCTCCAGGCTTATAGTCCTTTTAGTCCAGTACCTGTACCACTACCCTGGTGTTTCCGTGGCTGTTTCATCTGTCAGATGTGAGCAGACAGCCACATCCCTTACTGCGGTCTGTCGTGAACCAGCATGTAAACTAGAAAGTCTGCTTTGTGTATTTAAAAGGAAAAATCACCTTAAACTAAGGCTGGTCATGATAAAAATGTTTTCTAGTGAGGTTTGTGAGGTTCTTGGATGCCTCAAAGTATTCCTGATTATTTAAAAAAAAAAGGATATTGGTTGGTTTGAGGGCTTGAGAGGGATAATACAAAAGCTGGGGGGCGATTTCCCAGAAATGTAAAAGAAGTGGTTCTGAGGGCCTCAATTCGTGAACCAGCACATGAGCAATCATGCTCTATTGCACAAGAGGGCAGGAAGACCTGAGCTCCTAGAGGGTGCCAGTGTGTGTGAGGAGGTCATCTGAAAGTGAACATACTGTGACTACTGTCACCCTTCTATAACTTAACCCCTTCAGCACCCTGTCCCCTTCAGCACCCTGACCCTTCAGGCCACAGGTGCTTTTCTGATTTCATTTAAGAGCAGTACTGGCATGCAGGTAACGTGAGTGCTGCTGCTGCTGCTGCAGTGTGATCTCTGGTGTGCACTGCTAGTCCTCATGGGAGAAACCCTATCTGTCTGCTAGGCCCCCCATAAGTGAATGATTAGACTGAGCTGCAGAGAAGCTATGTGTGGTTCTGTGATGGAGAGTGGTATTGTGGTCTCCTCGCAACTATGTGTGCGTGTGTGTTAAATGACAACTGAGGCCTCTTGATGTGCTCCAACTGAACAAGGATGAGAGGCAAACGGTTATATGGAACTGGAACAGCTATTCCCTGGAAAAATACATCAGGCACAATTTGAACAATAAAAAAGTATTGTTTTACCCTCTAACTTGTTGTAAATGTACTTAAAAAGCCTCTATCGTCTATCATCATGTCTGTGTCTCTTCACAGCTGAACTCTTCCACCAGTTGTCCCAGGCCCTTGAGGTTTTGACTGACGCTGCTGCCAGAGTAAGCACTTGAATAGTTCCCATTGTGTTTCACTGAACATTCTTTTAACCTACTTCTGTTTGCAGGCTGCATATGATAAAATCTGTGCTGCAAAAAAACAAGCAGAAGAAAGAAACCGCAAACTTGATGATAAAAGGAAGAAGATTAAGCTTGGTGAATATTAATACAGTTAACACAGTGAGTTGTGTGGTGCTCTGTGCTTATTATAATTAATTTATTATGAATGATCATTATTATGTTTTTATTTTTATTTGGTTTTACTGGGATTTAAGACTAAGATTAACCTGACCATGAATTCCCTTTTGTGTTATTCATAGTTATGCTGTCTGTGTACCACTACAGCAGTTTTTCATAAAATGCGCTCTAGAACAAATTGCACTTGATTGTGTGTTTGAACAGATTTGAACTTGAATATTGACAGGCACTCATTATTTACCATTTGCTCACTTTTACAGACTTAGAGGCCAGAGAGCAGAAAGCTGAAGCCCACAGACAAGATGAAGTGCAGATGACCAGGACACTTGAAGAAGAGGTAACCGCAAAGCATGAATCCAATGTCCCTCCAGATTTGTTTATGTCCAGAGAAAGCCAGTAGGTGGCACTAGACAAATGTTCTTCTCCAGGTGCTCTTGCTTCAAATGGCACAGTGTAATAGTCTCTCTCATGTGGACACCTTTGGGAAAGTTTATATACACGCACGTCTCCATGTTATTTAGGGTGGCCTGTCTTTTCCCAGATTGCCCGTTTGAGAGAGGAGGGATCCAGACAGCTGGAGGAGGAGCAGAGGCTTATCAGAGAGCAGATTCAGAAGGAAAGAGAAGCCCAGAATCCACAGTCTGGTGAGTCCACTCAGGGCAGTATGTTCTTATCAAGTATTCTCTTTAATTTTCAGCACTGTGCACAAAAGCACACTCAAAGCACACAGACACATATGACCACTACTCACTCATATTATCTATCATTATTTAATTATCTATTATTTCAATCCTCTGTCTTTGTCTTTTTCTTGATTCAGGGGCAGACAGATATTCCCATGTCACCCCAAAACTGAAGGTAGGCAATGAATAGTGAAATTTCCATTCTTTAAGGGGCTACGTTGTCCAGGGACTGAAGGTGGAAATGAGCAATTTTGCTATAACCTGGCACAAACATATTACCTCTTTATGTAGGTCAATCTTTTTATGTGCATTGTCCATGATAAATAAATAAATAAACTTTTGAAATGTGATCTAAAGTAGGACTGGAAGATATGAGGGGGGAAAAAAATCACTCATATTGATTGATCTCGATTTTTCCTTTTCAAAAGCAAAATTAAATTAGCTCTTAGTATTGATTTCATGAACATAAACAATACAGACTTTTAATCTGTGCCATACAAAACAAAAACACTTCCTCCAAAGTCTTCTGTTTGATCCGAACCACATGCTATTACTGACAGAGGATTGGCTCTGGGCCTCTCTGTTCAAAAACCCAAACCATATCAATGACTATTAGACATGACTGAATCACGATTTCTCGATCTTTCGATTAATTCCCCAGCCCTTAATTTAAGCGATGTTTTAATTCTGATGTATAAAAATGAGCCAAATATATCACCACAAAAAATGTTTTTCCTCTCCCCAGCTCAAGTGGAAATGTAAAAAAGATGATGAGACTAAAGGGGGTTACTCTCATGACATCCTTATGAGACTTCTCCAAAAGGTATGCCAGGTTCCTTATATGTCTTCTTCAGAAATGATCTCAATAATACCTAGTTGTTATTGTATATCGCATGACCTTTTTTTATGTTGACTGACCCTATCTTATAAACAGAGTCCATTAAAATGAAGTTGTAGTGAATGTGCTGTGGCCGATGCAGCTGTGTCCTTTATAAGCCATGTGCAGTTTTTGCCCCTATTACAGGTGACTTAAACTGCTATGGGAGGAATTTAGAAACGTGCGCTTTTCATTCAGTCTCTGGTTTAAAGTTCTCCAGTGCGTGCAGACATTGTATATAAGAATGTGGTATCAGGCTTATATAGAAATGGAAGTACCAATGTATTCAAATTTGTAAGCAAAAGCAGTAAATCTGAGCCAAAAGCAGTTTAGAAGACAGACAACACAAAGTGACATTTAATGGTTTGGACAAGTAGAAATAGACACCATTGTGTGGGAGAGCTAAATGTGGTATGTTGGTTCTTTTTCTTCAGTACACATTTTTATATTGTGTATATTGGCCACTAAAAATGACATATCTACATTTAAGGGAAATGATTTTGAAACCAAGTCCTTTTGGGAGTCCCCTTTGTCACTGTTGGCTTACTCCACACATTTCTCTTATGATTTTGCATTCCTGGAATTTCCTGTTCCCTGCCAATTTTGTTTTCAGACAAATCGATTCTCTAACCTTTATCTTTGCTTCTTCTTTGCATGGCTTCTGTTATAAAATACGCGATCAACTATAATGAATTTCATATTTATTTAATCAGAGAATGGTCTGTTGCCTATAACAATATTTTTCCGTGTTTCTTTTTATGGCTTCCAGTATGGTGATGTCTTGAATCTTATTGTGTCAACTAAGAAGAACGGTAGTGCTGTGGTTGAATTTGCAACAGTGAGAGCAGCGGTAAGCACCAATCCATTTTCAGTGTTTGTAGTTGGGTTGCTCTGACTTCAATACCACATTTGATGCTTTATACATAAAGTTGTCAGTTTGTTAGAGACTGGTCAATACAACACTATCAATTCTTAGTCTTGTTTTAAAGTACTGTAATGTAATATAATGTGCTAGAACATGCCTGCTGGTCACCCGAGCATCTGTCTCTGGTAGACTGTAGACTCTAATCAGTACCTGGAGGAATGGGTAATGGGATAATGGCAGATAAACTAGTTAATGTGTGTTTCAGGAGCTGGCAGTGAAGAATGAGAGTGGTCTAAGTGGAAATCCATTGAAGGTTTCGTGGCTTGAAGGAGAACCAGTGACTGCTCCTCAGACAAACCAGTTTATGTCAACACAGGTCTGTAACACATTCACTCATCAGCTCAATCACTCAGCCAAACATCTTGTATTACCAAATTCAATTATTTCAAGTTTCTTTTATTATGTAGGATCTGAAAATGTACTATGTCTACATCACATTACTGCTCTGAGACAAATATTTGAACAAACTATGCGATATATATTTTTTACCATTCTGATCGCATCTGATAATTTGTGCTCTTTTATTATTTAAGTCCACCACTAAAGGGACAGTCCGGAATTTTGGACGTAGGATCTCATTTCCTAATTAGCCAGAGTGTTGGAGACGTAATAGTTTTGCTTCAGGTGCTTTGACGAGTGGGTAAGACTGTTTTTAGTGGCAGGCTAACTATGGCCATTGACATGCACTAGCCTAACACCAGCGACCTCTGCAAACACAAGGACTGGATGGAATATTTAAAAAAGTGTCTCCACACGTCTCCAACACTCTGGCTCACTAGGAAATGAGGCCTTATGTCCAAAATTCCGGACTGCCCCCTTAATGGTTTTACAGTAACACATACATGTCACTATATGTATAAGCAGTTTCTCTTGATTGGTTACTTCACCAAGCACTTCCTGTTTTTCTCCCAATGTAAATGAAGTACAGGATACTAGATGCATATGTGTAGAATTGGAAAAGAGTTAGTCATGGCTGAGAAAACCAGAGATATGCGGTTTACTTAGTGTCAGCCATGCAAATATTTCCCGCTCTGCACACTTTTCTTGTCTGGCCTGAAACAATGTGTTTGGTGTAATGGGCCCTAGTTTATTTCTGTTGGATCCTGAGGCAGTGGCCCAAAGCCATCACAGCTCCTCTCATTAACTGACCCACCAGATCCCAGGAATGTTGCAGTAGTACTGTGGCAGGACTCACTCAATGGCTGCAATCAGTGAGCGTGCCCAGGACTCCATTTGATAATAAATGTTTTCCCTTTCAATATTTGTCCAGAATTAGCTGAATTTGTTTTCTGTCCCGTGGGTATGGTATTTTATTTGCACTGCTGTTTTTGACTAATCATTACATGTAAAAATCGTTAAATCCCCTGAAGAAAATATGTGTCTTCTGTGGTTTTGAAATCACAGTAGTGTTATGTTGAAATCTTGTAATAATTGATTCGACATACTCCGTGTTTTGACTGTGGAACTAAGCGTGCAGTTAACATATGCACATCAGGTTCTCGGCATAATCTGATTTTAGGTCTCTTGTATCTAGTGGAAAGTTGAGCAAAATGCAGTTGGTGTGTTCCTCTTAGTCTCTTGAGCTTTATCTGGACAATGAAACCATGGGTGGGAATGGGATAGCATGTTATACAAAGTCCCTTCAGAATTCCAGTATTTGTTTCTTGAACTGTGTTTCACCCTACAGCTCAATTTCTCAGCCCCTATGTCAGTCTGAGCCCGCACACTGGGACTTGTCACTCTAATCTCTTTTAATGGTATTATGGTAACCCCCTTTTACTAAAGTTGATTGCTTCAGTGTTTTTTGCCCTACACCTGAGAAGGACAGCACAATGAATGCAGCGTACTTTTCACATTAGCCCCATGTGAATGTGCTTCTTGCTTAAGTGGACCCACATGACATAATTGAAATATCTGTTTCTTTGGCCTTGAGGGGCGTTTGAGATGGAGATAAAGTGAGCCCAAACAGCAGTGGTGGTCCATGCAATCTTGTTGAGGTTGAAAATTTGACCATCACCATCCTAACAAATATAAGGGAAGAGGCCATCCATTCAAACACTGGACGGTATAAGGTACATATGAAGACATACATGACCTCAGCATCACCTCACCTCTTTCCTCTTATTCAATAACTTCTGGCACTTCTGAGGCCTCTGTTAAACCTAGCTTTACCTTTGGGTCATAAGATATCGTGAGATGTGGAAGTGTGACTCCAGAGTCCCAGAAGCTCTTCTGGTATACTTTTTATATACATATGTACTCAGTGCTTATCATGTCTACACCATAAGGCTTTGTGTTATAGTTCTGCCCATTCTCTTGACTGACGTGGAGCTATATGTTCGAGTGTACATTGTGTACCTTAAGTTAACACAACCCAAACACACTTGTTGATTTTACAGAGTTTATTTAATAATTGCCCTGCCAAGTATAAGGTCATGAATAGATTTTGCAGAGATAATCCATCGTTTAATATCCACTTTTGTTATGGACATAGAACCATCTGTACTGAACTGAACTTGATCCTTAATCACTGTGTCATGATTTATGGTTCATTGTGTAGCATAGCTTACAGCCAGTACAATATAAAGGATTTAGATCCATGCTTTCAACGCCTGTTCCTCCCATTTTTATGTTGAGAATCACAGAAGGCTTGTCACGACAAAAACCAGATGCAACTATTCTTGGATTGTTTTTCCAGCTTGCTGGTTTTCTAGTGGCTGAAAGTGCACTCTCACCTAAAGTAGCCCCTCTGCCTAGGGGAGATGTATTGAATATAGTCGTGCAGTTGGCTCATTAAACCAAGCCTGACCCTTCTCTGAACAGTGATACAGATGTGGGAAAGATTATAATATAGTCACTGTATTAACTAGCAACACCAAAATCTAATGTGCAGCATCAGAAGAACTACATGTGCACTGTTTAAGTTTTTTTTTTTTTTTAACAATTAAATTACTCCATAACTGCTACCTTTTGGTCAAAATGACAGGATATTTCTGTAATCTGTATGGCTGCAAGTTTATTTTTTAGACAGAAGAGAAGTGGTACCAGATGTTATAGGGAAACTTCACAGCTTGACCACTTTATGCGTAGACAAGATAATTTGTCCTCAATTATAGGTTCTTTGTTCTTGCATCAGTCATTTGGCCAAAAACTTATCAAATGTAAATCCAGTCCGTCTTCACACTCACTTATGTAGCCAGAAGTCATACAGCCAAGGATTTTTATTCAGAAGAAAATAAGAAATCCTACAGTTTGACTGATACAGCTTGTGTAAACGGTCTCTCTTGCTTTTAAGATTGCAGTTCTAAAACTTGACTTGTCTATTTTAAGTTTGTCATTTATTTTGTTTTTTATTGTGGTGAGAGATTGGCCATAATTCTTCTGGAAATTGCATAAATTATTTTATTGCTTCTACAGTGGCTTTGATTTCAAGCCAAATAAACATACAGAATGTCTTTGATATGAGCACTCTGGCCACAAAACAGTTGAAAAATATCTTATCTTAGTTTCTCACTATTAAATTAGTCACATTTAATGACAATATTTCATGACATTCTTATCTGATATGTCCAAACTAGTGCTGCTAGGTCCCATCACATACCCCCACACCCTCTCCTTCTCTCTCTCCCCCTCTCATTTTCTAAAGAGTAGACATTACACAGACATTCTCTGGTGCAGTGTATTGTGGATTTAAACTTGATCAGTTGCATGCAGCTATTCTTTCTGCTGCTTTATCATTGTATGTCAATGTATTTTTCTTCACATTTGCTTGTGTTTAGTCAGAAGGTAAAGTTTAAATATCCATTTTGCTGCTGAAATGTCTGTCTCTCTACCCGTGACACCCCCTACATATGTATATGTATGTACATATGTATGGAAGTATCGCATTACTCTTTACCACTGCCTCTCGTGCTCCATCACCAGAACATTGGACTCTGATTTGCAGCTAAGAAAACAGCCTGCTCTGACTTTTTTCCTTTTTGAGGTCTTGGACTTGTGGCCTGGCTTTGTCTGCAGCCCAATCCGCCACTATAGCCTGGCTTTTATTAAAAGCAGAGCTAAGTGTTTGTTTTTACTGCATTGTTGGGAATAGGAGATGGGGGGTACCTTGGTCTACCTAAGAGCAGGGCCTCTGGGATGCGTGCAGAGTATAAATGGCCCTGTGCACACAATAGATTGGCAAGCACGCCAAGAGCCAAGACATCACAGCTAGAGGACCTTGGCTTGTAGCCGCAGCTTTTCTTCTTTAAACACAAAGCACTTTTAAGTCTGAACAGCCATCCTTGGTGCTGTATGGCGCGGTTTGGGTTATTACAACAAAGTAATATGAGGTAAAAATGTGCAACAATGGAATGTCACGGGAGGAGGTCAATTGTTAGTCCCCTGCATGCATTCCTAAGTGAACCTTAACTTGATGTTGCTCACGCTGGCTGCCATAAAAAACTAGTACAGTCTGTTGCTTTTTGGATTTTAACCCTGGTTCACTGCAGGATATTATAATCCATGATAATTCTACTGAAATGCTCCTTATTTGTCCTTAATTATGACATTTGTCCATTACTTGTAGTACATCCTCCAAGATGGATGGGCCCAGGTCAAGGCTAAAGGAAAATCCACTATCCTCATCTTTTGATGTTGTTGCATTATTGTCTGAATGATCCTCTCCAGGGTCTGAATGCTCAGTGTACTGTTTAGGGCTGTAATTCTGCCTTAAACCATGATTTACTCTTTGGATATCTGGCTCTGTTTCGGTTTCTTCATCATCACTATCAAGTAGTGGCATTGAGCTGCATTTTTTTCTCTTCTGCGACCCCCATTCAGGGCTTTCTGAACCTTCAGGTTCGTCCAGGTTGAGTCGTGGGGGCTTTGGTGGTGGGGAACAGGCCATGAAAATGTTCTGCTCACTCTGGGAGCTTTGCAGCAGAAGACTATGACCCTTCTTTAGAAAGGAGAGGTCTCCGAAGCTGTCCGCATGGGCGTCATTGCCGATGTGTGTAATGTGACGAAAATCGGCCAGTGGTCGGCTGATCATGCTGACTGACAACACATCCTTGCGCTTCCTACTGGACCAGCGGCTAGATGAGGGCTTTCTGTTCAAGGATGTTCTCAGGGGCATCTTGGTACTTGGTCCTGCTTTGATGACCTCAAAGCTTTTGTGTTTCAAGAGAAGAGTCTCAGAATGTTTGGAGAATTGCCATCTACAAAATAAAACCATAAAAACAACATTGAAACCAAAATGAACTTGTTTCTAAGATCAAAGTTTTGTACAGGGGGGTTGTAAAGTGCTATATATGTAAGTTTCCTCTTTGCTAAGGCTTGTATGTGCGACAGGTCTAAGCATGTGTACAAACTCAGCTCCAGATGGAAATAACTGGACACTATCTTTTAACGTGATGAGAATAAGCAGCCATTATATAGTTAGTTACAGCACCTGTTCAGCTCTAATATTTCGTAATAAGACACAGCAATTTGGCAAGAGAGGAGTCAAATATGCTTCAAAGCCATTATTTCAAAATGTTTATTCCTGAAAGCTCAGTTCTTCCCATAAATGCAGGTGTGGTCTAGCATTTATTCAAAGTCTACTGGCCCTTTCATGCCAAAAGCATCAAACACATTCCCTATTGTTATTCATCATGCAAATAAATCACATTAATGTACATTTTGTTTTGAAACAATAAACGCGGTTTACTGTTCAATCTGTTGGTAGTGAATTTAAAAATTAAATTGGATACATGCATATAATACAGACAGCTAGGAGGTATTCATTATTATTTAGTTGCTGTGGTGTAAGTAAAATGTGGAAGTTAATAAGAAACTTCCAACCTGAAGCTTTACGTTTGAGAGGAAGCGTGATGCATGTTACATAGTTGTGTGTGTCTTGTTCACTTCCATCCATGCAGCACTAAATTAAGTGTTGGTAAATAATAAAACCTGGGCTTTCCGTGACCTGTAATCATTTGATTGAGTAAAAACAAAATGTAGTTCATCAATGCTGGCATGGTGCTGCATCATTCTGTGTCTGTGATTTTACAGTCTCGCCAACAGCTTTGCCCACATAAGATGTGTTTTCGTGACATGAAACACTCACTCTGTAAATTTGTAAGCCACTACAGCAAACAGGTTTTGTGTGCCTGTAAAGGTTTTATCGGTACTTTAGCAGCAGCAGGAGACCGCAGAGCATGGACACAATAGCATTCCTTTCTAAACATGTCAGTTTGACCAAGGAGGAGTCGGGATTTGATCCAGGAGTACCGTCTTAAAGCCAAATCAAATTAATGTAGTCGATGATAACTGGTTGTCTAAAAATGTAAATATCTGCTACTTCTTTTTAGATGCCTCAAAGTCTGTTTTAATTTAAAAACTAGACACAAATAAAGATCTAAGTTTTCTTCGTCAAATAAGTGAAGCACATAAAGTCTTACCTGTATTGATGAGCAAATAGAGTATCTCCGATTCCAACGTAAGCTCACAGCTCTGTGAGGCAAACAGACTGTGTCTAATACCTGCACACTGACAAATGCCTCCCTGACATGATTGGGCTTGTCCAGCGTTTACAGGTAATGCCACAGTGAACAGCTTCACAGTGATCAAAACTCAATACAACACAATAGAACTTGCATCGTTTCCTAAACCTACTAGACCAAACCTCACATGTAATTGTCCCTGCCCTGACTAATAAAGAAAACAAGTTCTCACCGTTTGTTGTATCCTTCTTCATAATTATTTTAAAGAAAAGAACTCTGATCAGCAAAGAGAAGATTTTTCCACGTGCATTGTTCGTAAAAGAGTATTCTGTGCGAGGAGAGGTTAAAGTACACCACAGGTGGGGCACTCAGGTGCAGTCTGGTAATGATCAAACAGAGGAGTGACCCATGCTCAGACAGTCTGATGTCATTAAAGAAGCCAGTGTGAAGCAACGCTTCAGTGCAGGAGGTTTCAGAGTCTGTCAAAAGCCAGTATAGTCTGTAGGCAAACAGGTCATCTGCCCAGAGTGGGGGGTGTGTGGTCTTTATTCCCCATGGCATTGTCCCCTCTAACTGATATCCTGCTTTCCGGCTACATGGTGACTCTCTTAGAGCTTAAATCCACAGGCCCTTCTGCTTGAATGGAGGCCTATAGCTTCCCTGTGTAATCTCTGCATACTATCACACACAGACATGTATGCACAAGAACAGATTACACAAGACAATAACTTGTTGGATTTCTCACGCTTTGCAACATGTCATCTTTATGTGGAATAACAGTACTTGAAACCTGTTTGCATTTTATTAAGACTTAAGACACAAATGTATTGTGACAAATGCTTGCCTTTTTTACCAGTGGACACTGTTAAATGTTTAAAATGTTCTCTGACCTTACTTAACCTTCTCCGTGACCAAAATCCTATTGTGTTGGAGCTGTGGCCCTTGGGCAGATGGGTTATACTGGGTCTGGATATTGTCCCTGGCTGTCATGGCTAGTGTGGTCTGTGGAGCTATGTTGACATTGAAATCTGGGATGTTGTGATTTTGTTGTTGTAAAATGTTTTAGTGTTTCCAGATATTGCTTTGACTGGCAGGAGGAGCCCACGCTGATCATTGAGTGGAGATTCTTCCAGCCTCTGGTGTATCACCAGATTCTTTGGATTTATGAAATGCCTAAGTATAGACCCATTTGTTTGAGACAATATTGAGTAACTGACTGAGTGAGACAAGCGGTGACATGCATGACCGAGAATGAATAGAATGAATGGTGTATTTTCTCTAAAATCATTGATCGTAGTGAGCTTATTGTCATCTCTATTGATTTCTGTTGTGATCATAATGCACCAACTGAAACTAGAGATGCTAGATATGCTGAGTTTTCACTGTTACATGAGATGGATGTGACAACAGACAGGGAGCAGGTGTAAAGTTGCGACATCAAGTAAAGTTTCTCAATGACCTCTAATCAGCACAATGACATCACAATGATTAATAGTTTGTGACGACTGTTTGTGATTAACAGTGATTGTGATTGCTGTATGGAGAGAATGGCCTGAATCATCATAACTTAGAACACCTTACATTTACAGTCTTTACACTTGATTATACAGGATTCATTGTTGTCTTCCTCTGGCATAAAAGCCGTGTTGTTTTGCCATAATGTCTGTCTTTCACTTCAAAAGGTTGCTATTTATTATGGTTGAATACTGAATACTTGTAAGACTTCCAAACTTGTACAATGCCAAATGACAGCTTTTGACGCATGGAGCTGAATCAGTAATTACTATTTAATTAGGCTTTTCTGTCTACATTTAGAGGTGATCTTAAAAGGCAGGAACCTGTTTACCAAGAGTGCACTCATACATGCAAATAGGCTTTTCCAACCATTATTCAATTTTTATATCACTCGCTTAGTCCTTCTCTCTAACTTCTTAAAGCATTGCCTGTTCTGAACCATATTTGGTATAAATGGAAACCGTTTGCAATCAGACAGCTTTTCCAGGATGGCTGAAATGTGTAGGACATAATATTGCGTTCACTCAACTATCCAACAATGTATTGTTGCACATCAGAGGCCAAACCACAGCACTTCCCATTCTAGATTCCTTACTCTCATCTATCATGCAAGGTCAACTCTCCTCTCTCCTAACAGTTTAGTTCCTTTTACTTTAACTCTTTCCAAAAGCACTCGACATTTCTGGTATGTAGTCCACCTTGGACATTTGGACAGTGGTCTTCACATGCAAAAAATACATTCATAGTGATTTTTCTTTTTTTATTTAACACATTTTTCTTCCTAATGATTACACGCTGTACACATCTTTAGCTGTGGAATTGAATTTGATGTGACGTCCAGTTTTTGTGCTATCATTTGATTTGGCATGACTTATTTAATAATGTCTTTCTTCATCCAAAATTAAACTCAGCAATGTACATTAAAGAGGGTATATTATGCAAATCAACTTATTTTTTGCATTCTCCCATGTTATAATGTTGTTCCCTCATCAAAAACATGTCTGAAGAGGATTTACCGGTACTGTAGATGTCATTCATATGTGTTTGAGTAATCTTGCAACCTTTCCCAGACACTGTTTGAACCCTCCTTACAGTTGATTTATGATTCTACCCACAGACCTACATCATCCATGCTCCAGCACAGCAATTTTTTGTAAATATACAAAAGCAGAATGCAAAATAATGCACTATAACTTCACTAACCTGATGTGATGTGCAGTACTTTCATTAGCCAAATGCATGTAATGTGATAGCACTGATAGACTGAAGAGAGGGACAAAATCTGAAACTTATTAAACACATTGTTTTCAGTGAATATAGCATTTTCAAAACTATAAAAGGTAACATGGGGATATAAATATGTTATGCGTTAGCAGTTAATACCCCATAGAAGTGTATTACCCCCTCTTTAACATCTGAAGTACAGTCATTTTAGAATACATTTTTGTAATTTTAGCCCAAAAAACTTTTGGCACACTTTTAATATTTTGTACACAAACTACACCTTTAACTCCTTTAGAACAACTTACAACTAAATTTTAATCTAAATTGAAACATATAAGATGTTTTAAGCTTTAATCTAAATAGTGTCCTGCAATGTGACCTGAAAAATCACATTTATTTTAAACCAAAACCTGGTAACGCACTTAGCACATAGATATTAAACACCAGGACAAGTTTTGGGGATAAGGTTTTGACAGAAATAATCTTTATTCATCATCATTATTATTATTATTATTTATTATCAAATTCAACTGGAAAGGTGTTTTTTGTTTAGGTTAACTTTAAGAAGTCCTAGTATTCTTAATGATGGGACAGTACTGTAATTATTCAATTATAGAATAATATAGTATATAATATAGAATAATTTATATTTGTATAATGGCAAATCCTTGGATGTAACATAATACAACATATAATAATACAACTTGTTGTTCTTGTAGTTTTGACCTCAGCAGATATGTGTCCACTCCACTAATTAAAGCATATTTGGCACAAAGTTCGCTAGAGAAATTGTAATTGGATGTTTTTAAAAAATTATTGAGCTCTACAGCTTTGTGTGGTTATTTTTTTTTAGTCAAATAGAGTATACTTGCAGTGGCAGTTATAAGTTTTTACAATAAATGATGAATAATGTGCGATTCCACATTGGCCTGGTTCTTGCATGCGCAGCAGCCGAGCATACAGTCTGTTTGTTTAACTTACTGTTCAGACACACACACCCCTATAGTGCTGCCCAAATGATCTCCAAGTAAGTGTTCACCTCTCATAAATCACCAACTTCAGAACCACTTGACACGCGCAGAAAGACCACACGCTGCAGATAAATAACTCCCTGATTAACTTCACTACTGAGAATTAGAATCAGACATGTTTGCATGAACCCAAGTCATGAAAGGGGCATTATGTCACTTTTCTGGTACAGGGTCCGTCACCTGCTTCTCTCCATGGAGATGTTATTGCTCTGCCATGAATGTTCCAGTTTGTCATTAAACTGTCTTGCATTTATTGTTTCAATTACTGCAATTTATTGCTCAAACATACATTGAAAAACATGCATTCTTACTATGAATGGACTTCATACCATGTGAAGTGGGTCCAGTCTATAGAGAGGTATCATCTGTTTTTTTTTCATGGAGAGAAATAAAGGCAATGCCACACTGAGTACTGCAGGGAAAACAATAACATCGCCATAGAAACAAGCAGATGGCCCCTACAAGTGGTGTATATAGTTAACCTTTAAGTGAAAAAAAAAAAAAGTCAAATGTCAAAATCATTTGTAAGGATTTTTATGAAAATAGCAGTGTTGGCATATTCGTTATAATGAACTTCATAACAAGTATTGATTTAATACAAAGCTTCAGTTTTATCTGCCCCTTATTTCAGGCGACTGCCCAAATGCGTCACATGGAACCTTTTAACAAACTCCAGACCTGGAGCTCGTGCAGGTGGATGCTAAACATTCAAACATCACTGGTAAACAACAAACACAAACCATGGAAACAGACGCACAAGGTCCTAGGTATTCTTTTACATGTTTACTTATATGAACTTGAGAGATCCACTGAAATATGTAGAGTTTTCTGAGAGGCCTCTGTTCGTATTCACAGGGGTTGTTGCATGACTGTTTTCCTTTTTATAAATATATACAGTATATATTTAGTTGTTTTTTTCCATAGAAAATTGTATTCAATGGATTCTTTTTATGCCACAGTGCCACTTTCAAACCATGAATCAAAATAGTTTGTATTATTTGTTCTTTAGTTTACTCTGCTCACTTCCCCACATTTCACACATTTTGTTGTGGCGTAATACGCAGCTGACCTGACAGCTTTGTGCAGAGGGAGCACACAGTGGCCACCTGCGCTGAGAGGAGCCGCCTGACTCAGTGCACGGATGGTATTCATGATGTCATTCCTGGCCTGGGGTCGCAGAGGGTGTGTGGTTTAGAAGCGCGGCCCTTTGCTGATGTCACAGTGCAAATACTCTTGTCTGTGTATGCGTGCATGTTTTACTATCCTGCCTCTGCGGTGGCCATGTAACCTCCCAGCCCTCTCTCTCGCTCCGCTACATTGGGGGCCCATTGTTTTTGTTCTGTGGTTTCCTACTCACCCCGGGCCTCAGCTTTCTACAGCAGACATACACGCAAATGCACGCAGCCACACAAACAAATGTTTAGTAACAGCGTGATAAACTTAACATGCACGTCGTAAGGTGGCACCTCGGGCAAGGAAACATTCTACAGGGTCCAAGGAAGCAGTGCGTCATTATCTGAAATGCACCTGTTAATGGTCAGAATTCCCCTTTGTCCAGCACCTCGGCCTGTCTGCTTTACTGCTTTTTGAAACTCAACTTGCAGTCATCAGGTGTAGCCAGTAGAGGGCAGAAAAGCGTGAGCTAAATAATAGTCTAGGTTACTGAACAAGACTGTATATTGTCTTGCATTTTGTTAGGATGCAAGAGTTGTTTATGTCCTTAATGCTGTTTGCGTGATTTTTCATAGTTGCGTGTCAGACAAGGACTTGAGCTCACATTACTGGAATGATAATAGCAGCTTTCCTCAGTCCAGGGGCGGATGGTGCTGCGGGGGGAGGGGGGTTGGTGGGTCTCACGTCTCCACACGGCTTCTTCACACCACTCTGGATGCTGGAGTCCCCTGTGATGTTTTCCAGATGCTGATTGGCTCACCGGTCTCATTGACAAAACCCACTTTTCAGTCTTTAGACCTCTTTGTCTCTCCATTCCTCATGCCAAGTACTTTTGCAGTTTACAGTCTTGTTGGGGACACTTTCTTGGCCTCAAAAGCATCCTGAATAATGTTGACAGTTGACAGTTTGTGATAGCATTTTTAAAAGAGTTGAAAATGGCAATAGGCTAAGAGCTCTAAGAAGTAAAGCCTCCATCTATGTCCTCAACAATGTTGGTCAGATTAGTTTGCAAATGTAATCTGATTACTGACTACAGTTTACTCCTACTAAAAGTAATCTCATTACTACTGTGATTACTTTATTTCAAAAGTGATTTGAGTAATTTGATTACTGATAAAGTTAAATTTTTGTCAGGGAAATGGCTACGTAACTGTAACCTAATAACTATTTTTAATTGTCAAAAGTTACATTACTGCGCAACTAAAAAAGTAATCTGAGTACAGTAATCTCCTACTTCGTAACTAGTTACTAACAACAATGTTCCTCAGTACACATAATATAATCTGACAATTTAAAATACATTTAACAAAACAATGGTGTCATGTATTTTTATTTGTCATATAATATAGTGTAAATTAGACAAGCTTTGGCCTGTATTCCCCATAGAAATCATGTTTACAGTATGGTTCCTAGAACCGGTTGAATGGAAGACGGTTGCCAGAGCTTGAAACCCATGAATACATTAATACAATTTCAACAAAAACAGTGGTAAGGGCAATAGACACAGTCCAGTGGCCAGCCTGTGTCTCCATATGTTTGTGAGTGGCTCAACAGATTTGGCTGTTCTAAGGTCAAGGGGGAGTGCATGTCACCAAAGTATTGTATGACTTCACTCTATTCAAAAATAAAATGTCACCTATTTATTTTGCCCTGCATGTTACCCATATTTTAATTTAAACACTTTAGTTCCAAATAACTGATACACTGCTGTGTGTGTTATTGGCTGTGTATCTTCTTCCTTGCTCGATAAGCCATTACCCAATGGCTCCTCTGTTCTCCCGAGATTAAGAGGAGCAACAACCAGCATTATCCAAAATCTAAAACCATTCATTGCAAAAGAGTAAAATCACATTTTGGCTGTGGAATTACTTTGTAACTATTTAGTATTTCTCTGCTGATGCTGATTCCCTCTCATATCAACTGTAAACAAGTACATGTCACTGGATGACCCAGACTCCTGTGGTCTGGTTGTGAGAGCTAACAGGCAATGCCAGTTACAACATACACTCCTCTTCATTAATGGTTGTATGGTTTATCAGAATAATGTGTTTGAAACTGTTCATTTTCAATGGATAGTGAAAAGGGTATTATGTTGTATGCATTACGGTTTAAAATAAAACTTACTTCATTCTGGGAGTTGATGACGCAGCATTTTAACTTTACATTTCCATGTCTCTTGCAGAGCTCCCTGACAAAAGAACGTGACTACGAAAGCATTGTGATGATGAAAATGAGACAAGCAGCAGAGCGACAGAAACTCATAGAACAAATGCAAAGAGAGGATGAAGAGGAAGCGGCTACTTAATAGTTTGTAAACTCCATGTCTTTTAGGTTCTCAGGTAACTGTTATGTATTTTATTGTATGGACATGTGAAAATAAATGTTTTGTATTGTTATAACTATTTTTGTGTTTTTATTGATAAGTCGTGAGGAAGATGAAGAAAATGTGACACAGGGAGAAGCAGTCTCATTTCTTTGAGGTAGGAATACAGTTCATAAAGAGCAAGTTCATCTGTACTTAGGTAAAAGTAATATTACTTTTTTAAAAAAAAAAATCTAACTGTATCAACAAATGATACAGTTAAAAGGTGTTATGTAAATGGTGTTATAATAGTAAATAAATAGTTTTCTCCAAGGCCAATAAACATGAGAGAAAACTGGACCTGGAGGCCAAGCAGACATTTCTGCATGCACTATTAGCCAAAGTCATAGTATTTTGTGATTAGGCTATTGCTAGAGGAGGGCACTGAGATGTCATCCCCAATTCATCCACACTAAAGATAATGTTTAACTGGTAACCGCTGATAAAACCTCTTCTTAGCTCTTCAGTAACACTGTGATGAGATGGTTTTGTAGCAATCCAAACCACAGACAATGCAATGCCAATACATGGCAATCATTTCAACCCTATGTTAAACCAGTAATCAGATTGCGTTGAGAAGACTGTGCGCATGGGAATTCTTTTGGCCTTGTGTTATGAAAAGTGATCACACACTTGGGGCCCTATGTTATAAAACTAGCGGTTTGAATGATTGTTCTCTAGGTTACACACACTATATCCAAATCCTACTCCAGACTTAAGAGACATTTTGACAACCCAAACTCAATAACATTCATTCAGTCTTGAAGTTTTTATTGTGTGAGAAATTGTTCCTTGAATTTTTGCTCATCTTGCTGCCTTATATTATAATGTTTCACATTTTGTTGTAGGGAATATGCATTGTTGTCTTTCAGGATCAAGATTTTTTTGTAATACTGTGCAATTTATAACTGTGACACTGCCATAATTACTTAAGAACTTTGTGTCATCTTTGGGCCTTGTAGTTTTTAGCTTTCAGAGTATTTCGTTTGAATGAACACCACATCGTTGCACCATCAAACCTAACCATTCACCTCCCTGCCAATGCTGTGCTACACGGCTGTAGTTGTTACACAATGTCCAGCTGTGTGGACTGAGGTGGAGTGGAAGGAGACATCTGCTCCTCCTTCAAAATCCCCACATCACATGGTTTTGTTTACTCGTACTTCTTATTCATATCCCGGCAATGTAAAAAAATGTCCACAAACACACACTCCATCCAAACGACAAGAAAGGAAATGCAATTACAGGAAACAGTCACCATCAATGCCTGCCTGAGCCTACACACGAGAATGGGAGGATTCGCATGTCAGTCACTCTGCCATGTAAACAGTTACATCACATGCTAGGAATCTCACTTGTCTTTTCTCTGACTTCTTTAAAATGCTCATATCAATTCTGAATTTGGTGAGGGATTCAGAGCTAGTGCGATCATGTCTGTTGTGAGCTGACAGGTGGATGTTAGTGCATGTGTGAGGCACCAGGTCTGGTTGGGCTCTGGCTTTGGAGGTGCCTGGTAGAGCCGTTCCATTTGTGGGTAGTGATCCAGGCTGGCCCCAGACATGAACTGGCAGACCAAGGGCTGGAAGGAAACCATCCAGTTTTTGGCTTTGGACCATATATACAGTCAATGCTCTGAACTTTGCTTCTTTCACTGCTGCCCACTCATCTTTTGCAAAAAGATGTTGCATGTTTATGAAATGACTTATTGGATTATCAGAAGCCTATATAATGTTTCTGATAAATAAAATAAGTGCAAATTGGTTTCATTTAATACACACACAATGTGTGCCATTACGTCATGTAATTGGAAGCATATGATGCACTTGAAACCAGAATGATACAATAATGCAAAACCTCAATGTTTAACCAGTATGTTCATTTACATGGCAAAGCAAGAGTCTGATTCTGAGATTTTTATTTAACTAATTAATAAGTCAACTTCAACAAACAGGTTTGATTAAGAGACACATTCTTTGTCCCAAGAAATATTGTACATAAATATTAGTATAAAAAGTTTTTGAGAATGTCTTCCTAAAATGGTCTCCAGTAGGCACTTTGACACTGTACACTCATAGCTGCTTTGACGTTACTGCCTCTGTGGTAATTTAAGTGCTAACCTGCTCTCTGGTGATGTTTGATTTGCACATAGGCTCATAGATTTTGCATAGAGTGGTGGTCAGTCTGTCTCCTTATGTAGGCACCACACCAGTGTCTGTCCCACTCCGGTCATCGTTAGCAGGCGGAAGCCAATCTTCTCCAGCTTGTCCAGGACCAGGCGGGGTGGCTCATCCACATGGTACTCAGAACTAAATGGGCATAAACAGAGTAGTTCTACTTCCCACACATTTTCTCTCTTTCAATAAACTTTGTTTGGATCATACAATGCTATTAATTGTTCTGGCACTTGTTCAATTCCTTCCTCACCTTGGTTCATTTCCCAGCAGCATTTGAAACACACTGCCAATAACAATACTTATATGCAATACAATCTGCATCCTGTTAGCTCTTTACTATAAACTTGCAAAGCAGCATCCTTCCTTTGGTCACTTTGTATATCTCAGTATATTGACAAAGAGGATCAAAATAAAAGCAAATTGTCGTCACTGCTGTGGCGTTGTGAATTGAAAAACTCTTCTCTAACAAAACTGTTTAGTGCCTTTGCAACTTTGGCAAAAAGATTACGTACTGGGACTTTAAGCAAACAATAGACTCGGAACAAATCATGTTTATTACACTGACAAACTCCCGAGTAATATGTATTCTTACTGGGGTTGCATCTTGACAAACCTGACTCTCCTTTGGCCTGAAGAAGGGCCTCCTCTTTCTCGTTCCCATGGAAATGTTGTTCTTTAGGCTATAATCTTTCACAACATAGTATTCATGAGTTTCAGCTTCTTGTTATATGGTGCCATTTTGAGGACCAATGACTATTCAAAACATAATATTTGGTTTTGAATGGCAATGTTCTAACATCCTAACTTTCACCCATAGATAAAACTAGAGAACGTCCCCAACCATGCTTTTAACTTTCTCTTTCCATAGAATTATTGAGTTATATCCTAAACCTAAATATACATACGTTAAAACACACATTTCTTTCAGTACTCACAAATTATTCCCCAAGACAGTTGTCTTTCTTGCTCCCAGGTAATTCATAACATCTGGGTCCGAATGTTCATCTCCGACATTTGTTGGACCATTCTCCTGAAAAACAGAATTTACATAGACATAATGTATACAAATCAATTGACTTTAAGATTGTCTTGAATGCTTCTCTGTAATCAGATGCACTTGCAGGCCTCTGGTAGATGCAGGGCTAATCTGTAATAATAAGCCTATTTATAGACCATCCTATAGTCAGAGGCTATACACTGCAAAATCTAATAAGTAGACCTTACTAGAAAAAAATCTAGGAAACTGATTGCCTTGAAAAATCTGACTGACGTGTAGTGTGAATCTAAAGCTGAGCTTACAAGTAATTCCTCAGAGTAGTGTACAGTAAATTCCTCTTTCATCTAACTAGGCACATCAAGTGAAGTGAACTTTGGTTTTCATTCATAGAAGTCATGTTGTGAAGCTGTGCCAACTAATCAGACAGTTCCTCAAATCTGAAATATGTAGTAATCTTTACTTTAAGAGTAGTTTCATCTTACTTGGTTAAACCATAGAAACAGATTGCCTTGAATTGAGTTAAGTAAATGTTACTTCCATGTTAAAAACAGGTTCTATTCTAAAATAATGGCTTTTAGATCTGCATCAGGTACAAGGATTTGAATATGTATGGGTCTCTGAAAAAAACAAAGCAAAACTTTTGTTAACCTTAAGTTCAAAACACATCATAACATGTGAAACAATAATATAATATAGCTCGGTCATTCCATGTCTGCTCAACCAAGGCCCTCGAACTTAGGTCTCAAAAATGCTGGAAGAAACAAAACAGGAGTACAAGTGTAATCTTGCACAGACTGAATGAACAGAGGGAGGACATAGAGAACAGAGGGAGGACATAGAGAACAGAGGGAGGATACAGAGACGTCCTGGGATGATTAGGAAATGAGTGGTAGCTGTAGGAAAAACAGGGAGGCAAAAGGAGGACCTAAACAGACTGGGAAATGGAGCTGGACTCTTGGCAATAATATGTCACTGTTGAAGTTACTTCAATTCAAGTTGACCTTTGTCTAATTGACAAATAATGTGCTTTTCTCACCCTGAAAGCAGCTGTTACTTTACCACAATCATTAAGATCCACAGATTCGTAGCTGTGAGTAAACTGAATGCAAATTAACCCTAGTTATGTTTTACAGTGTAGAATTAGCTTGTTGGGATGGCCGCTGGTGCAAATTCTCAATGAACATGCAGCGGTCTGACCTGTAGTTATCATTAACAATAATGCACTACTTTTGTTACTCTGCTATCTATCTTTCCTGCTCAGATGTTAGAATTATTATAAAACCAAATGTGAGATCACGTCTGGATAGGCTACATCAATGTTGGATTAGATCCTATGCTTCACGTTCCAAACTCAATTTGAGGCGCATCTGCAGTGAGAGCGTGACTACACTCATTCTGCCAGTGATCGATACGCACCAGTCGGATCTGCGTGCTGATCAGCATGTAGGGCATTTCTTCCTGCGGCTTAGTTCACGGGTGTTCCCCTGGGAGTGAATGGACAAGAAACCTCAGCAGTCCCCTCTCGCAGCTTGTGCTTCTCCAGACAGCTTCGTTGGCAATGCCGAAACACCCACCTCCACGGACCAATCAGCGTCCTTCGCGAGTGCAGCGCTCAAACGTTGCTCAATGTGTGTAAACATGAAAATGTAGACAAAACTCGTAAGAAAATATACTCTTTAAGACCAAACACTTTCTAGGATTTCTAGGTCAAACTTATGTGTCTAGACGAGCCTGTCTCCATGTACTTTCTCAAGCTCGAAGCATCAGTAATAAAGCCGGATAAATCTGCTGACTGAGCGGGAAATGAGAGCCATGGACCATTGACGTACAACAACGGAGAGGAGCGTGATACAATCTGTAAATGTGTAAATCACTAAAGCCAGAGGAGACTCACAGCAGCTCCAGCAGACTGCTCATGCCGCGCGCTGTGGGAAGCCTCATTTAAATCTGATCACAACCTTGTGAGGGGAGACAAGGACATGAGCAGCCAGACCTTATTTCTACATGCCATGATCAGTTTTACACATACAAGCCTACAGTTGCAATTTGATTTATCTTGAAATGATAAAATATTTGTGTAGTAACGCATCGAGTCAGTAGAAATGGCTAACACCTTGAAGTGATCGTTAGACAGTGAAGACGCTGTTTACTGCAGCCCAGAGCCGTAATAACAGTGTCATCATGTGGGCTAAAGCTATCATCATATTACCGCCCTATGAAATTATGTGGACCGAGTCATCTGCTTTCAGAGACACCGGTTATGGATAAAACGATCTCCATCTACTGGTCACAGAGGATATAACCATAATATTGTGTGTGTTATGCAATAACACACAGTAATATTGTGCGTTATTAAGAGCTAAAATTACTCCACACCAAGATGTCATCCCTTAAAACGTTGGTCTATATGTTCCTTTGCCTTGAAATATAATTATGGAAAGAAAATAAATCAGGAAATCACCAGAATTATTATTAAGGTTTAAGAAACAAAACTGAATCAGTCATCCCTGTGTGTAAACATGTCCCTCCAGTGCTCCTGCTGAATCTTCTGCCCTGCCTCATCTGCAGCTGGTTATAGGTGTGTGGGGTCAGCTCCTCCGTGACCCTCAGTGACAGTGGAGCACACCAATGCTGCGCTCACAGGAAGCAGCTTAATTTTTTCCACAATGTCTTAGAGTCACCCTCCCAAGTAAGGGGTCATTTTTTGGAGGCATTTGGTCATAAAATAGTAATTCATTATTAAATACAATTATTTAAATCCACCACCAATTATTTTCTGAGCGTGTGTGCAAATCCTGGAATCCAGATGATCCATGCTTTCTACTGTCAAGGCATTTATATGTGCACCCTCAACAGTGAGCAGCAGCTGAGCGCTCTTCTATTAGGGAGAAACATCAGCACTGCTTCCTCTGATTTTCCAGATTACACCTCAGTGTTTATACAAACTGTCTCCAAATGAAGAGGGTATAACCAAACACTCCCAAGCTTTCCTGGACTTGACCTCAGCTCACCTCTACAGCAGAGCTCTGATAAAATTGCCATTCAGCAGTATACAATACAGTACTAGTACAGTACAGTACTAGTATATAAAAAAGTCTAATTTCTGAGCACTTTACCAGGTTAGTTCTCAGCGAAACACCAGGATGTGGTTGGAGCTGTGAAGTAGTTTGTTTGGAGAGACTGTGGTTCTGTGATTAAGACTAATGTCATTAGAAATTTGTAACGACACGTTCCCCAGACTGCGTCCTCTCTATCGGCACCTCGGTTCATTTCTTGATTTGTGTGTGAAGCGTTTCCCTCTGTGGTTTACCACAAATGGATGCAATGCTGCTATCAGTAACAGGAAACAATGCAATACATAATAAACATGAAGGACAGATCTAAGACCATGTGGATGCTTTTGTCTGCTTTGCCACAATGCACATTCAGTATATCATCATGAAGTGAAACCATTTAGGAATATACTCAGTTTTAATAATAAGCAAGTCAGCCAGTTAATTGTAAATAATGTACACATAGACTTTGCCATAATGGACCTAGAAGCTGAAGAGGGAGAAAGAATTTTGGATCCTGGGAAATCTCCATTAACACCCAGTTTAACATTATACAGCACATGGAGTTTTCCATCTCGTATCACCTCATAAAAGTTATTCATTTTAATCTTATCAAACCACATTTATTCTACTTTCTTGTTCCCTTTCACTGACCCAAACATTTACTTTCTTTCATTCTATTCTATACTACTTTGAGCTTCTCTAAAGGAGCTGTACTTTTGAGTGTCCAAAAAAGTCCTTACGTTACAGAATATATGTGTTAGCATTTACCATTTGGCCCAACTGAGAAAGCATTAGGACAAGTAAATTATGCCCTTTTGGCATGATTGCCGAGCCTAGCACTCACGCTTCACAGCAAGCAGGTTGCAGAGAGGTTACAGAGAATTACTTGCGTTAGTTCATCTTAAACTTTTGTTCATAATTTGAACATCGGAGAACAACACCAATGCAGTTTGACGACCCCTAGTGTTATATTAGACATGTGATCATGGTTTATGAACAAACCCAGCAGAGCTAGTGCTCTGTGTGTCTGCAGTTCTCAGCAACAGTTAACTGGTTCTGTTGACATGAGCTAATAGGCAGCCTGACTTTGTTTGAACAAAGGCCATGAGTGAAGAGATCCATGAAAAATCATGTTACTGCAAAAACTTTAAGATTTTTATTTTATTTTTTAAATCTATGTCCTATGTCCTCTTGTCAGCCATGTCCACCTGTAAGACATCTAATGATACTTAATGCACATTGTAGCATAGAATATATTTACTCATACTCACTTGGACTCAGTACAGATTCAACCTCACCATTTGTCTCTAGAAACAAATTTGCTTTAGTACTTGTTATTTTCAAAGTGTAACATGGTTTTCCATTATTAAACTGACTCAGTATGAAGAGTACAAGTGTCGGTGAAATATCCGCTCTATATGAAGCCAATACCCGGATGCATAGCAGTCTGTAATATCTTCGGCCACAGCCAAAGCTATAATCCTAAAGAGTCAGACTAAAAAGGTTTCAATAGCTGTGAGCTGTGGCGGCCCTGACAGCGGACAAGGAAAGAGAGCGATGGAGTACCACAGTGGATTATGTGACAATGATGTCATGGGACTTTTGGTGCTGATGAGGGCCATATGTCGCTGGAGTTCCCTGGGTGTTCTTGGAGTCTGTTTACATCCGGATCTGGGATCTTTCAGTGATTGGCACTGCAGGTGACATTTTTACAAATCACATAGTTTTAATGACGTTATTGCAGTGATTATTGCAGAAATTTTCAGTTTGAAAACTCAACACATTTACATCTGGTACAGTCTTTTGTGACAAACGACCAACAGATTACCATCTATCTAGATCCATTAAGGGAATGTAGCCACAATCCAACCATTGAACACATTCTGGGGGTTTGAGGTCCATTGACCTAAACCAAAATGTAAATGGGACTTCCACAAGCTCAAATGCACTGTGTTTATAGTCGTGGTTGTTTCTTTGGATGCTACATGTCAGTAACCTTTTTCACCATATGCTGCTTTCACTAACCTCATTTACACTTGATACAGGTTAAGCATGTATTTTGAGCAGGTTACTTGCAAACTACCTACCACACCAATATGGTGTGCTAACCAGCTTTACTTCCCTCGGACCTGTGCCCACAGTGCTCTGAGGTTTTGAAATTGTAACAACTAATGAGTGTTGTGTTGGTTCTCAGGACATCCTTTTAACTTGGGGGTAAAAAAAAGCACCCATGTTTAGCCAGGCCTGAATATATTTATCTTGTTTGTATTAGTGTGGCATCTGTTTTACAAGTGTAGCAGGTCCTGGACAAAAGAGCTGACAGAGATGTGTTCAAGATGAAGTCAGACATTGCCTTATTGTCTTTGTGCTGATGTTCCTGAGTGTTCCCGGAAAGATGAGTCTGTCTGGGAGCTCGTGTTCTGTGGAGGCTCCTCTCTTCATAACACAATTCCATTTGTATCACTCTCCATTTGTATTTGTATGACTCTCTTGCTGCTCTCCTCCTCCCCTTACTCTCCTCTTATTCTCAGAGCACTTCCAATGGCTGCGGCCCCGGGTGGGTAGCTGCTTTTTATTCCATGTTCGAGTGATCCCACCGCGGCCACAGTCTAATAATCATTTCCTCTTCGACATAGTGAGAATTTGGATCATGCTCTGGCTACAACACGAAGCTGTGTGTTCTCATGTGCTGATTGTGGCCTGGGCACTTTGTATACACTTGTGCATTCAGCACGTTACACATAAATGCAGACTGTTGTATTCTTTTGTTTTATATGCAGCTACTTAGGCTTCCAAAGCCACAAACTTGATTAAATTGGTTAAAGCCAAATGTGCATATGGATATCAGATGTTGTGCCCTCTGTCTCATTGTGTTGTCTTCTCTGTTCCACGCGATCTTGTAAACACTGCCACTCATCATCTAAATGTATACGTATGACTTTCTCTCAAAGCCCCTCCGCTGGTGCCCGTGGACCTGACATCCACGCTCGTAGGCGGCCTGCTCGCTGTCACGTAGCATCTCCCTGTGGGCTTCTGGACCTCCCTGCTGCTCAAGCTGTGTGACTTGGCAGTACATAGAGCAGCACCCAGGAGGTCAGCGAGTGTGTGTGCTTTGGAGATAGGGACAAATGAATGCAGTGTACAGTATATGATGAGGGGAGTGCGTTCATGTGTGCAGTGTTTGTGTACTTTGTGCAGCATGTTAAGCACCATTAAACAGGTGGCTCCACATGAGGGCCGCCCCCAGACCTGCATCTGTGCTCACACAGAACCTCCTGCAGCCCCCAGGTTCCTCTCGGCCTTTAGGAGTTCAGTTCTCTGTATTTGTCCTGTCTTGGTTCATTTAACAGAGTATCTTCCTTTGCACTTGTAGATTATTGTTTTGGATGGTTGCCTGAATTTTAATATATTTTATTTTTGTCACGTTAAATTAAATTAGGTTCTTCATTGTAAGTGATACATGTTGTACAAAATTCAAAGAGGTGCATAGAGCAAAAGACCAAATTACAAAAAGA